ATCATACAACTTGTACGAAAGCTTATATTAAGCTTTAAGCTAACGCGGTGTTTCCCCTATTCTAAAGTGGTTTGGTTAACCATGATATCTGAACCAATTTTAAAAGATAAGATCCAACCCATATCCAAAAATTAAGAAACAGTTTAGTTTTTAAAACCATTTTAAAAAGGGATAGGATATTGTGACACACAAATAATGTTACGCACAATGTTACGACCACATCTTAACCGTTGATTTCCGCCAATTAACGGTTATCATTTATTGCGAATTAATTATTAATTAATGAGTTTGATTTGAAAAATGATAACCGTTAAGATGTGGTTGTAACATTGTGCGTAACATTATTTGTGTGTCACAATATCCTATCCCTTTTAAAAAACCAGTTTTTATGAATCAGTTTAGTTTGGTTTTCTATTTGATTTGGTTCAATTGAATTTTTTGCACACCCCTATATTTTAGCATAACTTTTTAGAATGCTTTTTGTGCTAAAACCGTCGTTTGCTTGCTGTAGCGTATAAGCAAGGAGATTTCAGATCCCCCCACTCAACCTGAAATGTTTTTTGGGAATCGACAAAGGAAGAAGAGAAAGCTGCTAGACCTTAATGCAATTGTAAGTTTATCTTTATAATTTATGAAGTCAAATATAATTACCTCTTACTAACATTGCTTTAAATATGCTGGACCAAACTTTTTGACTGGATTGAAAATTCTGGTCAGCCTTCCACTGAAGCTTTTCCGGCCGTGTCTGGGAAAGAAAAGCCAGGGAAAATTTGCTACTATGAAAGAACTACCACACCTACTCTGTTGAAAATAAATGAAGAAATGACAGAAATGGAGAAAATAAATGCTAATAAGGCCAAACATTTAAATGAAAAGATTGAAGTGTTAGAGGCACAACATAATACTGAAATGGCAACAGTGGAGAAAAAAGTTTCAACTTCATTCAAAGGACTATGCTAAATCAAAGAAACTTAGGACTAGATGTGGAGCCCTTGGCAGATTTAATTTGATATCAACTCTAGGTGATGCTATTGCTACCAGTGCTCCACACAATCATGAGGTAAAATGATTTTCTTTTTTTATTTTCTATCACTGCCTTGTTGCTATATTGATTGTGACTACTGAATGGAGTTAAAACAATTATATACTAGATAATCAAGTGATTAGTTTATGACAACTTACTGCACTTTTTAACTTCCCTTTATAGTCAGTCAATGGCTATTCTAACAATTTTTTTGTCAATGCATGTGGCGTAGTTAATAAATTTCTCTTTCGTTAATTATTTTCTCTCAAGGATAGATTTGATAATTTCAATTTACTTATAGAATTCATTGGATGTTAGAAACATGTGACCTTTAATGATTTGGATTAAAAATTGTAGTCCTTGATTTTGCTATATGGCTTTTAATATAATATTGCATTTGATTAAAATTTGTGGTCATTGATTTCGATTTCCTGCTTGACTTTCAATGCAATAGTTTGGTGTGTCAGTTTAAATAATTTAGTGACTAAGAAATGTTAACAGTAATGAACTTAATTTAAAAGGGTAATTCTTTTTACAGTAGTTGCAAGGGACGACTTTCAATTCTATAATGCATGATTATGGAATGGCATAACTCCATAATGTTCTTATTTTATTGTGCCCTAACATTTTTATGAGATATTGTGAACATATTTTTCAAGCCAATAGATTTGAGTTGCCTATTTACATTCAATGTTTGTTCATGATTGATGAAAATTAATGTTGATAAAAAAAAAGAGTGAAAGATTTCGTCAATAATTAAGTCTTACATATACATTATGATTGACGAGGCCACCAGACGAAATATGCATAAGGGATTCTTTCACTTTAGAATATGAAATTTAATGAAGGATAGGCTGAATTTATAATTAATCGGTCTTTTAGCATTAAACAAATAAAACAAAAGTTCAATAAATTGTGGTTAAAGGATCATGAGTTCTCTTTACTCTTGTAATACATTGGATTTGGTTGGAATGTAGAAACTAACACCGTTACTACTAGTGAAGAAGTTTAGCAATCTTATATTCGGGTACATTTAAGATTTTATTTGTGGGGTTGTGATTTTATTTTATTGTCAACATTTTTAAGTATCATTTGACTATTTTTATAAATAATTTTAGGCACATCCAAAGCCTAGGATTCATGCTGAGACGTATAAGGCTAAAAGTATAGAGGAGACTTCAAATGCATTGCCCAATTATTCTATTACTAAGTGTATGAATGCTCTTAATGAGATTGAAGACGTTTCTGATGAGATCTATGTGAAAGCTTCAGAAAAATTTATGGAGCCTGATCGGAGGGAAATATTTCTTAACATGCCTATGAACAGGAGAAAGCCATGGCTAGATAGATTTCAATGAGAAATTGTGCAAGTAGATGTTGAATTACTGATGTACTTTACTTAAATGGTGGGTTTATTGTCTTAATGGTTATTATTTTTCGGAGTTTATGATATCCGTTTGTACATGTGCTTTTTATTATATCATTAAATTTTAACGTATCCTTATTTATATAAAAATAAAATGCGTTATCAAATGTTTGTATGTGTGTTGAGTATTAGCACATTAAACTCTAATTTATGTTTGTACATGTGTGTTTATTAAACATATTCTTGTTATGAAATTATTTGACAGGTTTTGTCTGTAATGGATGTTGATAATACTACATCAGAAAGTGATTCTTGTTGTTTTGGTGAATCTTTATTTTTTCTTAAGTGATGATTGTTGCAATTGGATCACGACGTGACGGAGAAAAATTAAAAATTAAAAATAATGGAGTCGCCACCGTGATTTATTGAGAAAAATATTGGGAAAAAAAAATCCCTTTTTGTTTAAGAAAGTCGATCTTTGAAAACATAAACAGATGTGGAAGTCTATTATGAGTAGGGAAGGTGTTAGTACCCTACACCGTCCACTTTAAAAAATGGTACCTTAAATTAATTGCACAAATTATTAATAAATTTTCAAAATATTTATCTCACCCAAGGAATTAAATCAAATAAAACGTGTTATTTACAAAGAAAACTAAATCATAAAAATTATTTTTGTACTTGACGGAAAGGTTCCGCTCTGCTGTATCTCTCGGTGCAATAGGGAATTCAAAACTACGTTGTTCTATAAAAATATTTGTGTGTTAGTTAATTTTAATTTTTTTATTAGATTGTTAATTTTTTTTTGTAGGTAGATTGTTAATTTTAATTTGAATACAATGATTTTTTAGAAAGATAATTAATTTCAAAAAAGGAATCCATCATTGCTCAAAATTTAAGGTAGCACAAACACCTGAGGATGGTGAACTATACAATCAATGTTTATAAATTGTTGCTAGGATATTTTCGAATGAATCTATTAGACAAATAATTTGATTTTTGAAATCTTGGGAGAAAATAATTTGCTTAGAAAATACAGATGCATTACACGGGTTATAAGATAGCGTGGCTATACGTGTACCTTTATGAAACATACAACATTGAGGATGGTAAACCATACAATCAACGTTAAGTTTATTGCACAGATATTTTATTAAAAATAATTTATATGAGATGAAAATAATTACCTAAGACAAAATAGCACATAAATAATATCAACAATTTTCAAAATTAACACTATGTAATTTAAAATCAAAACAACATCAAATTAGCAATTACCTAAATTAAAAAAAAAACGCATACACAGGAAACCTCAATAAACATTTTTTCATTTCTTTATTTTCTTTATTTTCTGTTTTACATTATCCCACATGCAAATATCTTCCAATTAAAATAAAAGGGTAAACTTTAATGTAAGAAAATAACTCAAATTTTTTATTAGAATAATGTAGAGAAACTGAATAGATTAAGAAGAGAAAAAATGGGCTATGATGCTTCGGCCCAAATCCAAGCTATTGTCTAGAACATAACAAATAATATTAGAATAAAAGAAAGTAAAATAAAAATAATTAATAATGTTATAATAATGAAAACTAACCTTACGAGCGGGTGAGCAAATGTGGGGATTCGAAATCTCATCCTTTGGGTTCAATTGAAAAGAAGAACAGGGTCTCCTTTACGGTTATGGAGATATAATTATGATGCTAGAAGCTTTGCTGTAAGTGAAGAAAATATGGAGGTTTTTAGCAGCCTTTACTTCGTGATGCTTCTCCAGATCTATGTACAAACATCTTCTTGTAGGGTAAGCATATAAGATTGCCAAACTTCTAGATTATGTCCATCTTTATTCTAATAATTTTGCCCATAAATGATTACAATCTTATAACACATAACATGATTCATTCCATAACTTTATCTCTTCCAAGAAAAGAAACGTTAAACCATTTTTTTTAAACAAAAGCATTCTAAAAATACTTTTGGGCTGGACCAAACGTTAATTAATAGATAAAAATATGTGTGTAGGTTTGGGCTGTGCCTAAAGTCTAATATAATCCCAAAAGAAATTAAAATTGCAAAAATGCATTTCTCCCGATTTCAAAAGGATATCAATTTTACCAACAACGAAAAAGGATATCAATTTTACCAACAACAAAAAAATGATATGATTTTGGGTAAAAATAGATAACTTTATGGGAGTCAATACTCTCGAATATTAATTAATTAACATGATAATATCATTTGAAAGAATTATAACTATTAATAAATAAATCAATGCTGATGATTTTGTCATACTCTACTATAATATTTTTGGCAATGAATGATTACAAGTACATCACATGACATGATTATGTTAAATAAGATATGAAATGATCTATTTCCTAACTTTATCTCCTCTAACAAAAAAAAAATATTAAATCCTTTTTTAAAATAAAAGCATTCTAAAAATACTTTTGGGCTGGGCCAAACATTAAATAATAGACAAAGCTACGTGTGTGTGTCAGTGTGTGTGCAGGTTTGGGCTGGGCCTAATGCACGAAGCCCAAGCCCATTGCAGGACACAGGGTTTGGTTTTGGAGGCATGCTATGTAAGAGTGATAGAGGTGAGTGAGAGTTTGAGAATCGAGAGAGTGAAAGAAGCATCGCATCATCAATGGCGGCGAGGAGGAGCGGTTTACCTCTGATCAAATACTTGAGAGTGCAGGTTGATGCTTTGCCACACAACTACCAAACTCCGTTGAGGCTCTTCCAGAACGTGTTGCTTCGCCGCTTCTCCACCGAAGAGGTTAGGGGTTGCTTTCTCGATAAGTCCGAGGTTACAGATCGCGTCGTCTCATGTGTCAAAAACTTCCAGAAAGTCGACCCTTCCAAGGTACACACACTCCTCTTTCCCTTTTCCATTTTCATTTCCATTTCCATTTCCATTTCCATTTCCATTTCCATTTTCTTTCTAGGTTTTTGAGAATGTGTGACTATTGAGTTTGTGTTTAGACATTTATGATTCACAAATTTCTTTATCCTATTCTCTATTGATTTTGTTTTCGATTTCTACTTACTGCTGAAGGTTGTGATTAAGCCCAATTTTCGATTAATTAAGTTTATTAGAGCTCTAACAGGCACAAGTATGATGGTTAATTAATGGAAAAAACATCTATAAAAGTATATAATCCGTTAATTTCCGTCCATTAACGGTTATAATCTATTCAGTCAAACTTAATGGGCCAAATTTATTATTAATTAATTAATAATTTTGACTCAATAGATTATAACCGTTAATGGACGGTAACGGAAATCAGCGGTTACAGTCTAAAAAGGTTTTATCCTACAGATGTTATTCCCTTAATTAATATATGAAAATCATTTTTAAACCCTAAGCCCTAAATCTAAATTCTAATATTTATGCATGACTTGTTTTGTTCTCTACTCATTTTCTAATGCTCAGCCGATACCATGCTTTGAGCTATACTTGTTGTTCCCCTCTCTGTTTGGTTAGTGAGCTACTCATTTTCTATCTCATTGCTCTTAGATGCAGAGGTATGGACCAAAGCTCTATGCAGAATATCTTTGCCTGTGAGAGGGGATGGTGAGAGGGCACTGTAGCTTTAGATTTCTGCAAAGTCATAACTCATGAAATGTAGGATGTAAGATGCCCTTTTCAATAGCTGAAGAGAGATATTTATAGGTGGGAAAATATTCCCTAATCATGAGAGAGCGCCATAACCGTTTTGCCTAGTGATCCTACTACAAGGGAATCGCACCTCCCAGACGTGTATGAGGTGAGCTTGTGCTGGGAGTGTGTCATTCTCTGCTGCCAGGATCTAAAAATTCCCACTTTGGGGAGGCAGGAATGACCCCTTAATTGGGGCCTCTAAGGGCTGGCTCGTGAGACAGGGCTGGTGAGGCCAGTCTAAAACAGTTAGATATAGGAGAGTAACTGACAAGAACGTTGTTTGGGGCCTTTGTTCCGGTTATTGTCATCCTATTAGGATGTGAATTAAAAAACATCAGTATTCGCCAGGAAAATCAGCAAGCACTTGTACTTCTCTGTACACTTGAAGAGGATACATTCTGCCCATCACCGTCGCAATTATTTTCTGTATTGTTGTGATTTAAACTTGTGTTCTTACGTTAACATGGTGCCAATACTTCGTTTCATTTTCAGGTAACCCCAAATGCTCATTTCAAGGATGACCTTGGATTGGATAGTTTAGATTCAGTGGAGATCGTGATGGCTCTTGAGGAAGAGTTTGGGTTTGAGATTCCTGATAATGAAGCAGACAAGATCGAATCCATTAAACTTGCCGTCGACTTCATTGCATCTCATCCTCAGGCAAAGTAGGAGAGAATCAATGAGGCCCGGTGTATAATTTTTTATTTTGTTTCTCATCAAGTAGGGTAGAACCATCAAAACTTTTGAGACATTTTTCCCCCTCCTTGTTTGCTTCTAAAATGCAAGTTTATGTTCTCTTCCCTCTAAATCCCAGAAGAGTGTTAGCTGGGGATGTGCCAACTTGAATGCTACTGTACTTATGGTAGGATTGCCATCTCGAGACTTTAACATTTAATCTTTCCCCAGTATTCATGTCAATAAAAATCGTGTGTTAAATTTCTGATTATAAAATCTTGAGGTCTTGAGTTGTACTGTGTATCTGATGCAGTATGCTATTCTCTTTTGCTTGTTTTGTTATGCGATGGATATAACGTATCTGTAATAGTTTCACTTATTTTAATCTCCATGTTTGATAATTGATGTTGTATTTTTTTTTGTTGGTTCTTGTTATGGGAAAGGCATTGAATTGTTGCCCGTTTAAGAAAAGATATGCTCTTTTCTAGGAATGTATGTATACTACTGCATGAATAAACATCCATTTGATATTAGAGCCCTAACCTCTAGGTGATTTGTCGGGGCATGCAGCATGGATTTGTGGCTGAATAAAAGTTTCACCAAGCCCCAAGGGTTTCAATTTCAAAATGGGGTTGCAGCTCTCATTCTACGTTTCTTTTTTCTTGAATCTTCGGAAATCAGACATTTTTGGTAGGGAAGGAAGACTGAACTGGATCCTTAGGTGTTCACTTGTTCAAAACTCAGGTGGAAACGTTGCCTGTTATAACTAGTATCTACTATATTTGGGCAAAACAAGTTCGTTCCAATCATCTTGACTCGAACGTTCCATAGCTCAAATTAGAGAACAAATTCCAAACTCCATCAGTTTCCTCATGGGCTTTACCTAAAAAGCTCTGGCCTACACTATTTTATTGTTATTATTTTTGACAAATCACATATATTCTACACCGGAGACAATTTTGTATGAGCAAGGAACATTTATATATATCATGGTGGGGTTAATTTTTTTCAAAATGAATTTTTTGTATTCAAAGGACTTGAATCTAGAATCTATTTAAGCGAAATCAAGTATGTATTATTTGAAACTCCCGGTTGTTTGGTGTCTAAACTGGAATTAGAAATTTGATTGAATCTAATAATATCTGAGAGTCTACATTGGAAATAGAAATTTAATTGAATCAAATTCTAGCAAATTGAATAGTTAAATTCTTGGCATATATACCTTTATGTGTTACAATTCCAAGGAGTCCAGGAATACAAAATTAATTTTATTGTTAACCATCTAGATTGATTGTGTATTCGAGCAGTCATTGTTACCGGGCACTTCAGCAATTATCACCGCTAGATACCGTTGTTGATGGTGCTGGCTATGTTGTATTTTTTATCTTTTAATCAGTATTACCATTGGTATCAGTTGATCATTGTCTTCCTTTGCATCCTTCGATCATCAGCTATGCGTCATCAAATTCCTCAGCATCCATCGACACTGAAGATGGATTCTTACAACCATTAATGTCGTTGTAATATGAAAACAGAAGCTCTATTAAAATTTTATTAAATATTTTAAACTCTTATTAAATTTTTTATGACTGAAAGGTCAAAAATTCAAATTCAAAAAATATATAAGGGGAAGCTGTGTAAAGAATTGCCCTCAAGTGGTTTTTTAATTTTAAACCCTTCTTATTGAATTTAAATTTAATTTTTTTTATGTATTCTTGATAAAAAAAAAAAAATTGATAGTTAATGGTAAATATTTAGTAATGATTAGTGGTGGGGTAAGTTAAGTGGAGAATTGAAGGCACTAAACGAAAGTGGACTTTTGAGTCGTCTTGGCCACGTTGACTGTCGGAGTAATTGACAATTCAAACGCGTTCCTTGAGCCTTCCCAGAAGGAGTATGGAAGGAACTAAAACTAAGGAATACGGAAAGACATTTGAACCCTATCTTAAAAATTAGTAAATTTTTAATACTCGCGTTACATGTTCCTTTATACTTGCATTCAGGTGATATTAAAAATAACCATGTGGGTGGAATAAATGGAGTTAGGTTAATTATTATTTCTAGATTTAGTGGGTGGAGGGGCGGACCTGTATTGGTGTAAGTGTGAGTAAGTGCACACGCAAATTTTTGGGGGAAAAAAAAGAGAAAGTATATTTTGTGTCCTTAATAAAAATTAAAATTATAGGGCTCAATTTAATCTCTTAGAAAAAAAAATCAACTCTCGGTCCCTCTAAATTCCAAAATAGATCCGATGAGTCGAAATTATGGTTCCTCTAAAATTCAAAGAAAACTTACATTGGTCCCTAAAAAAGAGTAACATGGGTCTATTTAGAAATTCAGAGGGATATCACGAGTCAATTTTTTTTTAAGGGATTAAATTGGATCATGTGATTTTTGTTAAGGACTTAAAAGGTACTTTATTTTTTGTAGTAAGTTTCAGTTTTCTTTTTTTTTTTGTTTATATTCTTTTTGTTTTTTAATACATATAAAACTGTCTTTAAAAAAAAAAATCGAGACATTGCCATCGAACCCTTATTCTTAAATGTGCAGATGTAAATAAAATTGTTTGGATCCGTCATTAAGTGAGTGCAACACTAAAAACAAATGATAATAGCTGGGTTGACGTATAAGAGCTGAGCAAGTAAATTTAAGAGTATCTATTCGATTTTTTTTAGTATTATATTTGAAACGGATTATCTCTTATAAAAGATACCTATGATTTATTTAAAAAACAAAACAAAATAATAAAAAATTATCGAAGCCATTATAATTGATTTAGTGGTAAATGATTTGAGTAATTTGGATCAGATTATTTTTAATGTGATCATTGTATGAAAAGAAAAAATTATAGGTTAAGTCAAAATTGCATTTTCTTTCTTGCCTTCCTGTTTGGTTTAATGACTTTTGGAAGGTCTCGTAGACTTTGACTTCCTGTTACTTTCATTTAAGAAAAAAAGAAAAAAAAACTCAAAAAAGAAAATAAAAAAATGACACAGAAATGCAAGAAAGAAATGGTACCATTGGCCATTGCTACGTCAAAATTGGCCCTCTATTGGACAATTGCAACACTGATTATCATGCTTTTCAAGTCTTCAACGACCAACATGATTTTCATTTTCTAAGTAAAGAACACGCAGAAAGAAAAACAAACAATCTTTTATCTCAGTGGCATACAAGTAATTAAGAGGGCATGAGAGGGGCAAAGAAGTAGGTAGCTCCTCTATAAGTAAGCTATGGAATTTGTCAGTGACAGAGAACAATTATTGGAAAAGGCTTTAACTGAGATGAAGAAGTTTGTGTTTTTTTGTTTGCTGCTAATACAAGTTTCGGTTTCTGAAATCATTTTTGAAGAACGCTTCGATGGTATTTTATTCTCTGCTCTTTGAAGCTTATTTCTTTAGTTTCAACTTTCATGTTCCAACTGTTACCACCACGTGTGAATTGTTTGTTCAGTTTGGTTAGTTAGTTGGTGATTCGTTATTTTTTATTTTTTGGTAAATTGGTTATTAAATATACGAATGATTATTTCTTTATTAGTATATAAGCCACGTATGTATGTATGGCTATTGTGTAATCATTTTTTTGTCGTTAAGTTAATTTCGGTTTGTGTAATCATTTTTAGCATTTTGTTTATAAAATCTTGAAAATAGAAAACAAAATGAAAGCAGGGTGACATATTTGTAATTATTAGTGAAAAGCTATCAACTGATAATGAGAATAAAAATAAAAATAAAAAAGTGTGGTGTGGAATTCAGCTTATAGTTTGTTTAGTGTTTATGGTTTTTCATTGATGATATGATATGGTATCTGATGTGTTGTTGGTTTTGGTTAAGATGGATGGCAAAGTCGCTGGGTTAAATCAGACTGGAAAAAGAGCGAAGGAAAAGCAGGTTCATTCAAGCACACGGCAGGAAAATGGGCTGGAGATCCGGATGACAAAGGTACTTAGAACCAATTCAACTCAAAAACTTAAGCTTAGAAATGAGAAATACTATTATAACCCTTAAATAAATTATAATTACAAAAATACCTTGATTTCCGTCCCAAAACGACGATGTTATTTTGGGTTTAATATAGATAACTTATCTACATTGACAACGAACTCTTAAATAAATGTATTCTTTCTCTTTGCTCAACAAATGAGGCTGGACTAGTATAGGAAAGACATCTAAATACAAAACATTCATGAGCTAATCATTCAGTAAGTGAATCTGTTAGTGTAACAACATTTTGGTTAGTTTGAATTTTCTTTAATATAAATATTAGGGACTTCTGTGTAAATTTCATAATAAAGGAGAGGTTTGTGTAGTAAATGCAAAATACAGAGAAAGGGAGAGTAATTTACTCCAATAAATAACTCAATTAGGGAATAAACTTTACATTTGTAGTTGCCTCTCCCTTTCTTAATATGTACAAAATGGTAGTAATAGGAATTTGGTTGTATTGGTTAATTTAGTTATTTTGTGGGATCTTGTAGGTATTCAAACATCTAGTGATGCCAAACACTTTGCCATTTCTGCAAAGATACCAGAATTCAGCAACAAGAACAGAACATTGGTCGTCCAGTATTCTATAAAATTTGAGCAAGATATTGAGTGTGGTGGAGGTTACATGAAGCTCCTATCTGGATTTGTTAATCAGAAGAAGTTTGGTGGGGATACTCCTTATAGGTATGCTGCATATTCCATGTTCTTCACTTTGTCTTTGCTTCTTGAATTATATATCAAGTGAACAAATAGTTAATCTGCAGCCTAAAAAAGCTAACTTTTAAAAAAAAATATCAATCAATTTTACATTTTTTTTTTTATTAATGAAATTTAGCAGCTTTAGTAAACTAATGAGAGAAACAAAGTAGAACAAAAAGGTGGTTGGAAATAAGATGATGACATTTACTTCTCTGTTTGTAAGATGCAAATACTGTTTCAAATATTGCAATGTCCTCAACATTCCATCTTAAGCTGCATTTTGGATAACAGTAGCCCCTAGCTCATTGTACATTCACATAAGCTATCAATATAAAACCTACTTGTCTTCTAATTGACCTTATTACATTAAATAGTCACCATCTCTATTCCATACTTGTTTTCTAATATGTCAATAATCTAAACCTACAAGCTTAGTTCTTTCATTTTAAGACAGGACTTTGCAACAGAATTTTGTCTCTTTACAAAATATATGGAAGGGCATTCTTTGCTGATAATGTTGGTACAAGATCTAATTTGCTGGAAAATAGGAAATTGAGGCAAAATGACTTGTAAATTCATATTGAATATTACTTGTTTTCTAAAGCTCTTCTAAGTCATGCCAATGATTTTGTGACGTGTCGCTATTCCTACCTTTCTGGTTAGTAGTTGTACTATGGTAATGACGTACCAAAGTCTTACGTGAAGCACACTAGGAGACATAGAACAGATTGAGAATTAAACTAGTTTCAGCACCATGTTAATACGTATTACAAGGTTTGCAGATAAAAAAGATATTCATCTTCTTCCAGAGAGATTAGAAAACAGCATCTTTCAATGGGTGAAATATAGAGATTCATTATGTCCTAGAAAATTATTTTCAAAGTAACTTCAAGTAGAAGTTCCTCTTTGTTGATCTTCAAATTTATATTCCATATACATGTTATTTTTCTTTTTATTATCTTGTTTCACCCTGATCATTGCATGGTATTTTGCTTTACCTTGCATAATACTCTGTGCACTACCGGTGTTGTATCTTCATTGTATTTTATTTTTACTTTTTTATCCATATTTTCCATAAAAAAGAATGTCATACTGACAAATTCTCTATAGTTTAATGTTTGGACCAGATTTATGTGGCACGGATACAAAGAAGCTCCATGTCATACTCTCCTACCAGGGTCAAAATTACCCTATAAAGAAGGACCTACAGTGTGAAACTGACAAGTTAACTCATTTCTACACATTCATTCTCAGGCCAGATGCCTCATACAGTCTCCTGGTTGATAATAGAGAGAGAGATTCAGGAAGCATGTATACAGATTGGGATATTCTTCCTCCACGAAAAATCAAAGATGTCAAGGCAAAAAAGGTTTCACTTTGAGCTGTTTTACTTAGTAGTCAACTTCAGATATTGTCCTTTAACATGACACGACATGATGCTTTTGGTGTTCTGAATATCTTACAACAACATTATAACTCAGTCAAGATTTCCTGTTTTACCATAAAGAGACTTACCCTATACCATCCAGATCCTATTGTTCAGATATCTTTTATCTTCTAGCAATAAGTTGTACTTTGAAATTAAAACATCTCCCAACTTGCAGCCTGCAGACTGGGATGAAAGAGAATACATTGATGACCCTAATGGTATCAAACCTGAGGTAATTAAAAGTTCTAACTTTTCCCTAATGATAACTGAAGAAAAAGGATGGTATTTTTATTCCATGAGTATATTGCAAACTCATTTATTTGTTTATTGTTATTGTAGGGATATGATTCAATCCCAGCAGAAATTCCTGATCCAAATGCCAAAGAGGTTATTTTCCAGAAATTCCCCATTTCTTCTTAGTTCCTTTCCTCTCTGGTGTAACGCATTATTTTGGTTTTTTGATGTGATAACTTCTAAATAAAGAGATAAGTGAGGGAAAAAAAATGTTCTTATGCATCTTCTATCCTCTTAATTAGCCTGATAACTGGGATGAAGAGGAAGATGGTATATGGAAACCACCAAAGGTGCCAAATCCAGCATACAAAGGACCATGGAAACGAAAGGTTTGTTGATCAAGTAACCAAGATGGCTTCAAGCATTAGTTTTTCATTATTCTCTTTCAGTTTTCTTTCATCAGTCATTATCTCTTACTTGCAACCTCTATGTTAACAGAAAATCAAGAACCCTAACTACAAAGGGAAATGGAAAACTCCATGGATAGATAATCCAGGTATGTTCAAATGCATATACTAGGTTCTTTGTGATAATTTAGTATATATTACAAACTTTGCCACATGCTATGAAATGCTTAAATTATTTTATTTTTTTTCCTGTATCAGAGTTTGAAGATGACCCTGATCTTTATGTGCTTAAGCCTATCAAGTATGTGGGTATCGAAGTTTGGCAGGTATGATGAATGCAACGGTGATAGCTTGTTATATTATACTGTAGACCTCTCTGTCTATACTAAGTCCAAAGCTATTAGGCTAAAATGGGTGGCTGCTGTTAATTTAATCAAGCCAAATATTGTGATTCAGGTTAAAGGAGGCTCAGTTTATGACAATGTTTTGATTTGTGATGATCCTGATTATGCAAAACAAGTTGTTGATGAAGTGTTTGCCAACAGGGAGGTGAGTTTTTCTCTTTGATTTAGCTCAATTACCGACTTGTAGGTGGCACTTGGGTTACATATTAAAAAACAACTAATATTTTTCTATATATAAGTGTATTGACTTTTTCATTGGTTTTATAAAAAATAATTTTAAATATTTAAAAATATGTACAATATCTAATGTTAACTTCTGTATTGCCCTGTGGATTAATTTTTTAAAAGATTTAATTTAGTCTATACTTTTAAGTTGTGTTCATTTTAATCTTATATAGAAGTTTTTCACTTAAGTCTCTCTAATGAACCATATGCATTCAGTGGAAAAAAATCTCTAAAAGTGAGAAAGCCTTTAAAGTGCACAAGTGAAGGGTGCATCAACAGTTGATTTAAATTAAAGTGAAAGTGCCTCATGAACATAACCGATACACTCACACTTGTGCACTTCAGAGGCTTTCCCACTTTAGAGAAATCTTATCCAATTTAAATGTAGTTCATATAATCAACTGTCATCCAAATTAGGCTATTAATGGAGTCACTTGCAGTTGATTAGAGCGAAAATGTGTAAGATGATGTCATGTACGAAGTAAACATTAGCTAAACAAGCACCTATGAGCCTTATTTGGATGGCAATTGACATTAGGGGATACCTTGATCGCAAATGGTAAATTAAGGGACTTAATTGAAAAAATTCTAACACCAGCTCAACTTAAAAATGAATGGTATAGAAACTTAGTTAAGCCTTTTTGAAGTTATACTTGATTTGCCTCGAAAAAATTCAATTTAGTGGGAAAAAAAACAAGTGTATACAATTCTCCTTAATATGTCTTCTCTTAAGGTACATGTTAAAATGACCCTTATTTTTTTTTGGCGTCTCAGCTTGAAAAGGAGGCTTTGGAGGAAGCAGAGAAAGTGAAAAAAGCCAAAGAGGAGGAGGTACATGGACATAAAACTTTTTAAGTTCCAATGTGTGAGTCACCTAGGTTTCTTTCCAGGATCTAAAACTCTTATTTATGCAGGAGGCTCAAAGAGCAAGAGAAGAAGGTGAAAGGAGGAGAAGAGAGAGAGGTCATGATCGACGACACCGGGACAGATATAGAAAGGTTTGTATCATACCAGAATATGTTCAATATTTATTCTTTTCTTTCTTAATGAATCTTGTATCCCTTTTAAGGATAAGATAAATGGCCTAGATTGGAATATAACTCCAGTTTCAAAGTAGTATTCTAGCATTGTTTTCTAAGTATTGCTTTGAAATATCCTTTATGGTAAAATGTGTGTGGAAGGTAAACCAACTTGCCTAATAATGTTATGGGAAATATTTCACTTTGAGTTAGGCCTTATGTTCCGGAAGAATTCATTAAGTTCTCAACATTAGCTATACTACTTCAGTTAGATGTCAATAAATGTATTTGACAAAGAACAAAAGAAATAGACTGAATTGGTTTATATGTTTCTGTCTGATGATGACTATGACAGCAAAATTTTCTTATACCGAGTTATTTTTGTATGCAGCGTCGCCGTGATTACATGGATGATTATCATGTAAGTGACAATTTTTTCCATAAGTTAATATTTCTAATGCTACTTAGATTCATAGAGATTGAGGTGGCATTTTAATGATCAATCTCCAAAAATTTTCACTATTGGTTGAAACATAGCTTTTTATGTCATAACATTAATTTAAGTAATGAGTTTGATGTTTGTCATGTCATAGGAGATAAAATTTATTTTTTCTACACATATAAAAGTGTGTGGGACACACGTAAGGTCATGTAAAGAGAAGAGAGTAAAAAAAAAAAAATTAGGTCCCACACACTTCTATAGGTGTGTAAGAGATAATTTTATCTCCTACAACATGAGAGACATTAAAACATTACACCGTTAATTTAAAAAGATAAAGAGGAGCAAGAAGCTACAAATGAGTGTGATTGATATGCAATCTTTGACATCTTTAATTTCATTGTTGAACTCAAAAAATGACTTTCTTTGACTATGCAGGATGAGCTCTGATGGAATGAAACGTCCTTCTTTACTATCTGGTTGACAGGAATTTCTGGATTGTTATGAATTTTAATTACGTTGACATTAGTGTTGTATTCCATCTCGTGTTAATTTGTAGGGGAAACTTTTTCAATAATAAATATCTTTTTTGTCGGTTTTTTTTGTTCCCCCTCTTGTGGTTGTCATGCATTTTTTATGATATGGATTGGGAAAGCCTAAACCCAAATTGCCATTGAATTTTTGAGGAACGTTGGTGCAATCTTCGCATAAATTCTTATTAAATATCTATGAATATTGTGATTGATCGATTGACACAAAATTAAGTAATTCGTAGTATAAACTCCAGAGCTCATGTATTAATTCAAATTTAGTAAATATGCTTTAACACAGCAACATCCTTAACACACTCTCTATGCTTTGCTTTTGATATGGGAGATATAAACAAAGTCCATGTAATTTTTAAGTAACCTCAAGAGACTAACTGGTTATGTTCAAAGAGAGAGAGAGAGTGAAGAAAAGAAAAGAAAAACTGAATTGCTGCACTCAATCAAACACCAAAAATGGGAAGAATAATACCAAAGTTGGAATCCAAATATCCAATCCGATGAAACTAACGAAAAAGTTTTATCAGGCTATACACAAAATCCATTTATACAAGATATATGATCAATACAAGGGATAGAAAAGGGAGAAACGAAATCGAAAAAAACTACGACATACTTGGTGGACATGATATGATAAGATAAGAATTTATAGGATAAGAGGCTTGCATAAAAATAGGAAAATATACGGGCATGATAAGTTGATATCTTATCTTGTATTTGATATGCATTAAATAAGTAGACTGACAGGATAACGTTATTCTATTGAGTGCTTGAGATGAACTATCTGATTTAACCGAATTTCATTTATTACTTATTATACATTAGCTCCTATATTAAATTATTAAAAAATTAAAAATTACAATTTTAAATAAAAATATTAAAATACATATAAAACTTATCAAAATTTTCAAAAGAAAAATATGTCCTTACAAAATAATTTTTAAAAAATCATGTTTTAAAATGATCGTCAATATTTTTGGCAATGGTTAGTGACAATGATTAGCGTGGTGGTGACAGGTAAGAGTGATCGGTAAAAGTTGTGATGACTGATGGTGGTGGTTGTGAGGCTAGTGCGGTGATTGGTGGTGACAGTGTAGGTGCCGACAATGGCAACTAATGGTGGCGGTAATGGTGGGTATCGGGCTTCTGGTGGTTGGGGTGGCGGTGGCTTGAGGTGGTGGTGGTGGCGCCTGCAATAACCAATAGCAATTGTGGTGGCTAACTGATAGCGATAGTGATGGTGATGGCAGGGGTTTGAGGTGGTAGTGGCCAATGGCGATGACGATGATTATGGCGGTGGTGACGTCGGCAATGACATATGATAATTATGGGGGTTGATCAATGGCGGTGGTAGTGGCTAGTGGTGGCAGTGGTAGTTAGGGGTGGTGTTAACTAATAATGGTGGTGGCAGCGATGACCAGTGGCAATAGTGATGGCTGACTGATGGTTGGTGGTGACAATAGTGGGAGGTAGAGGTGGCTAATGGCAACAGTGTTAGTAGTTGGTCGGTGGCAGACCCTCACGTACTCAACAAAGTTCGTAATATATAAGTGTAAGGATACATTTGAGATGAGTGAGATATGACATTTGTTATCATATCCTGTCTATTTCTAATTTGAGTCCCCTTTAGGATAGTTTATTAGTTTATCTAAAATGAGCCAACAAAATAAATTTATCATATCTTATTCATTCACCAAACAATGTATAAGAGTAGTGTAACATCCTTCGATTATTAACCGAGGAATGTTACATACGTTTTTTGCACTATAATTATATACGTACATTATAGTTGGGTAAACTCATTTCTACAGTCGTTTTACGTACAACAATGACATGTGTATGGTTATGATTCCCTACATTTAATGCTTTCACGTATATATATGGCAAGTATTTGACTGCTGCACGTACAACAGCTGCAGAAATGTAAACCCCTTATAGTTTATCCTATCGTGTCATCTCTATCTTGACCACCAAAGGATAAGAATGGACAAGATAAAAGCAAATGATAAGAATATGAAAGGATATGAGCCTAATAAACTCTAGCATATCATATGTTTGATGTGCTCTAGATAAACAATGTGGTATGATAATATTATCCCCTCCCGCGTTTAAGGCGACCATATAGTGTTATGATATGATATAAATAAACAAAAATACCCGTTTTTAAAATTAATTTTTAAACTATTTTTTTTACTTATTTACACATTAGTTCTTATTTTAAATTATTAAAAAAATTAGAAGTCACAACTTTAAATAAAATATATTTAAATACATAAATAACTTATGAAAAAAATTAAAATAAAAAATTATATTCTCACCAAATAGCATAAGGTTATATTTGGGATAAGGAGAGTATGACATTTGTTATCTCATTCTGTTCATTCTTTAACCCGAGTCCACTTAGGATAGCTTATCGGTGCACAGGATAAAATGATCGAACATGATAAACTTATCATATACTATTGGCTCACCAAATAATTAATAGGAGTGAGATATGAAAGTTTATCATATCCTAAGATCTTATCTTATTATTTAAAATTATTATTTAAAGCCTTATTTCTCTATTTTCCTTCTCAACTTATCCATAGCTTTACGATAACATTTATTTCGATGATTCTTTTCTTCCTTTGCCTGAGGCAATCGAAATTTCCTTTGACTTTTCATCTTTCTTGGAAACTTTTTCTTATATGCTTTTATTAAATATCCATATTTGCTTAAGCTCTTCCCTTATTTCGGTATTATTATTGGTTTTTCAATACTGGCATGATATTATCGGGGAGAGCAAGAATGATAAAACTGCACTGTCTTTCCACGTACGAATAATGATCAAGAAGATATCATGAATACACTGAAGATTAGTACGAATATAAGGGTGTAGATGAAGAGATCTTGATAAAATCTTTGCATTCGGATTGGTATTAGCTGGTACGTTTGCGCCATGACTTGCTCAACTCTTCATGGGCTTGATTGGATTTTTTTATACAAGAAAATGCTTCTTCTTTTTTTGAATAAAAATATTTTTCGTGTATTAGGATGGAGTTTTTGAAAAAAAAAGTATAGATTAAAAAAATGGCGAAAATATGCTCTCTTGTATTTTTTTTTATTTTTTTTTTGGAAGCCAAAATACTGCTTTTTACTTAAAAGTGTTTTTTAGATATTGATATAAGAGATAGAATATTATGCCTACTATTTTGTGATCTAACAATGTTAAAGAAAGTAAATAGAATAGCCATAAAAAACAGACAGGCATAATATCCTTGATACAAACACAAAATAACTCTGTTTTTTGAAAAATATAAAATATAAAAAAGGCTTTTTTTAAAAAACCCATGCAAACGGGCTTCATGTCTCCTCGGTCTATCTTAGTGCTTACCTGCATCTAGTGAATTCAAAGAACTTAAATTGTCTCTGTTTTAAGCCACCTAGTGGTGAGAGGTGTAGATAATTATGTAATAGGTTGTGTGATTAATTCCTCAATGTATCCCAAAAAAACAAAAAACTTCTATTGGAAAACAGATTAATATGGCAGCAGAAATAAAGCCCAAAATGAGAGGTACCAAATGATAGACGTGTTAAATTTTCAATATAACATTAAATACTCAATCTAATTGGAAAATTTTAAGACGTGGCTGTTTCAAAGTTTGCAAGCAAATCAGATTACAATTTTTTCATAGGGGAATCGCAAATCTATGAATATGTAATTAAAATTATTTTTAAAATGCTACATAAAAGGTCAATCTATGATTTCGTTCATAACCCATGTCCTAAAATAATGTCTTACAAGGTCGAGGAAGCCAAATTATCATCTTCTGCGTACACCAGAACTTGTTCCACGCTGTACTGCAGATCCTGACTGCTGCTGTGGCTGAGCACCTGCTTGCCCACCAGCCTGTTCCTCAGGCATATTCATTGCTTGGGTAACGGCATTCATTACGATGAGTCCAAGAGGGATCAGGTACATCCACTGATATTAAGACAGGTTCCACATGAAAATTTTATTTCGGATACATATAGGTTTAATAAAAAAAGGGGGAGAAAGTTGTAGCATAAAAATCAAGCCCAACATGCATGTTGTATACTTACGTATTTAGCCCAAAAGGACCTTTCTATTGGCTGTACCATTTCACCATCTCCCACCTCCCCACCAAGCACATCTTCAGCAAATATTGGAGATCTGTAAAACCAAAAAATATTTGTTGAATAAAAAGACACAGAAGACACACTAGTAAAAACCTGTCATCAAGATAGTGCAACAGCTACATCATGTATGATGCTAATAAACTAAACTGCAAAAGGTTTACCCCTCCTTCCTTCCTAGTTTATTAGATAAAGACCATATTAATCTTAATCAAATATATTCCAGACAACTTCACGGAAACATTTAATTGGGGAAGCTATTTTTCTATTTCTAATTTTCAATTTTTTTATCTCTATTTTTTGCTTTCGTTTCAATTGAGAAGATATTTTAGGAAAACATTCTTCCAAGAAAATAAAAAACTGGACATTGAATTCAGTAAACACTAAACAGTTCAAAGCCAGAAGAACACATTCAATTATTTTTTTAATCTCATTATATTTTTATATAATGTGTATATTCTTTTTCTTTTTTCTTTTTTGTAAATTAATGTGTATATTCTTAGTTATATAATCAACACCAATTTTTTCAAAGACCTCTGAGCAGTTTTTCATCCTGCATTTTTTGTTCCTCAGTTTTACCAAAAGAACCTTCTTGACATGTCTTTTGAGGATATAAGAGGAAGCTTGCTTGTTCATTTTCCGTTTAACTTTGTTATGAATTCTTTGAAAGAGGGACTAATTCTAAAGCTGTTAAACTGCAGGCATTATTTGAATAAAATTCATCTAGTCTTCATCCTCATCCTCGTAGTGATATAAATCTTCAATGTATTCATACACATCTTCATGATCCACATGACCTTCAACAATTCAAAGGTTTAGAGTTCAAACCACAACATCATAAGTATTGACCAAGGTTATGTTAATGATTATTCCAGACCAACTTATAATTAGCGAACACTGTATACTTTCACTTGATCCTTTCCAAGTGCTATTTGGCAAAAAAATCAGTGAATCAAATATGGAGCGTAGAACTCAAGGAAGAATGTTTTCTGATGGAGACAAACAACCATAGAAGACTGCACTCATATAAAGACCAGAAAATCAGAATATCAGAATAATTGTTATGCTGAAATAAAAGCAATCCAGATTGTATTCAAGGACCTTATCCATTGATAATCCAGTCAGCAAAGGTCACAAGGACAGAATAACACCTCCATAGTAGAATCAGAAAAAATCGCACAAGATGAAAATTTTGAAGAGGAATATTCCATTTCCTGGGTCAAACTGATAGTGGTCCAACATCTCTTTTCTGCCTTGCTTAAACTTTAAGTAACTCAAGAAACCATGACTCAATAAGCAGAACGGGAGCTGATAGGGTATCAGATGACAGAAGAGCAGAAAATGGAAAGAAGAAATGGAATTTTGTATTGAATCTGCAGAATTACAAGTATGGTGGCTGACCTTTCTAGAGGTCAGCTCTCTCATCTAGCAGTGAAACTGCCCCAAAGTGACATTAATTCCAGCCTAATGCTAAACAAATCATCCCCCCTCCCCCACAAACCTGATCTCGTACAGAAAAACCCTTCTAACAAACTCTAACAGAATCAGTTCTTCCCTACATGTCCTTCTGACATGTCATGATAGTGGCTTGGCCCTGGATTGTCTATAACCATTTTACCCTTCCTAACATACACCCTGGTTACTACTGGCCTATCAGGAGCCTACAAAGAAATATCCATAGTCATTCCCAACCTTCATCTGAAAATTCAATTCGTAATTTTTGTTGATTAGCCTTTTAAGACTTCTGTGAGAATTTATGAACTTGAGAGAATTCTTGAACTAGTCCAAGAGTGATATATGGGCAAGAGAGTGTGATAGTCTCCCCGTAATTGATTGTAACTCACTTGGAGAGGCTAGGGTGGACCGAAAGACACTTGTTCATCAGTAAAAATCTCAGCGTTGCTGGGATTGGATGTAGACTCCACATTGAAGATTGAACCAGAAAACTCAATGTACAAGCTTTCATCATCCTATTTGTCAAACTTGGTGTCTATCTTATCCGGGGATAGACCTTCAATATGATATAGTTTTTGTCGCCCTTAAAGGTAGTCTGAATGACTTGGGACCACTGTAAATATTTTTTTTAGTGAGACAGTAGGTTGTATGCAGAACCGGGAGGTTGTTTAGATTGACCGATGTGGTCACAATGGATTCAAAAATGGATTGCGTGGTCTGGCAGGAGGTTTGGGTGATCTCTGAGTCAAACATGGTTGCCAGAGGCAGACTGGGCAGCTGGGCCATGGCAGAGATGAGAGAGAGAACACATAGGTGATGCTGACAGTGTGGGCACAACAGTTCTGCTGGTGGCTTTCACCAGTCAGAGCTACAGCGATGGCGGACGGCTAATAGTGAGAAATTCTAAGAAATTCATTGGTGATGCAAGCCCAATGAAGGCGTTGTCTCAGGAACAATGAAGGAACAAACGGATAGGGGTTTGGATACTACGAAAGCTGTTGGGATTGGCTGCACTGAATGCGGCCTTCACAAGGCTGCGATGAAGATGTTACAACAGGACTTCACAATGGGGGGCAACCTTCCATATGGAGGGTATACACTAGGAAGAGTATGACCCATAGGCAACCGTAGCCAATTAGTACAGTCAGTTTCTTTTCTATTTTGACTGTGGTCAACAAATCAGTTTGCATAAATAGTAGGATTCCTGATTGTATTATACAGAGAATTACTTGTATGTTTTAAAGAGAACTCTGAGGTGAGGCTCAGACACGGAATTCCTTCCCTGGGAGGAGGGTTACTGATAAGAATCTTGAGGTGCACCACCCCAAAAGCTAGCTCAAAGGGTGGGAGTGCCCAAGGCCTTATAAACCCCACATTAATTGCTCATACAACCAATGTGGGACTCCAAGTCCCATACCTTGCATTGCAATGCCGGCGTCACCACCCGCACCGCTCGATTGCAACCGGGAGATATAATGGAAGGCTCTGATACCATTTGATAAGAACCTTGAGGTGCACCACCCCAAAAGCTAGCTCAAAGGATGAGAGTGCCCAAGGCCTTATAAACCCCACATTAGTTGTCCATACAACCAATGTGGGACTCCAAATCTCATACCTTGCAAATAGGTCCTAACAGTTACCCTCTTGTAAACTTTCAATATGTTAATAAAGAATCAATTTTCAACCATTAAAATTGCTTTCTTGCTCTGTTTTCCTACGTCTGAGTAATACAATAGTCAGTTGAGATTTCCAGGGCGTAACAGAAGACAAGCTAAAGTTTCACGGAAGCAAAGTCTCCCAAATCGAGAGCTCTGATACTATGTTGAAACTTGAAATTCTGAATTTAAATATTTTTACATAAAAGTTTACAATTTATATACTAATGTTGGTGCAAAAAGTCAAAGAGTTGATGGTAAAAAAATTCAAAGGTGTCTGGCTACCTTTGACTAATTACAAAATTATTAGTTTTATATTTACAAGCTATAACACTAGTCAAGCCTAGTGCATCTAGCCAGTTATAATTTAGAAGAAATGATACTGTCTAAATATCAAACCACAAAAACAAATAGTGGAGGAGAATAGTGAAAGCAAAGCAACGCCCTGTATAAACTGGCAATTTCATCTAAGCAGCGTTTCTACTACACCGGTAATAAAAAAGTGAGAAAGCCAGCATTATGCTGATTTGAATTTCATTTTAACATAGAGGGGAAAAAAGAGGAAAGAAAGAAAGTTGAAAATATTTTTTGTTTTTTCTATTGGGTAAATACTAATTGGAAATTTAAGAAAGTTTTCCTTAACTGAATGCTCCCTTAGCAACCTTGCTAGGAACACTATGAATGCTTCTTTTTTTCCTATTATATTTGTATATTAAGTAAAAAAAACCACTACCCATTAAATCCCGACTAGCGAGGGTGGGGTAAGAGCAATCTTTGTACTCAGCCTTACCCTCGCATAATTGCAAAGAGATTATTTCCCGGATTTTTGTACATTAAGTACCAAAAAAAAATAACAATTAAAAGTGAAATTGTCAATCATAGAACATATACCTTGGTGCCTGTTCACTGTTCTTCAAAACTGTATGTGATTTGAAAGACCACCTTGCAGGCTAAAGCCAAAAGAAAACCACGTATAAGATTATCTTTTATAATATAAAATCAGGTATTCGACATCAAATTAAGTTTCACAAGTTATGAAATGGACTGGAAGACATGCACATTAGGGTTTTCTCGCTAACTTTTAAGAACAAGAACAAGAACAAGATGTGGCGTAGCAGAATATGTGTATGGAATATTCAGGTAGACTAAACTTCTATAAAAGGCTTCATACATGATAATTTTACTATTTCAAACAAGCAGGGATCAGGACCACGATATATTAATAAGATAAACACCTTCCATCTAAACTTCCACCTGCCTGTTTTAGATCTAATCACACCTTTATCCTGAACTGCAAGATTGTAAAATTATTCCTCCTAAAATCATTCTATATGCTCAAAAAAAATGTATATATGGCAAAAACAGTTAAAACATTGAATAATGTATGTATTTATATCATTATGTGTACGTTGAGGAAAAAGATAATATTATTGACTCCTTGTACAACACAAACAAATTGAATAATAGATGGCAGTTGTACCATGTCAGCCGTGTGTTTTCAAGAGAACAGAAGCAAGAGGGGAGAAAACAGATGACAACAAAACATGTTGAAAAGTTTTAAAGTTGAGCTATGCTCAACGAAAAACAAGAAAAAAGTACAGTTGCCAAAAGCAGACATGACTTACAAGCTTCAGTTGCCGGGGATAAGGGCAAGCCCCAGGGGCACCATAATCGACAGCCAAGACGTTAACACCTTCCTGAAACAGAAAAATGGAAAGAGTGAGACTCAAAAAGATTAAAAAGAAATAAATGTAAAGATAGATCTGTAAGAAAAGCTATCAAACCAAAGTTCAGTTCTGTTTCCAGGTTGAACTATTCTACTTGTTATATAGGGAACTCCACCCATGTACTATCAAGTCTCTTCAATTTATATGAAATATGAAAAACTCACTAACTTTTCAAAAGTCAAAACCCACTTTCTCTACTTTTTCAAAATCAACTGTTCCACTATAAAAATTACAGCTATTGAAGAGTTGAAAATAAACCCAACTACGGTCTATGACTTTCTCTTTTTTTCATCATATATAAAAAAATGGATACAAAATTTTAAAAATAAAAAAATATTTTCTATTAGAATGCCTCTTAACTGTCAAGAGGCTAGTATTTTGTCTTTGACTGTAGCTTGGATAAACAAAATTATTCATCAAAAGACGTTTTGGAAGGTAGCAAAAGTAGTTCTTGATGAATCAAAAGGGTTTGGAGTTTGGAACTAATAGTAAAGATTCATGGTGGTGGGAAAAAAGTGTTCAAGATAGGGATAAAAGTATAGATATTACTTTAAAACATTGCACCAATGTAGTAGTACCGAAAACTAGGAAAAGTATCAAGTAGCTAAGAAAGATACTAAAATCTTAAAAAAAGTTATCTAGGTGAAAGCAGAAGCTTTTCAGGGGTTACATCAATCTTTAGGCGCCAAAAATGAGGAAAAACATAGATACAAGCTTTCCAAGGGAGATGACAGGAAAACAAGAGGTTTAGTTTAAATCCGGTGAGATACATTCAGAATGAAGATGGACAAATCTTGGTTAATGAGCAAGACATTAAGGAAGAGTCAAGGAGTCATTTCTACAAGCTATCCAACAAAAGGCATGCCACAACAATAGACTTGAGGAGTTGAACTTCAACCGCTATAGAGGCTGATCAAAACTATGCTTTTTATCACACAATCCAAGAATTTGAGGTAAAGGAAGCACTAAAGAAGATGGACAACAGTAAAGATAGTTTGATTAAAAGGGATAGACAAAGAGTGAAGAAAACTTTAAGAGAAACCATTAAAAAAACCTTACTCTCAATACTTTATTGAAATTTTGGATTTTGATATAGCATAATTGGTTGTTTGATCCATATGAACACAAACACAGCTGTAATGCACATTCCCAAAACCATTTGTGTAAGAGCTGAAGCAAAACACATCAATTATCCCAAAATCCAAACACTGCTTATGAATCAATAATCCTATCCTATTCTATACATTCATTCTACCAAATTCATTAACTGAATCTACATAATAAGACATTCACTATTTTTCCCCATTTCCAGAAGACTGTTGAGTTTGATTTTCAAATGAGACGAGTATTTATGATGAATTCCTTTATGTACCAAAATTTGAACTGATGGGAGGAAAAGTTATCTTTGCAAATATAAAAGAACATCAATGCAGTATAAACAGCATATTTTATTATAATAAAGCAAATTACCATGTGTATTACAAAATGCTCCTCCAATCCCTCCCCTGGAAGACATCGCTGGATTCAGAAATGCAGAACTGTTAGTTATATTTGGAGTCAATAGTTCAAACAATCATCGCAACACCAAATAAAAGAGCCACAACTACCAAAATAGCATGACCAATGCAGTGGCAGCATAACAAGACTTCAAGCTATTGAAAGACATTCTTAAGAGTTAAAAACCCTACCAGGAAAAAATAAAAAGAAAAAAAGTAATAGCTTTCATTTAATATCACATGGTAAGCGCTGAACAAACCATACCCAGCATTATTAGTACAGTACTGCTAACTATCATATACCACAGTACCACCATTATCAACAGCACCAAATACATTGCCAGAAAAGGGAAAAAACAGACCGAGAAGCTAAAAGCTTCACACTTCCCAAGCATAAACCCGATTGTAAACCAACAGTATGAGCAGTAAATGAGAAGGACCAGGACCACCATATTTAGTTTTGAAAATTCACACTATCCAATGGACAAGAACTTGATTCGTATTTATACTTACAGCTTTCACCGAAGAAATAATATACTCCCTGCCAGGAGGGCTCAAAACATTAGATGGCAGTCTAATCCTATAGAAATCATCACCTTGCAACAGCTCCTGTAATAAGAGAAGAGCGCCAAAACTTTATACAAAGCTAGTATGCCAGAACACACACGGACAAAATAACTCGATGGAAAACAAATAATTACTTGAAATTTCTTTTGCTCAATATCAGTCAAAGGATCCCGCTTAAACCGCAGCTTCGTCAACGTCTGTCACGAATCAAAATTGCTTTTCAGTCCAACAGTATGAACCTCGCATATATCCATTAGAACTCAGCGCAATAAGATGGAACTAACGCCACAATAATATTTATGGTTTTGCACAGAATTAGACTCGAATCGACACAATACACATTCACGAATCGTTATCCTTGGTTTAAAAGAAAAACAACTCTAAAATTCTAATATGTTAGAGAAAGAGAACAAGATTTAGAAAGAAGCAACGGTTATCCATTAATAAGACGAGATAACAAAGGGGGAGAGAGGGAGAGGGAGAGAAATAAGTGATTGAAGAGAGTAACGAACCTGAGCGCCGTGGCTCCAAGTCTTTAGGCGAGCGGAGAAGTTACCGGCGTCGAAGAAATCGGAGTCTCCAAAAGCGTGTTGGAGTGGGAACTGGATCTTGGAATCGGAGGCAGAGTCTGAAAACCTCTTGCGAGTGGTGGTGGAAGCAGATGAAGGTGTGTGGGATTCAGGAAAATCGGAGGAGCGTCCTCCTTCGAGGCCAAATTCTTCGTCGTCGAGGTGAAGCTCGTCCGATTGAAAAGCGAGTGAGAGAGAGTAAGAGAGGAACAGAGTGAACAACAAAACCAACCGGAATATTCCCATTCTCGCGGCGGAGCAGATCGCAACTGAGTCTGCTTTCTCAAAACCTTTGTTATACCCGCTGAGTCAATTATATTTCACTTTTTTATTTTTTATTTTTTTTATTTTTTTAGTAGACCGTCTAGGAGCTAGGAGGCTGTTAGATTACTTTTTAGCGCAAAAATAATAAGCTGAGAAAGATAAATTAAATCGAGCAATTTTATAATGTTTTACATTTATAATGGATTTTTAAATAAAAATTACAAATGAAGTAGAAACGGTAAAAACATACTGAAAAATAACTATCCAATTAAATAATATAGAGAATAATTATCGAACTAAACAATACAGGGGTGCTTTGCTAGGAATTCAGAAAACATAGAAATGGAATTACATATTTATGGAATCATGAGTTTGTATCATTCAACTCTTCATCAAAATAAACATTATCCCCAAGGTTCTTGATGTCCCCAAGATTGGAGATTGTCATTTGATGTTGGGTCAAGTTGGTTATGGTCAAAGTGTTCATCGCAATTAAAATAAAACAGAGCTCTTCCCGCCTGACTTTCATTTCTTCGATGGCTAATCGTTGAACATCCGGTGGGAATTTTGATGGTGTAGAGGTTAAAGGCAGTGCTTTATTGTGGAATGAAGTAGGAGGTGAAGTGGATACAAGAGGGAAGAGAGTTTGTCTTCTTCGAGTTTGGCGAGACCCTGCGCTTGAAAGATGGTTGTTGGTTGGAGAGCTTGTATCTCTTTTCAGATTGTTGGTTTAAGACCAAATATAAAGTTGTGAAGCAGGAGCTATAATGGAAGGTTGGAAATGCGATTTGCTAAGGATTCATATGCAGTGATGTAGGCTTGAACAGCAGTCGTCTGTTGGAGTTTTGCAAGTGATCCTATGTGATCAGCATAGGGAGAATCACCAAAACGAGCTTCAAGTGCCATAATGAAGTCGTGTCAGTCATTGAAGGGGTGGTTAGAGTGCATCCATTGGAACCAAGCAAGGATTGGTCCGTCTATGTGAAAAGAGGCAATATGAAGTTTTTGTTGTTGAGGAGTATGGTGAAAGTCGAGTGACTGTGTAGCTTTGAAGAGCTAGCCTGAAGGATTTGTTCTGTCAAAGCGTGGGAAGTCAAGTTTGAAGGGTCTAAGTTAAAGGACAGGTGGGAAATATGGAGGTGGTAGTGGTGGAGGAGGAGGTGGAGGTGGGTTATTGGTGGTTGGGGTGATATGCATGAGTTGGTCAATACGGCTTATTAAAGTGGTAAATGTAGTCTGAACCTCATCAGGCAATGAACAGTCTGATTTGATTGTTTAGTAAGGTCAAAAAATTGTGTGGATGTTTTGCAAAGTTGGTTGATTTGGGAAGATCTTGGGTAGAGTTTTCGAAAAGTTTGTTGATTTGTGTGGCATGGTTTTCTTGAATTTTTTCAAGTTTTCTAAAACACGTTCCTTCAGCCATGGATGAGGAGAGTGGACTCAACGAGAGCACCAAATGTTAGATTCATATTTAGTAAATGATAAGCTTAAGGAAAGGAGAAAAATAATCTAAATGAAGCAATTTTCTTATATCTTTTCATTCATAATTGGTTTTTAAATAAAAATCACAACTAAAGCAAAAACAGTAAAAATATAATGGAAAATAATTCCCCAACTAAACAATATGGAGAATAACTACCCAATTAAAAAATACAGGGTGCTTGCTAGGAATTCAGGAAACATGAAAGTGCAGTTACATATTCATGGGATCATGAGTTTGTATTAGAGGTTCGGTCACTACACTAATGTGATGTGCTTGAGGTTTTGGATTGGAATAAGCTTTATATGATTAATAGGATGTGAAGCGAGGGACCATTTGAATGGTTTTTTTTTCTCTAAAAATTGCTCTCTCTTTTTTTCAAAAATAAAAAGTACTTCTCACTTCAAAGTTTGTTTTGATGTCTCCTTTTTAAAAAAGCACAAGTCACAAAAAAATAAAATAAAAAACTGTTTTTTTTTAAGCTAAAAATTTTAGCTTGTAAAAAAAGCAAGTCAAATGTCAATTTTTTTTTTTAAATAACTAAATAGATTTAGTTTTTCTAAAAAACACTTCTAAAACGACGTTCTTTTAGAAGTAAATGCATATAAGTATATAACTTATCTGCATTAACTGCAGAAATATCTTTCTGATTTAATATATTTCTTTTTGAATGAGATCTTAAATAAAATTATACATGTTGTAACACAATGCACAAAGGCATGCAACAACAAGCACCAATTGGGGAGGGGATTTAGTGGTATTGTTTTCTCTTTGTATAAAATTACAATTGCCATATCTAATTTCCTAGTATATCCTAATAAAATAAATATATATAATCTAATATATTAATAATATTAAATAATATAGTCTAATGAAAATATTTAACGCGATATAGTTATAATTGAATGAAAAAATATATATATTCATGGGAAGAAAATGAAATTTGGTCAAACAGAAAGTAATTTTGTGATGAATATTTCTATTTTTTAAAATAGATTATCTTGTATCTGGTAAATCCTTAGCCCTCTCAATAGAATGTTTTTGTAAATTATGGTAAATGTAAGTGTACAAAGCGTGATTTCACATTCAAAGTTTAAATGTACTTTAACAACTTTATTTATGCCAGAGTTTGGTTTTGTTGGATGGTAGTTTAGAAGTGGACAAATGAGTCATTATTTCTACCACTGTACATAATTGTTAATCTCCAAAATTGGTTTTAGTTAAATATTACACAATTTATTATTATTATTATTACTTTATTTTTATGAATTTTTTTGAGAAAATGATATTTTTCGTTATTATGACTGTAATGATTATAGTTAGAAAACCTTAATATTATTGAGATTTTTATCACATGTGCTTGTTTTGTGCTAACCTTCTTATAAGACCATCATGCCTAGTCTATACTTGTCGGTGAAGGATGGACGGTTACTGTTTATCGTTATGAATGACGTTCAGAATTTTATATAGTAATTGAAAATCAATGAGCTGTAGCTATATTCCACATAGACAATGTGAAAACTTATATTTATAGGCTAGATTAAAATGAGACTTATGTATTGTATAAATTTGTAACTTTAAGTAGTTAGGAATGAAATATATATATGGTACTGATGTAAAATAGTTTAGGACATAGACTTATTGTAAGATATTTAGAATGTGAAAAGTTATCTAGTAACTCAAATCCATTTACAATATAATGAAGGATGTTAGTTTAACTAATTGACCTTCCTGAGTTTATATTCCTCTATATCTCTTGTTATTTTATTAAAATATAATTTAGGAAACAATATGATATTCTCTAGTCACAGAGGATGTTATATGTGTTAACACTAGTGTTTTAAAACTCGGATCGATCATCAAACCGGTCGAGGTACTGGGTCACTGGTTCAACCGAATTCAACCGGGTTGAACCAGATAAACTGTTCACGTATTAGAAATATAAAAATATTACTTATATTAATAAAAATTCACATAAAAAAATTATCAATGAGCTTCAAAAAATAAATTGATTTTCAATGATAGCAAATATTATATACTTATAAGCTTCTAGCTTTAGACCTTATCCTAATATTGGATTAAAATTGCAATATAAGTTAAATGCACCTTTTGTGCTTGACATGATACGGATAAATTAAATCATGATAACAAATAGTATGCATGAAATGTACACTAAGAAAAAAGTGTCACCGTTATCATGATAACAAATAGTATGCATAAAATATACACTAAAAAAAAAGTGTCCACCGTTGAGATGAGCTCATGAGACCATCAGTGTTTATTACCACTTAACTTCATGAGATCATTATAAGATGCAACTAAATTACATAAACGAACTGCACTAATCTAAAATACCTTATTATTTTCACCTTACTTTTAATCATATTCATCATAAAATATGAATATGATTTAATTCAAGAGTTCTTATAAAAAAAAATTACCAAAAAAAAAAAAAGAATAACCGGTCTAACCCGGGTCACCGGGTTTCGGCCGGGTCAACCGGTTCAATCGGGGTTGGCTGCAGAAGCATAACTGGTCCATATTTAATATTTTATATTTATTTTAATCTTTTATGATTATGATTTCCTATATTTAATGCTTTCACGTTAAATATGAAGAATCATAACCATACAAAGATGAAAATAAATATAATCATTGGATCAACATAATCGATCTATCGATGAAATTTATTGATAGTAATATTTGTAGTAATATTAATTGATTGTTATAATATTCTATTTCTATTTTACATGTGTATATTTTTCCCCCGAACCCAACCCTAAAACTCGTGCGCAAAACATAGTAGTTCTTTTGTGGGTAAATATTCCAGATCGAATCCAAAACAAAACAAAACAAAACAAAAAAGAAGAGTGAGCAAAGCGAGTGGTGTGTTGGAGTAGTAGAACCCTAATACGAGCACTGAAGTGGTGGAGTAAACATGGATGCCATACGAAAGCAGCTTGATGTGTTGATGGGAGCAAATCGTAACGGAGATGTCAGAGAAGTTAATCGCAAATACTACGATCGCGATGTTTGTCGCCTCTATCTCGTTGGCCTTTGCCCTCACGAGCTCTTTCAGCTCACGGTAACCACTTTTCCATCGTTCTCCGTTTCTTTCTTTCTGGTTTGGTTAGGGTATCGTTTTTTTAATTCTATTATTTACTAAATCCGTTTCAGAAAATGGATATGGGACCTTGCCCCAAGGTGCACTCCTTACAGCTAAGGAAAGAGTATCCTTAACGATCTCTCTATGTATTTTACTTAGGGTATTGCTATTAAACAAGATTGTTTTGTTTGAAATTAAAATTACGCCCCGAACAATGTTTATTATTGTGTTTTTGGAATAGTGCTTAACTGTTTTCTAGATATGAAGAAGGGAAAGCCAAGGGGACTGATAATTATGATAGGGAGTTGGAGGATGTTATAGATAAACTCATTGGTGAGTGTGATAGGAAAATTGGCAGGGCTCTGAAGCGCCTTGAGGACGATGATGCAAAAGCTGCAATTGCAATTTCGGTCTCTGAAGTCACTCAGGTGACTGTTTTGTTCCGGTTTTGTTTGTTTGTCAGTGGTGATGATCCTGCAAGTTGTAATAATTATTTTGTTCAATGTGCAGACACCTGAGGTGCTTGAGTTGTCAAAACAAATCAAAGAGAAGTTGAACGAAGCTGATGAATATGGTATTATTGTTACTATGTAAACTTTTTTTGTTCTTTTGCTTTTTGATGAAATTGTAGAAAAGAACAGAATACTATGGGGATAATACATGACATGGAACTGTGAATGATGTCTGTTTATATGGTCGTAAACCCATTGTTTTTCTTGTCTCGAGTTGTAGCTTTTGCCTTTAGTTGAATGTCTATGTTGCTGGAGGTATCAATGTATCGCATTAACGGCTATATTTGCTTTTTTGCCCATAGTTGCAAGTTTGTGCTTTTCATGTGAAAATCTGCATTTGTAGATAGGGGTGATCTGTTTTTAGGAATTGAATAGATCCCAATGCAGAAGTTGGTAGTTACATCCCTTGACAACTATGCAAGTTCAATTATTAGATTGCAGCATTTTTAAGTATGAAAACTGCAGATGATCAAATTTAACTTGATTAGATTTGAAACTATTTGATATGTGATTAAATGCTTTTATTCCTCACACAAAAGTTGATTAAACTTAGTATCAAAACTTAACAGGATGGAAGATTTCATTATCTTTTATCTTTCTAACATTTAGCTGAGGTTGTGAATAGGGTATGCTATGCCATTTAACAGTGGGTCTGTTGAATCACGTGACAAGAAGTCAAATTATCAAAGTATTTGAACTTGCTTATTTTACAAGTGCTTGAAATTGTTTTTTCTGTTGTACATGAAGTCATGAGTGATGTTATTTTTTTAAAGTTTGATGCATGTCTTAAATGGTGAAAAACCTGGTTTTTGTTCATTTTTTTTACTTGTATAAAACAATTGTGGATTTACAGATCTTGAAGGCAAGACAGATCTCAAGATTCGAGCTTTGGAGGTTGTAGAGGAACTTAGAACTAAAAGAGCAGACAAGCAGGTCAGCGATCTCAATATTTTTTCGCAATTCATGTTGTTAGACTGTCATGTCAGTTTTCTGATCACTATTATAGATGATTATACTAACAACCCTTTTTGTTTTTGTTTTCTATCAATTTGGAACAGTCTATGCTTCTTTTAGATGCCTTTAACAAAGATAGGGCATCTTTACCTCAACCTCTGCCAAATCCACCACCTTTGGCACCCATTCCGGTGGTTACTCCTGATCCTCGAACACAGGAGATGATAAATGAAAAGTTGAAGAAGGCCGAGGATCTTGGTAAGTCAGTGATACTCTTAGCACATGTTTGGTTTTGCTTAATTTTTTCACATAAGTAGCTTTGCGGATAAAATCTGTTTCTGCAGCATTTTGATTATCTTTAACTGTTGAACACAAAATAAGATAATCCAAACACACCATGTGTCGCAATTATCTTTAAAACCCTTTTTAGTTTTAAGCAGCTACAAAATTTGCTATATGTCTTTCAAATGCTGATGCATTCATTACAACATTAGATGATTATGAATTAGCAATCTGATATATTTCTGGATTAAGAGATGGATAACTTGGAGAGAAATCCCCTTACGAGGGAAATATAGTCTGAAAACTAGAAACACAGAATATACTCTCAGAAATAATTCTGAGCCAAGATCCCATTCTATTTTGTCTTGATTAATTATTCATTTCATCTTCACCTCCTTCAGTTATGACAGCACATCCCCCTCCCGTTTCTCTTGGAACCCTTTCTATTAGCGTAGCTTTTATAATGTTAGTGAGTATAGAGATATGGAGGTCTGTATTCTGACCCATTACTGTAGTTCATGTTGTACCAGATTCTGATCACTATTTGGTTATTTTGTTACTAGTCTGTTAGATCAGTTAGTTAGCTGAGTGACTCATTGTTGAGTCATCAGCAGGTCTATATATAGTGCTTGTATCAGAAGCTTTTATATCAGTTTTCTATTCCACAAAAACCTGAATATAATGTGTTTCTTTCAGATTGTCTTCCTCTCTCTTTCTCAAACTTTCTCTTGTTTTCTTGATGCTACACAATTCTAATACTTTCGAATTCCTTTGGTGCCTCTGTTGCTTCCTTCGGTTCAATTCCCAAACTGCATCTTCTGTCTGGCCTTCTGTATTCCTGGAGAGTGGTTTTTCTAATACTAGGCTTAATAGGCTTCTTCTTTTTTACATAAACTTTCTTAACCCGCCTATCATAATCTCATGTCTCTACCCTTTGTCATGTACTGTAGTCAATTGTTTCTTGCAGTCCATTTGAGTCTGGCATACTTCTGTCTTCCTCTCATAAAATTTAGTTTTGAAATGCTACTGGCAGAATTATCTAGTAAAGGCTGCTCTTCATAAACTGCAATAACGAAAGCAAAAGATATAACATATTAGTAAAACTTGAACTACTAAGATAGAGCATGAATAGTTATAAGTTTTATGCCTTTCAATACCTATTACTGAATAGGAAGATGATTTATTGAGTTTGATGCGGCCGGAGTATTTATAAAGGAAGAATTTTTTATGAATAGTAAAGGATGGTAAAAAAATCAAAAGAACCATAGAGAGCTTAGTCATGACTCATGACTTAATTTGATGGCAAAAACTGATACAATAGTTCCTAAGGGTCTTTTCAAGCTTCTAATAACCCTAGCATCATATCAATCAATTACATGTCTTAAGTAAATGTCACCACTCAAGTTTATCAAAGGTCACATGCTGCTCCAACTCCCCTAAAAATAGCTCATGCCAGTTAAAATAACGTCTTTAAAATATTATAATAGCTCATTTGTCATGCCTCCGAATTGAAAATAACTAATGCTGATATGACCCTTAGGAATGAAAAAAGAATGGAATACTTGTGTTTGAAAATAACATTTGTCATGACCACAAAAAAGAATGGAATCAAAAATATTGAAGAGAAAATCTGCATGTCTCAAAAGGACTTTACCATTAATATGATCTAGTTTTTTATTTTATATTGTAAAACTAATATATTGTGAGTTTTTAGCTTTAGCCTCTGGGAAGATTTGGTATACTTGTGTTTTAACATCAACATAATGACTGCTGCCTGGTAGTCATGATAGCATTTTCGTTTTGTTTGGATCTTGATGCTGTATGTGTTTAGCTAAAAACAAACAAATTCGACCCTAAGCTTTGTCCTTTGCCTTCTGTGTAGCAACTCTAAAATGTGAACAGATTGCTTCTTGCAGAAAATCCTCTTTATTTATTATTTAATGATATGTATTTTTAATGAACAGGTGAGCAAGGAATGGTTGATGAGGCACAAAAAGCTTTGGAAGAGGCTGAAGCGCTTAAGAAGGTACTTCATTTTTTTTTTCTTATTCATTTTCAGCTTTTACTTATGTAATGGCTCTAATGGTCTGATTCTTCTATCTCAGCTTCCTGCGAGGCAGGAGCCAATATTGGATTCTTCAAAGTATACAGCTGCAGATGTGCGGATTGTGAGTAGATTTTTTTTGATCTCTAACTCTTTTTGTTTGATAAAAAATTACATTTATATTCCACCAATACAGCAAATGAGATGTTAGAATAAATTAAATAAAGTGTAGGAAAGAAGCTCCTCAGTCCCTTTCAGTGTCATAATTCTTGACCTTGTCAATAATTTTATATTAGTTATTTGTCCGATGTATACAACTTGCGAGGTATACCATCATGACATATCTTGTTCCAAACCTACTATTCATTGTAAGTTCATATTTATGGGAGTGCAATATACGCATATGTATCTCTTTTTCCAACTTTGTAGACAAGGAAATGGGAAAATAATTTCCTATATCTTCGCCTCATATCCACAATTTTGAAATATTTAGGTTTTTTGTTTTTTAGCTGATAATTTTTTGCTTATTTAGTCATATTAAAATATAAGTGTAATGATTCTTACACCTGTTTTACTCATATAACAATTCAGACTGATCAGAAGCTACGTGTGTGCGACATTTGTGGAGCATTTTTGAGTGTTTATGACAGGTAATGATCCTGCACCCCCTACATCTTTTCCCCTTATTAAGTGTTGCTAGGGATTTTTGGAGTTAGAGTTTGGGGTTTCAAGTGCTTCAGCTTTTGACCCGTTAGTAATACCTCCTTGTCACCAGCAGGCTCTTGTGCCAGTTTTACGAGGATAACTTTTGCAGCTAAAGAATGTGCGTCTTTTCTGTTTTTTGCTCGTAGATCATGCTATTCTTAGCTAGAAATTCTTGGGGAAATCATGTCGTACATCAGTATAATATCTTGATGCTTTTGTATATTTTGCTTTAATGTTTTGATTTGCATTATCATTTACAGTGATCGCCGTTTAGCTGATCATTTTGGAGGGAAACTTCATTTAGGGTATATGCAGATTCGTGAGAAGTTAGCAGAACTTCAAGTAAGACATCTTTCATGCAGTTCTAATCTTGAGTGATTTTATTCTATTCTGAAACTGGTTGTTAAATATGTATTTCATTTTAGATATGGAGAAAATGTTAAGGATTTGCCAGTTGGTTGTTTGCTGCATGACTCCTAAAGCCTCTCTTTTGGTTGCTTTTCAGGCTATTGCTTCCATCTAATTCTTGAAATATATTTAATAATTCCATCTTTCTGCCATAGTATAAAATGAAAAAAGAATAATGTGCTAAGTGTATTTTGTTCGTGATCTGATGCATTGGTTCAGGTGCTGGTGTTTGTTTGACTTAGTTCTAAAGAGATTCCGAATTAGTAGATGATGTGAGTTTTCTAACCTAAAAAAGAATGGATTTTACGTCTTGATGGTGGTCATCCTTTATTAATAAGTAATAACAAAGGTCTCAATTTGGTCCTAAAACATGTAAACTTGTGAACGGATGCACTTGTCATTTTGGTTTGATGTTTGTTCTGGCATTGCACTTCGTAAGTTAATATGGTTTCTTACTATTAAAATATAAAGAAAATCAGAATTTCTCAGATTGATGTCTCTGGGTTCTGGTCAAGCGATTAAATTTATGTCCATCAGTGACAATCCTGGCTATTTCTATAGCAAGTTTGTCGCTTTGTGCACTCAGTTTTTTGGCCTCCCATAATGTTATAGGAGTAATGTTTTCATCAATTTTGGCTTGTTGCTCAATACCAAAATGATTTTTTTTTCCTTCCTCTATTGTTAACTCTACTATTATGTCTGATTATTTCATAGTGTTTAGCCATTCATAGGCAAAAGGAAGAATCAAAAGAATCGGATGGTGGGATTGACTTTGAATAGTTCGGGGGTTGTGTTTTCGGGCATGTATTAAGTGTATATGTGAATTTTGTATATGAACTTTTGCTTAGGAAGAATCTCAGACTTTGTTATTTTCTGGATCAGGAAGAAAGGAACAAGAGCCGTAAGACTGAACGGCATGATGACAGGAGGTAAATTCCATTGCTTCAAAATATAGAAACATATTTGATGAACAGTGAAGTATAATTTCATATTTGGTTAAATATTGTGCGCATTTATTTTGCCTTAGATCAAAAGAACGGAGTAGGGATCGTGACAGGGAGTCGAGTAGGGACCGTGAACATGTTGAGAGTCATGAACGAGTGCGAGAGCGGGACTATGATCGCAGGAGCAGGGATCGTGATAGGCATCACGATAGAGACCGTGGATATGATAGAGACCGTGACAGAGATGCAGACCGCTCTCGCTCCTATGAATCAAGAAGTCGTCGGAGGTCCCGCTCAAGATCTCAAGAGCGTTCTAGGGACTATGATCGTCATAGGTACAAGCTTGCTTGACTGTTCCTTCAATCCTCCCTCCATTTGTTTTTGCATCCTTTTTCCACAACATGCTTTAGTTAACCATGGAAAACAAGTGCAGGGGATCCAATAGGAGTGACATAAGTGGGTCCAAAGTCTGAGAGTCAAGTAGAGCTTACTATATCGTCACTCCTAAAGCATCCCTTGTGGTATCCAAATACAGGGGCACATGCATAGCTTTTGCGTTGAAAGTCTCTGGCTTAGTCTTTGGTTATTTCGTTTTCTTTTTTTCGTACATCTTTTTATGCATCTAATCTTTGGGAGGTTATATCTTTAGAGAATAAGTGAGGGATTGCAACTATTGATGAAAAAATCGAGTGGATTCTAACAAAATGTATGGGTTGTTATGCATGTATATGTAATATTAACAATTGATTTTCTCGTTAATGGTTGAAATCCCTTACTTTTTCCTGTAAAATGAGGTATCACTTCATTCATATTTTACTTATCAGTACCTGGTGCCTAACTTTTCTCAATACTTTTTTGCCAGGCGTCATGATCGATACTAGCAATTGCCATGAATCTTATGGATATGAATAGCCTAGGTGGTTGTTGAACCTTGTGTTGGACAAATAATTTTGCAATTTCTTGTGTTGGGCTGTGTCTCCAATGATGGATGTAACTTGAGAGCTTAGATGTAGTTAAAATTATGGTTTGATGTCGCTTTGCAGATTTTTAATCCAATTTGTAATCTGCTTACTTGGAGCAGTTCCTGCGATTGTGCCTTAAAATAGTTGTTCTTTTTGGCTAATCATATGGTCCTCTTAGTTGCTTTTAGAAAAATACCCCGTGTTTAAGGAACCATGGAATTGATTTGACACCCTATCATTTTTTGTTAACCACTTGCATAGGTGATATGGGATGGTTAGTTTTTTGTTTGTCTAATATATTTAGCTAATAGTTAGTAGGGTTTGAACACTGCGGTATTTTTGGTAGAAGAGATCGGTTTCACCTTGCACCGTTGAAAGTTCATCCTATATAGATTATGTTTACACAATATTATGTTAATTTAAAATTACATAATATTTTCACTGATATAGTTTAAGATTAACGTAAATATATAAAAATATGAAATATTTGATTATATGTTAAATGATGATAAGGATTAATTATAATTTCACATTTGAGTCGATAAATTTATTAAGTCTTACACTATATATATATATATATGGGAAAAGTGTTTGTCATTTTAAATGACAGAAAATTTGAATTTTAAATTAAAAAAAATCACTCGCTTTTTCTCTCTCATGATTTTCGTTTTTCTGTGTCTATCTCTCTCTCTCCTAAAATAACATAACTTATGTCATTTTAAATGACAAACACCAAATCCTATATATATATATATATATATATATATATATATATATATATATATATATATATAGGGATAGGTTATTGTGCCTACTCCTATTTTACCTACTTTTGCCTACCCCTTTCGTTACCGTTCGATTACCATCTCATCCAACGATCCATATTTGTGATATAAAATAAACCTTTTTTTCCCTTTTTTTTCTTCTCACTTTCTTCCATACCTTTTATCTCTCCTCCCCTTTCTCTCTTCCTCTGCCATATACCTAATTTTTTCCCTTCTGCCGTCGTGGACCTCAATCTCCTGACAAACTGTTCGATTCTAATGATATTTTTAATCCTTGTAAATTAATACGATTGAATCGATGACTAACAAAGAAGTTTTGATGTGATTCAAAGCGGTGGTGCCACAAGGTCGATCTGTTCACAGAATCCTCCTTGTCTCTGCTTCAATATGTCGATCTGTTCTTCCACATGATAGATACTCTTAATTTCTAATAATTAATTGGCTATCTATATCAACATAATTGCTGGAATGGCACCAATTAACCCTCTTTCCAGATTTTCCCAATATCAATTTTTTTTATTCTTTAATTTTTTTATTTATTTTGAATCTTTTCCAACTCTGCACAGATCTTTTGAATCACATTAAAACTTCTTTGTTAGTCATCGATTCAATCTTATTATTTTATAAAATTTATGTTGTTCTTCAGATCTAAAAACTTGTTGTGATTTTTCAATCCATTGACACTGGTAATTTGATAGAATCTGATTCAGAAGGAGAAAATTTATATTACAATAATAAAAACAGAGACTAATGTATATTGACGATGATTTCAAATGCTGTGGTAATTGATTTCAAATGCTTCTGCACCGTTCACCTGGGCAGAGATTAACGATAAAGGAAAAAAATAGGTATATGGCAGAGGAAGAGAGAAAGGGAAGGAGAGAGAAAGGGAAGGAGAGAGAAAGTGAGAAGAAAGAAAGAAAAAAAAAGGTTTATTTTATATCACAAATATGGATCGTTGGATGAGATGGTAATCGAACGGTAACGAAAGGGGTAGGCAAAAGTAGATAAAATAGGAGTAGGCACAATAACCTATCCCATATATATATATATATATATATTATGAGTTCATTTTTTCTACGGTCAATGTATATAATTTATTTATATTGAGCTCAAAACGATGTCGTTTTGAGACGGAAATCAAGGTATTTTTGTAATTATAATTTATTTCAGGGTTATAATAGTCTTTTTCATTATAATTTTTTAATTTTTCAATCCAAAACGACGTCGTTTTGAGAGCGAACGCAGATAACTTATCTACATTCATTTTAGAAACATTAAAGTCATATATATATGGGTTTAAATTGTCTCCTTTTATAGAAGATACTTATCTTATGTTAGTGAGGCATAAAAATTGTGCCATTCTTTTTTTATTTTAAAAAAATGGTGGGACCTACATAATTTGTTTATATGCATGATAAAAGCTATCTTCTATTAAAGGAGATTAGTAAATCCCTCTCTCTCTCGCTCTCTCTCTCTCTCTATATATATATAGAGAGAGAGGATCCTTTGACACTAGTGTCAAATTTTAAATTTGACACCTCGTCTGAGAGTCGTTAAATAAAAAAAGATCAATGGTGTCACATGCTTACAAATCAGAGTCGTTGATCTTTTTTGATCTAACGGCTCTCAGATGAGGTGTCAAATTTCAAATTTGACAATGGTGTCAAAAGATCCTACCCTATATATATATATATATAATATTATATCCGACAATTTATATTCCAACTCTTGACTGTATTTTACAAACGAATCAAATATTTAAGATTTTTTATTTTTATGGTGTTAGAATATTATATAACCTGGAAGTTTAAAAGAGATTGAACTTGAAATTGTAATTTTAAGTTTTAGTTAAGGGTTTAAAGTTTTTAAAGTTATTTTAGATAATTTTATCTAACATTTATTAAAGGGAAAAGTGTTTTTCATTTTAAATGACAGAAAGTTATGTCATTTTAAGAGAGATACAAACACATAAAATTTGAATTTTAAATTAAAAAAACCACTCACTTTCTCTCTCCCATGATTTCCGTTTTTCTGTGTCTATCTCTATCCTAAAATGACATAACTTATGTCATTTTAAATGACAAATACCAAACCCTTTATTAAAATACATAAAATAAAATGTATATGTCTCTGGTCTCCACCTCTCGACCAGAGCACTAATTAATGGGGCATCAATCTGAAATAAATTATACAATTATCACGTGTTAACGAAAGGTATTGAATAATCACATAAATACAAAACGTCAGAAATTGCATACCTGCATATGTCGCATGCGGGCAACGTGTATAAATCCAGCCTGTGTGAGGTAGTCTGTGACCACATTTGGAATAGCGCCGGTAGGTGGCCCCCCTTGTGGTCTCCCACGCCTGGTATTCAGTCTCCTCACATGTTCCATATTCCACACTTTTTGTGAAATATGGTCACTTTGCGTCCTCTTACGAAGGACGTCCCATCTATAAGGCCCATGTATGTACATGCTAGGATTGGTAGGCTCTGGATCCGATAAAGAACCCGAAGATGATGATGAATCAGCCATGACCCTAAACTATATAATATAAAACATCATTGAAATTAATCACATGTAACAACACATTTTATGTACAAATTAATTAAGTAATACCCTAATTTATTATCAAAAATATTAAGCATAAACCCTACGTTTTTACTACAATCGTAATTAATGAAATCATATTAATACGTAATACAGTAATTTATTGGTCAAATAATAATAATAAAACGTCGGACACAAATTAAAGCATACTGACATAATACTTAACCCTAAGTCACTAATAATTTCGTAAATATGTACTAATAATAATAACATCATACAAAATTTACGAAGTCACTATCACTATCTTCTAAATCACTAATTAATACGCTAAACCCCAATGCATAATTAAATATTAATATTAATAACTACGTAACAAAAAAATTACTAAATCATTACAACATTCATAGCATGGTACAAAATTTCTAAGTGACTATCCTTATGTTTTAAGTTTCTAATATACGATAAATCCTAACATGTTCGCAAGGTAGCGCTGTAATTTAAACGTATAAATAACAGGTATTACGAACTTACCTAAGTTGGCAGAGCTTCGCTACGAAAATTTCCGTGTTTGGTCGGGAGCACAATCCGTGGTTAGAGAGAGGTTAGAAAGAGGTGAAATGGTAAGAGTGAGTAGTGAAATGGTAAAAATAGGGGTATTTATAGGGTTGCACATGTGACGCCTAAAATGGAGCGTCAGTGCAGTAGATCCGTAATTATTCTCAAAACTGTAATAAATGCATAATTATTTAATTAAAAAGCATTAAATTAATTTTTTTGCCATCTAAAATAACTTAAACCCTTTAATTAATTATTAAGTATTTGAATGGTTAATTTTTTCGTGGCATTTATTTTATTTTTATCTTTTTAAATGTTTGAAAAACTCGAAGGTCATATTCTCTTGGTGAGAAGGACTTATATGGGAGTTCTAGAAGGAGGAATAGTTTTTGGTGAATCTTTTCTTTGGACAGGGAAAATTGACATAATGTCAATTATCAGAACGTAATTATGTGAACATTTTCCAAAAATCACCGAAAATAATCCGATGAATTTGTATTAATTTGTAAAGAAATAAAACTTTTGCTAATCGCAATGAAAAATTATTGTTCCTAGAGAATTAAATGTACTAAAAAGAGAGAAGAATTCTCTTATTTTTTCAATATACTAACATGTTTTGCTACTTGTTGAGTTGTTCGTAAGCAATACATTGTAGCAGGAATTCGCGACTAGAAATTGTATTCAAGGTGAAATTTTAGTTTCACTGTAATGGGAGATACAATATAACACAAGCAGAACTTGAAATGCAAAATAACAAGACGAATGAATCTTCTTCAGATTTGCCTAGAAGCAGCATCGGCAACAAAAGGCAAGTAAGGTGTACGACCCAAAACACAAGACCCCACACTGTAGAGGAAGCACATGACGCTGAATAGGAATATAGCATTGTGCGACCAAATCGTCACCCGGAACCCGAGCCCGGTCCGACCCGGAGAGAAGATCCGTTGGAGTAGTAGTGGAATCACGAGGAGCACGTCGAGCGTGACGGCTTGCATTGCGTTGAACCTCACATACTTGGGGAAGCTAGGGTTTCTGACGATTCCCAAGTAGAGTGCGAAGAATGCTACGAAGGAGGAGTAAGGAATGGACCTGTAGAACGAGAGTAGTGGAATTATAGGGTCGAAGAGGAGTGCTAGGTTTGGGTATTGTGAGAGGATGAATCGACCGTACTGGACAGAGTTGAAGAATGGGAGTGTGTAAGCGACGACGGAGATTAACCGCTCCGTCGCTGGCGGCGAGGAATTGTTTTGGGGATTTGACATTCGAGCCACAACGACGCCGCTTTTGAGCTTCGATTTGGATGTAGACATTGGGAAGGGTCTAAGTGTTAGGGTAGAAGGGGGTTTGAGGATGTGAGTGTGAGTGTGAGTGTGAGTGTGAAGGAAGCATGGACGGAGAAGAGTAACAGAGGCCATCTTCGAGTTCTTCAACACAGGTTTGGTCACTGCTGCTAATTTTAATTTTAGGGCTTCTACCCATTCGTACATATCAATTGCTTTGTATATGTATATAAATGGGCGTTATGCGGGAGACAAAAAAAAAAAATACAGGACACACTGTTTTTGTTTTTTTTAAATTATCAGAATCTATCTTACTTAAAAAATTATCTGAATCTGATGTTGTATCCATTTTCTCTCTCTCTTATTTTTGTGTATGAGAAGTAGAAGTCATAAAGAGAGAGAAAAAAGTGGGGCCTATATCGAAGAAAAAATAAAAAAGTGGTTAGTAGAAATATCGAACTTGAGAGTTATAAAAGAAGAGATTTTTTTTTTTTTTTTTTTTTGGAGTTACCCAACCCTAATTACTTCTTTGAGGCGAGTTGGCTCCCTCCGGTATGCAACGTAAGAAGTCTTTTTTCTATAAATTATATTGAAAAAATGTGTATCATTTTAAATGACACAAGTTATGTTATCTCATGACACAAAGAGGTGAGACACATATTTTTTATTTTTTATTTTTATTTTTTTCAGTGAGAACCACATCTCTGTGTCTATAAAATAACACAACTTTCATATATATATATATATATATATATATATATATATATAGGTTTGGTATTTGTCATTTTAAATGACATAAGTTATGTTATTTTAAGGGAGAGATAGACACAAGGAATGAAAATCATGGGAGAAAAAGTGGATGTTTTTTTTAATTTAAATTTTAAATAAAAAAATATTTTCTTGTGTCTATCTCTCTCTTAAAATGACATAACTTTATGTCATTTAAAATAACAAATATTTTCCCCTATATATGGTGTAAGACTTGCTAGTCTTACACGGTGTAAAAAGAACTTGCCCCATATATATATAAAGGAAAAGTATTTCTCCAGTGACTCCAAAATGACGTCGTTTTGGGTTATAAGATTAAAAAATTATAATGATAAAGACTATATAACCTTGCAATATATTAAAATTACGAAAACACCTTTATTTTTGCCACAATACGTCATTTTGGATTCACCGGAGATAACTTATCTCTATAGACTGGAGAAATCTTTTACCTTATATATATATATGGAGAAGTTATACTTACCATTTTTTTTTACTATCTCGTACTATCAAATGTTAACTATTGATTTCCACTAATTTAACGGTTATAATTTATTGGGTCACACTTATTAATTAATTCTTAATAAATTATAACTGTTATATTGCCAGAAATCAACGGTTAAGATTTGATAATTAAAAATAAGGGTTTAATGTTTCTACATTGAATGTGGATAAGTTATCTACATTCACTCTCAAAACGACGTCGTTTTTGGTTGAAAAATTAAGAAATTATAATGAAAAAGACTATTATAACCCTGAAATAAATTATAATTACAAAAAATACTTTGATTTCAGCCTTAAAACGACGTCGTTTTGAGCTTAATGTAGATAAGTTATCTATGTTGACTATAGAAAAAGAGAACCCTAAAAATAATAATAAAAAAAGGGAAAGGATATTGTAACAACCAAGTTGTGTTACTACCATGTTACTACCAATCAATCTCACCGTTAGATCGTCTATGTTGATCTAACGGTTATATTTATTTCCATCTTTGTATGGTTATGATTTCTCAAATTTAATACTTTCACTTTAAATATGGGGAATCATAACCATACAAAGATGAAAATAAATATAACCGTTGGATCAACATAATTGATCTAACGGTGAGATTGATTGGTAGTAACATGGTAGTAAAACAACTTGGTTGTTACAATATCCTTCCCCATAAAAAAAATAGTATAACCTCCCCCGTCCCACACACACATAACTTTATCTCCGGCTATTAAATCATAGCCATACAAAATTAGATCAATGATGATAAAGGAAGAAAGATAATCATAATCATTCAAAGTTGAATCAATTAGTATAAGGAAATAAATAAATAAAATGACGTAATTTTTTGGTAGACGGAATCTTAGCTGCTTGAGAAATATTTTTCTCATATATAGATATATTTATGTGTGCGTGTGTGTGAAATATTTTTCTCATATATATATATATATATATATATATATATATATTTATGTGTGCGTGTGTGTGCGCGCGGGCTTTACCATTCGAAATTTTTTTTTCTACAGACTCAAAGAAGTGTGAGGTCTACACTTGTTTTTTTTTTTCATGTACTTCTTTAATGGGACCCACGAATTGTTTGTCTCAGTGGCACAAGAGGTGTTTTTTTTTCCTGTCCTTCTTTAATGAGACCCGTGAATTGTTTGTCTCAGTGGCACACGAGGAATCTAATTTCCTGTAACATAATATAATATTCGGTGTAAGAAGATCCTGCTTCTACTTATATTTATATTTATATATATATATATATATGAGAAAAATGTGTATAATTTTAAAGGATGTAAAATTATGTTATAAATGCTTTATAAACATGCATTTATTCATTTAAATAGATTTAAGGTAGAAGGAGGTTCTCCCGTTTCAAGTTAAGGATAAACTATAAACTTTAATGAAAATTTACAATGACATTATATATTATAGAGCTACGTTACTACGTAGGCTCCTAAGTTCAAACCTAAGTAGTTATCGTAAGCAAAATCTCTAATTTCAAGAATCAGTTCTCATGATGGTGGGGTATCCTTTGGTATCTAATAGGTTGTATAAATTTAATTTTGCGTGTTCAAAGTAGAACCTTTTTATCAAAATAAACGTTGATTTTCTCCTTTCTTTATTGTTACAATAATTACTTCTTTGAGATTAACTAATTCATGCCGTCTTTATTTCCATTTCTCCCACCTCATAGATTAATACAACACATTTTGACAACAACGAAGATATTAAGAATTGGATATCAGCTAAAAGTTATTTTAAGTTAAAGTAAAAATAATAATTTAAAAAATAAAGCCAAAAACTGTTAAATAACTTATATACAACTATTTTAAAGATTCTGAATGAGAAAAAAATAAAATTATTTGTTATTAAGATAATTTATTACAGTAAAGAGTAAAATTGATAAATTCAAATTTAAAATAAGGGTGAAATTAAAAAATAAATATGAAAACTCAAATAATAATATATATATAATATAAAAAATTCCTCTTGCGAGCTTGACTAAATTTGAGAAAAGAAGCATAAAAAGGCTGTGAAGCACTTACTACCTTTAATTTACAAACGTAAAAGGCTTTTGCCAAATTCTAAACGAAAATAGCTGAACAATCAATATCCTTGTGTTCTTTTGACATTTAACGCCAGTTTGAGCCAAAAATCAGTGGAGACAAATTTTGCATGCGCATCAAGTCACTGACTCTTCCCTAATGATAGTTTGCATGAAACTTATTGGGAGTTATACTTACTATCATTTTAGGTTTACAATTCTTACTACTTATTTGATTACTGTTGGATTGACTTGAACTCAACTGCGATAAAAGAAAAGAAAAACTAACTACCATTAATTTCAAATCGATCCAATGATTACCAAACAGATAATAAGAGTTATAAGCCTAAAATGATAATAAGAATAACTTCCCAACTGACACACTTTTTGATTAGTAACTAAAACTTGGAGAGGCTTATAAACCACCTAAATAACGCTTTTAAGCCCTATTACAACTTAATCTAAATCCACACTGAACACAAACACTTATCCGTCAACGCAAAAATTTCATCCTGTTCGTAACCAAAGCAATACATGTACATGATTTCTATACTGCAAAAATATTTACAAATCTTTCCAATTTCAAATTAGGTAACCAAAGGAGACTAGAAGTGTATAAAAATTTCAACCTGTTCGTAACCAAAGCAATACGTAAAGTGGCCAAAGAAAAATTTCATCTATAAGGTGGGTGGATCAACAGAGACTAAGTGTATAAAAAGGGCAAACCTAAAAACCATTTGCTTTTCTTCTCAATTCATTAAGCTCCTTCTCAACCTCCAAGTCAGGGAACGGAAATTCTTTGTTTGTGGGAACAGTTCTTCCAGGTGGAAGTTCTCCTCGCTGTCAATAGAAAAATGAGAAGAAAAAAAACACATACAATATTTAATTTCCATAGGTTTTAATCAGCCAACAATGCTTGTGGACTGTGTTTACTATAGTCTTTTAAACCTATTAACTGAAATAAGTTCAAATTAAAAATCAATCTTACACAGTCACACCATGAATTATTTTTTTATTGCATTTCTTTCTCACAAAATTTACCACTGGATTGAAAGTTCTAATGATATACACCATACCCATGAAATTTCACATTAATCCAAAAATTGTTATATACAAAGTTCCCATGATAAGTTTTGTTTTGATGAAGCGATACAGTCATAGATAGAAGGAATACCTTGGAGCTTCCAGATAATTCTTTCTTTAACTCTGCAAGATCATCATCGATAGAAGAGTTCTCTAGCAGTGCAAACTGTAAATAATAGAGTAAGAAACAAAGTTATCAAATGCGGATTGCGGCATGTTGCGGCTAACCCCAAAAAACGCTATAGCGCTATAGCAAGTTGTAGATGCGGAAATAGCGGAATAGATATATGACAGAAATAATGACAAAAAGAAACATTTTTTAAAGGCAGAGATAGCATAAGTGATAGAGAGAGACGCAGATAGACTAAAAAACTCTTAAAAATTTTCTGTTACACATTTAAATTTTGGACAAAATTGACATTTTGTCTTATGACAGCCATTTGGCCGCAAATGCGATCGCAATAGCCGCTATTGCGTTCCGGTGCGGCGCAGTTTCTTGCGGCGAGGCACCGCAACGCCAGTACGGCGCGGCTCGCGGCGCTATTGCGGTGCAATTAACTACTATGGTAAGAAATTCCTTTTGTTTTGTGTGAGGGAGGAAAAAATTCAACCACACAAATATTTTACTTAGAAGATGTGGCACAAAACAGTGAAATACAGCTGCTACAGCAAAATGGAAATCACTACAAGAGGTCAATGAAAACTGACAAGCCATTATTATTATGCCAAGACATACAAAATCAAGAGGAAGAGTTCCATGAATTTTAGATTCACTTATAACACCCACAAATAACTTTTTTATTTGATATGTTACATACATGTACCAACAAAAACTTAAAACTAAAACAATCCCTTCGTTTTGTTTCGAAGAAGAAAATGATCTTAAAAGAGACATACTGCTTAGCTATATATAAGTTGTACTACCTTTCCCTCAAGATTGTCAGTAGTCAACTGATTCAATGCGTCTGCCTGAGCCTCCATGGTTAGTACTGTAAAAATAAAGAGACAAATAAATTTCTAAGGCTTCAAATAAATTATAAAAGAACTATATATGCACTAACAACTATTGATACATGAATGAAAGCCATTTCTTCCACATGAAGCATTCAAAAAGGTGTAAATTATTAAATATATATATATATATATATATATATATATATATATATATATATTAAAAAACTAACCCTTTTCCTCCATCTTATCAAAAGCTGCAAGGGCACTGCTTGTGCTGATATTGCTCACCATCTCACTTACTATGGTTGCAGTCCTAAAAAGAGGAAAAAGAATCGGCTATTTAGAACAAAGGTAAGACACAAACCCTTGACTTTCAAAGAATCAAAGATAGAGCCAAAGACTAACTTTGCAGACTGAGCTCTTGCTTTGAGGGTATCTTTCTTCGACTTTGCTTCCTGTATCTTGTTCTCCAAAAGCTGTTGACAAAAAAAAAGAACAAAAATGAAAAAGAATGCATAACAGAGTTACATAAATTGCTCAGATATGCTCGCCAAATAGCTCTAATGAACAATACAACTGATGGTAAAAGAAAATGGTACTTTGAAGAATATATAGATTTATTATCGAATCTTGCTTGCTAGTTTATATCCGCTATTTCGAGGTTCGGATGCTCGTCCCAGAGGATATCCATTCATGATGTATATCAAATTTGCTTTCTATTAATCTTGCTATGAATTTTCACCCTCAGGTTGTATAAGATACAAAATTTTTCATAATAATTCAATATAACAATTTACATATATGCCTATATTGTAGTAGTTTATTTATTTTTACTTTTTTCTGGTGTATAGTGTTTTAGTTACTTCACTTTATGCGCATTCACCTTATTAATTTAATTTTCATAAGTTATCATCAGAACATCTCTATCATATACTTGTTCTTCCCCGAAGTGGAGCTTCAAGCAAGAACTTATACAATATCATAAGGATAGAGCAAAAAAGTTGGCTCTGATAATTCCGTTAAATAAAAAAAAAAATTATGCAAAGTCAAGGAATATGAAGAGTACTGCACAACCCTTTTGTATTAAAAGAGAAGCTAATGGAACCGAATGGGAAGGAAAATATATGGGAATATGGAAGTATGGCTATTGCATGATGTCCAGTTTCACAATATTATGACAGTATTCAGGATAACTAAGCATGAATGTTTTAGTTATGAAACATGCAAAGGTGAATTGAAGCTCACATTTTACGAGCAAAAAAGCATGTGACTTCCAATATAAGTAAATTTAGTACCCCCACCAAAAGAAGAAGAAGCAAATTTAGTATAGTTATAAGCAACATTTTCACACTTTTAATGCAATGATTATCTTTTTTTCTCAAGGTCAACCATGCAATTTCCTGTACAGCAAGAGTCAGCACATTACCCAATTCACTTGCAGCTGTACATATCAGGGGCATATATAGCATCAATATATTAGCTTAAACTTCCAGTGAGAAAATTTCATGAACTGATGAACCAAAATATCAATACACATGGCTATACTACTACATAGAACTGAATCATAAAAATAAAATCTACTACTGTAGTTAGCACATATCTTCCACAGTTCAAAAATTAAAATTTAATTTAACATGTAACAATAAATAATATAATGGTAAAGGGTTTGGTGTTTGTCATTTTAAATGACATAAGTTATGTTATTTTAAGAGAAAGATAGACATAGAAAAACGGAAATCATGGGAGAGAGAAAGTGGGTGGTTTTTTTTAATTTAAAATTCAAATTTTCTGTGTCTGTATCTCTCTTAAAATGACATAACTTTCTGTCATTTAAAATGACAAACACTTTTCCTAATGGTAAATTGATTAAAGTTCATCAAATGACAATATAAACTTACTACTACTGATCTCTATTCTCATATCTCTCTCTCCCCCTCTCTCTTGATTCTCTCCACTTCCACTTCCCCAGTTTTTTACTCATGTTTTATTGTTCTCTCCCCTACAAACTCTGTAACTACCTCCTGTCCCTACATTTTCCTCCGTTTTATTCATCAACTTTTGAAAACAAATTAGAGTAATAAAAGATAAAAAGTGGGTTAACACCTGATGTAGTGAGTGTTAAGATACTAGTTCAGGTATTAATGTCCATGGAAAGTTATGGACAGGCCACCATTGTAAAACTATCATAACAGATGGCAACTAACCTGTGTATTGGACACAAGACTATCAATAACACTCTTTTGCTGTTCAAGCTGTGTCTTCAAAGCAGTTGCATTATCCTGTACATACCACATATGATGCAGATGGCAGAAATCAACTTCAATCTACCAAAATAACTTGTTTTCAACTTATAATGACATGCAATAATTAAACAACACGCACGCCATGCTGCAAATTCAAAGGAAACTAGCATGCTACATCTCTACTTAATATTTAGAATATTTCCTTATTTCTAAAGAGAAAAATCTCTCTCTATTTATAGGGATTTTGTAATTATGTCTTTGTCACTGGTTTCATGTCTATGCATGTAGGGATGTTACCATTAAATAAGAGCTGTTTTAAAAGAGTGAAATTCTAAAACCAAGAAGAAGGATGATTATGAGAAATAACACTAGTAGCTATTTCAGGTTGTCCAATATATAAATAGAAAAGGTCTTTTAGAATTGGCGTTGGGCATTTAGAATTCTCATGAACAACCATGAGCAGTAGTAACTAATTCCAAGCTATCTATGTCAACTAACAACTATCATACTAAATACAAGAATCTTGAATTCACAAAAATATTAAACCCAAGCAAAGAGGATCACAGAATGCATCACTCCTTCATCCTTACCAATTCTAGTTCAACAGACACTTCCCATCTGATGAGCCCTTGGAGCCATATAAAGAGGTATATAAACACAAAGGGAGGAAACAATCTGGGGGTGAATGTAAATATCTGAGGTACTTGAGGACTGAAAAGATGAAAAGTGAGAAGTTAGTTAGTGTCAATGCCACGTGGCTAATGTTGAATGGAGAAGGAGAATTGGGTGCAAGGTGGAATGTGGAGTCAGTTAGTGAAAAGGAGGATAAAGGGGAGGAGAGGATGGGAGTGGGGCAGGCATGAAATCAGTAAATTGGTGGGTCGTTACTGATGAGTGGGATTCAGTAGCTGGGTATTTGGGGGTGGTCATGTATTAGTTCTTTTCTATCAATTACTAGTAGTGCTTTTCAATTAGCGTTGTAATTTCTAAGTCCAGGTTGCTTGGTTACTTTCTTGTTCTTCTGTGTAAGGAGTATTGTCTCCATTAATCCATTAGCAGTGAATTTCTGGTACCATCACCATCCCCCCAAAGAAGAGTTAGATGCAGAAAAGCTGCATCAATATAGTGTTTCTGAGAAAAGAACATGAACTAGTGCATAAACCAGTAAGATCTTTGCAAATTGAATGACACTAATCACTACTAGTTTAGAGGTGCCTTAATAATATAGTAAAAAATTATAAGACATCTGATTCTGTATGCATTTCCCTATTGGTATTTAAAATTTCAAAACCATAAGGAAGAAAGCTAGTATTGGAAACATTAAGGAAAGAAAGAAAAAGAAAAGTTGGGGGAACTAATGGTACCAAGTTTAACGAGCAATGAAACCAATTAAAACCAACAGCAAGGGCGCAAATTAAGCTTCCAGTTTCCACATAAATGTTCTTTTCTTTCTATCCTTTGACGATAAAGAATATGTGTACTGTGTACTGTACAAATGGTTTATCTCATGTCAAGATCTATACATAATACACAACATTCTCATTTATAATGCATAAAACTTAAAGTCCTCCACAAAGCTTTAGATAGGAAAGTGGCGTACGGCATAAGTTTTTCTTCGCTTAAGTGCTTCACGGGCAAGATCCTCATCCCCCTTTTGAAGAGCAAGTTGTGCCCTTCGATACCTATTATCAAGGTAAGGGAAGGAGAATAACTACCAGACAATGAATGATGCAGATGCAAAAAAGTAGATGTTTCTGAAAACATACACACACACACACACAAAAAAAAAAAAAAAATTGAAAAAGAATACCAATCATCAGAAGCTTTTTGTACGGAAGTGTACTTGCTTTCTAATTGCTTTTGAGATGCTAGAACCTGGATAAAATTGAAACACAGAAGTTCATTGAAAACGTCAATTCAGCTCAGTAAAAACCAGGCTGGAATATAATGATTGACAAATGAGAATTGGGAACAACTGAAAAATATAATTGTGAAGAAAACAGAAGTTGACAAACTCAAAACATACCTGTGCTGTAGCTTGGCGAACCTTTATCAAATCATTATTCATATCTACAACAGTTTGTTCTAAGATCTTCTCAGGGTCTTCAAAGGAGCTTATAATGGCATTAGCATATGACTGCATTAATTCAAAGTTATTGATATGCAAGAAAAATTACAGTGAAAGTGGTGGATGGAAAGAATCAAATCCATAAGTTAACTATAAAAAAAATAAAATAAAAAAATCTCAATTATATGTATATCCTTATCTTACCTTGATAACTCTAGCAAATCTGCTAAAAAGATTCATCTGAGCACCAAGGGCACCGCCACCTTGACAATTACATTTTAACCTATTGGAGTAGGATACTCGTATACCAGGAACTTCCAGTGCTCCTGCAGCAATAAACCCTGGTTAATGTTCCTTCAAGTTTATGTTGAAGGAACATTTCTTTCATGCTAAAATAACCATAAAATTTTAATTATATCATCAAAGTGCTCTAAAATGTGCCAACTATAGTTTTTCAACTTTCAGAATCATGGTCAGTTTTCTTGTGTAACAAAGGATCATAAAAACATGTCCTCCCATTTGGGGTATAATAATAATAACAACAACAAATGATCATAGGTTAAAACAAAGGTATGAACTTACCCCTATAACTGAGAAATGATGATTTGAAGGGTGGAAGTCTGGAAGACCTTAGAGAAACGAAGCCCAAATCTGTGACTGGCGTAGCCTTCATAGCCATAGCCATTTTCTCACGAGTCTAAATCTCTTCTGTTTTAAACCCAAACTCAACTCAATCGTTGTTGTGTTTTGCACCGACAACAACTTGGGTCGTCACTTCTTTTTCTCCAACTTTGGGTGGTTTTATGCGAGATTTCAAAAACAACAAAATAGTTTCTTTGCAAGTGCTTTAAATACGGATCATCATTGGATTAATAGAATTTTTTTTTTATATAAAAAAATGAAAACGTATCAAGTAATTGAAACAAAGATGTAAATATGTTAGACTAGTTTTGATTTAAAATAGATTAAGTTTTTGTAAAAAATATTGAGTTTGACCTAGCCCGTTAGGAATAAATCTTTGGTGCTATTGTAGCATCAAAGATTTAGTACATCCCACCAATAAAAATATTACATGTCAGCTAAAGTTTTATTTTTTCTGACAATTTTTTTTCTCTCCTATGATGTGTAATGCTCTCATTGGTGAGATGCACTGAATCTTGGTGCAGCAGTAGCACCAAAGATTTATTCGCCCGTTAGCCTGTGTAAACCCCAAATTACAAGGATGACCTGACTTATATTTAAAAATTAAAAATTTTGGCCTAAGCGTGTTATCTTATTAAACATTAAATAATTAAAATAATATTATTTTATTATTCAAAATTATTAAAATAATAATTGTATTTAAAATAAATATTATGATATACGTCGGCTCGTAAATTTATAGGACTGATATGTATAAAAGAGCCCGTGACTTATTTTTTAAATAATTTTTTTTAAAAGTCTAGACCTGTTCTATATTACTATTTGTTGTAGGCCAAGTCTAGCCTAATATAGGTTAGGCCGTAGGCCGACCTAGCCTATTTACACACCCAATTGAAATGATTCTATGTGCATAACTAACCATGTAATAAAAATTGTACTTTGACAATTCTGATAATTTCTTATGTATTCTTAAGCTATTATATTTAAGGGTTTAATGTTTCTTATGTTTAAAAAAAAATAAAGTTATTTCTTATACATACAAAAAAGTGTGTGAGGTCTATATTTTTTCTTTCTCTCTCTCTTCTTCTCATATGGGTTCACATGGACCTCACATATTTTATATGTGTATAAGAGATGAATTTATCTTGTATAATATGAGAAACATTAAACTCTATATTTAATCAAATAAAAATATGATAGATGGATTGTATAATTATATAATTATTTAATTCAATTTAAAATCTTACTTATAATATTTAATTCAATATAAAATTATGTGAACAATTTTGTCAAAGGAAAATTATAAATATTATTATATTTTTTTTTGGATAAACATATCCTCTGTGGGGGACAATTGTGACCGAGTCTGGAATATCCACATATAATATTTACTTCAATATAAAATTATGTGAACAATTTTGTCAAAGAAAAAATTTAAATATTATTAATATTTATTTTGGATAAATATATCCTCTATGTGAGATATTCATGTTCGAGTCGAGAATATCTACATTATAATGGGCTAGCTCTTACAAAGAAATTCTCTTGCCTTCACAATATTATATTTTGAATGCTTACATTCTTATTAGAGACTCAAGTAGTCCAAAATGATTAATGATCACATTAATAGAGTAAAGGAGGAATTGTTTACAAAATAAAAAGAATAAAGGAGGAATTGTGACTTCAAAATGTAACCACAATGGCAACATAAATGATACGAACTTTGATAGAACCTTACCTTAAAAGCTAACTTATAAGTTCAAAGTTTATATAAACCCTGAACCAAAACTTTATATTTTCCACACTTTATATTTTCCACGTGAGACTCCCAGACAAAGCCTAAATCTCGAAACTTACAACTATATTGTAACATATTACTCCAAGGCTTATTATGATCTTTTGGTAACAAATGATTTCTCGTGACAAAAAATATATAGGGTTTATATTGGCCAATATGAGAGGAGAGATCGAAAAATAAAATATGAGCTCCACAAATTTTTATGTATACGTGAGAAATAAAAATTAAATATCAGAAAAAATTTTACCCTTCAAATAATAATAATAATAATAATAATAATAGTCTACTAAAAAATAATAAATAAAAAAATGGGGTAGGGCACGTGAGAGGTAAAGTAGTTATAGTAGAGCCACTGGATATGTGCCGAGTGTTCTTGTTGCTGTCTCACTCGTCACTTCCATTGTTTTTATCAAAACATTCGACCTTTGTTTCTCTCTCTCTCTCTCTCTCAGAAGTTAAAAGTGTTGTTTCAGTTTGAGACATGGCATCGTCTTTGGCTTCAACATCACCTTCACCTGCTTCAGCTTCTGCTGTCACCAAATCCGCCACTAATTTGCGCCTCTTTCATTTCTCAAACTCTAACCTCTCTTTCCGCCTCTCTCCCAAACCCAACTTCCGCTTTTTCACCAAGGTATCTCTCTCTCTCTCTCTCTCTCTCTCTCATATGATTTCCATTTTATTCTTAATTTAGGTCACTACCAAATTCAATGTCTTTTCTTTTCTTTCTTCTTACCTTTACACTTGTCTTGTCTCTCTCTACCCACTTTTTTCCATATCACAAAATGTTGGAAATTAAAACACTTTTATGTATGCAATGTATCTTTCTTCTATATACTATCCATGCTCCAAATATTCATTCATATATGGCACAATTCCTTTATCTACCTATTTATGTATATATGTTTAGGGATACCCTCCTACTCATCTGTTGTTATGCCCAAGGGTTAAGGCTCAGTTAAATGAGGTAAACAAACACTCTTCCTTTTCCTTTCACACTATGTATGTATTTATGTATGCTCCTTTTGGTCTCATATTTTGGGTTAAACAAGGTTGCCCTTGATGGTTCCTCCAATGCTGCGCCTCCTATCAAAGCCAAATCAGACGTGGAACCACCTACCAAGCCTTCAAGTGAACCATCTTCTTCAATCTTGGCAACTCAAGAATCAATCTCTGATTTTATTACTCAAGTTGCAAGTCTTGTCAAGTAAGCACTTGCTTCTTTCTATTGGTAATAACTTATATATAAGCTTTTTCCCAACATGGTTGGAGTGGAGCAATCAGCAATGCAAACCTTTATGTTCAATTTCCTCCTCCTGCAGGCTTGTTGATTCAAGAGACATTGTAGAGTTGAAGCTTAAGCAGCTTGACTGTGAAGTAACAATCAGGAAAAAAGAAGCTATGCCTCAACTACAATATGCTCCTCAACCTGCCATGTTATATTCACCCCCTTTGCCGGCGGGGCAGCCTGTTGCGCCGCCATCTACTCCAACATCTGCTCTGGCTCCTCCTACCTCTCTACCATCAACTTCTCCCCCAGCTGCCAGGTCAGCTAAATCATCGCATCAGCCTCTTAAATGCCCCATGGCAGGGACATTCTACCGAAGTCCAGCACCTGGTGAACCTGCATTTGTGAAGGTACATCTTCTTAACTTCTTTATAATTTGTATATTTATTCTTTGTATAATACTTTTTTGCAGCCTTATGTGAAGGGACTCTTTCTTTAGGTCGGAGACAAAGTAAAGAAGGGGCAAGTCCTATGCATCATTGAGGCGATGAAATTGATGAATGAAATAGAAGTAAGTTCACAGAAACTGTTGATTAAAATAGTGGGTTCTACGTATGATGCCTTTATAAGATGCACTTATTTGTTATGCATATGCTGCCTCGCGTCATTTCTCTTTGCATTATCAAAATTACTGGTTGGCAATGGATGATGCAACTGAATGTAAAAATATTGAGGTTATTAGCACATATGCAATGCATTTTGAGTCACCTCCTTGCATTTTGAGTCACCTCCTTATTAAGTAAATTGAGCCAATGGAAATGGAAAATCAAAGATGTTCAAATGTGGAGTAGAATGATTGGATCCTGATTGCCAATTTTTCCTTCCCCGTCTCCCTCTTCAGGCCTGTCAGAAAATAAAAAATTTCAAGTCTTATTGTGTTAGTCTACTGGGTAGATCATGTAGCATGAATTGCATAATGACTACTAGGAACATGTAGGGTGGGAAATTAGGGATAGTCAACCCAGCGGGAGACGTTTGGATGGAAGAATATCATTGGAAGGAAAGAAGAGGTACAAAGAAGGAGAATACTGTATTCCTCCTTAGATAGAACAACAGCAGAAACTAAAGCAAGGCAGAGAAAACGTTAATAGAAAAGTGCTTTCCAGTCCAGTTGTTTGTTTGACAAAGGAAAATCAGAAACAGACCATGTGATAAGCCCCAGGGTGAAGCCATGAAAACAAGCCTATCACAAAACAATCTAGGGGTAAGGAATTTTTCCCAAATTCAACCAAAGACACAACAGAACAGCATATGAAGCACGCTGCCATAACAATTTTGCTCTGCTTACTCCTTTAAAAGCCTGTGAGTATGATCAACAAGAATTATTGCAAGCTTTGTGAGAAAACTCAAGTTTCACCAAAAACTATAAAAAGTCTAAAGGGCAATGTATAAATAAAGGGGTTTACAATTCTCATTTCACAGGAAAAACATGCTCTCCTACCGCTGAGACATCGAGACGAGTGTTTCAATTTTCTATTTCTTTTTTGTTTTTGTAAAAGTGTGGGGCCCACTGTGTATCTATCTGCTGCAAAATTCGAAAATCTCCTGTGACGTAAGAAATGTAAAACCCATAAATAAATATGTAGCTGTTCCTTAATTAGTGCAACACGCATCACACACATATCAGAGGATAAAATTTTATTACGTCCATGATACCATTAGACATTAGTGCATTATACACAAAATTGACTAATGAAACATTATTTATGATTATTATCATATGTTGGTCACCCTGATATACCTTGATCTAAATGGTTTTGCTGAAAACTTGGTTTATGACACACCCCAATGGCATTGATTGATCCCTGAGCCAATCCCATCTAGTTGGTATAAAGCTTGGTTGTTGTTGTTAGTCTACCTGGTGAAGTATTCTGAATTTCTTGGCCTGCACATCCAAATAAATCACGAGCTTTCTGATGTTCTGACAATGTAGCTTGGAAACTTAAGTTCATTTTAGCTACCCCAAGTTTTTTTTTTTGGAAAGAGAAACTATGAGTTTAGCAATGTCAGTGGTCACTTATTATTGAGAAATGCTTTGAAGTAGCATTTCTGGTTGGTAAGTGCCCTTAAAAGCAAGCTGCAAGTTGTTTTTTGATAATTTCACCATCTATATTATATTACCTTTGTTTTGCTAATATTTTTAGGATTATATGTTGCACTTTGAAAGTTAAAATTTAGGGTTTTCAATATACTATATTTCCCTCATTCCTCTTTTTTGACAGTAAACCCATGATTTAAGTGACGCCTTGTAACATGAAAGATGAACCTACTGAAAAATGTGATGTCAAAGTAAAATATTCCTCAATATTGGAAAAAGTTGAATGAGACACATAAAGGAGGAAAGAGGGAGTATATGGGTTGATCTATTGCTTTGCGGCATCTTTATTCTCTTTGTTTTCGTTTTTGGTAGTATTTGTTCCTCCTCTCTTTAGTAGTTCCCTTCCTGCAATAGTCCTTGATATCTCATAATGAGTTCAGGTTTGTTGGTATTAAATTAGCTATGTACCATCGTAGTCTTTTTAAAGTTTTATGCAATTTCACAAGTTTGTTAACATGAGTTTAGTTTTTGTAAAGTTACTTGTTCTTCACATGCATATATAGAATCTATTACAATGAAGTTTACTCAAGCAAAATAAAAAAAACAAAGAATCCTGCTAATTGTTATATTATTAATTCATACTTAAGGAGGAAATAACTTGTGTTCAACAAGTTCATGTCATATTGTACTTAAAGTAGAACTGAAATCAATTGGACACATTACATTTATTTTTTAGTTCAAAACAGCTACACTTTACTGGTTTTTATGGAGATACAACAATGAAGTGCAAAAACTTACTGAATTATTTAAGGACGCATTATAGTTGACTTTTCCATACAATAAACCTTTCGCCGAAAAAAATTGTATACAATAGGATTAAGTTTGATTTCTAACTTGATTAATAGACATGAGATGCAAATCAAAAAAATCATTAAGAGAAGTAAGAATTGTAGCAATTTTTATTTTGTCTTGAGGATCCTGTGGATTTTCCCTTCCATCTCGAACTATAAAAATTTGTATATTTTCCTTATGTACTATATATACAGGCTGATCAGTCAGGAACTATAGTTGAAATCCTTGCGGAAGATGGCAAGTCTGTAAGCGTTGACACTGTGAGTATATTCTAGGCCCTCCTGATTAATAACTCAAGTAAAATTAACTTGTTCATCATTATAGGTTTGATCTCTTTTGTTCCCTTGCTTTGCAGCCCCTATTTGTGATTGAACCTTAGAGCTCACGGAGTATTCAAGTAGATGGATGAAACAACATATAGAGGTATCTACTGGTATTGGTAGTTGAAAAGTGTGAGGCGCATCATCTCCCCCAAAACACCCCCTCCCCCAAAGGTAGAGAAAGCTAGGAAGATTTTGTTCTGATTTGGGATGGTACAGTTGAGAAGAATTACTCCTTTATAATGGATTTATTCCTTTTTTTTTTTTTTTTTCTTATCATCCAGTTCTACATGCTTGGACTATGTTCTAGTGAATATTTTTTTTGTTTCAACTTTCAAGCAAAAATTCATGTGTCTGATATGCATTTCAAGCCTTTTGTTTTTCCTTTTTATTTTTGAAAAGGGTGGGGGAGCATTTGATCCTATAGTTATGTTCTGTATTTTTAGCTGGTGATATCATTTCTTTCCAAGTTTTTATGCAGATTATAAGAGTGGTAGAAAGATTCGTTATTCTTTTTTTTTTTGGATACATAAAGATTCGTTATTCTCAATAAGGAAGAAATGGAGATGTGATGTACAGAAGTTACTATTGGGGGAAAACAGTAACCTAAACAATTTATAAGAAAATTCCAAAAAAGCTGCTTAGGTGCTTTTCTCAAGAGTTTAAAATAATAACTTACAGAAAACATTTCTAGAAAAAATAAAATAAAAAAGATTACTGGTTAACAAATTTCATTTGCCCCTTGATGAGGCATATGAAAATAACACCCGTAGAAAAAAAAAAAATGTGTCATTTTAAATGACACACTTGACATTCTTTCATTTTTGTAAAAAGTTGGGATTCACATCTTTAAAAAAAAAAATTTCACACTTTTTTCCATGATTTATCTTTCTCTTATTTAAAATAATACAATTTGTGTTCTTTAAAATGATACATTTTCTCCCGTAAAAAAAATTAATACCCATCGGCACATTTTTATCTCAGGTTTGAATGGGATATTGGCAGCGGAGTAAACCCAACAATCTCATGGGAAAACATTTTTTTGATTCATGTCACAAGTGGAGCTTACAAAATAGTGGAGAGAAAATAAAAATAAAAATTAAGGCGAGACCATGAATCATTAGTAAGAGAAATTTTTTATATGATTGCTCTTCTAAAAAACCATAATCATCTGATGTTTGTTGATCTAATAACATTCTGTCAAGAAGAAACAGATTTGATAAATATGAATAATTTTTGTAGAGTATTATAACGGAAAAAAGTCAAATTAATTGATTGGATTCGAAATGATTTTGATCTAATCTAAATTTAATATAAGTTAATTCGGATTGAATTATATGTATATTTTTTTGGTAGTTGATTGCATTATACTTTTATTTGTTGTTAAAATTGTTTTGATATATAAATTCGTTAAATTATGAAAATTTACTTTCATCAAAATTAATATTAGTTCAAACAAATGCATAAAATATTTTTTATTAAATACAAATATACAATCGAATTAATTTTTTTTTAACTTTTTAATTGATACCAATGTCAAACTAAAAAATTTGATACTAAATTTTAATTGTTGATTTTCGTCAATCGATAATTATAATTTATTAAAATTATTAATTAATTAGTAAGTATGATTCAATAAATTATAACTGTCGATTGACAAAAATCAATAACTAGAATTTAGTGTCAAACTTTTTATTTTGACACTAATATCAAAAGATCTTGCCTCATTTTTTTAATGGTTCATCTTTTTTTACTGTCAATGTAGATAAGTTATTATATTGAACCCAAAATGACATCGTTCTGGAGCAAAAATTAAGGTATTTTTGTAATTAACATTTATTTCAGGATTATAATAGTCTTTCTTATTATAATTTTTTAATTTTTCAACGCAAAACGATGTCATTTTGAGAGTAAATGTAAATAACTTTTTTTGTGTGTGTGGAAATATAGATAATTTATTTATATTTTCTGTAGAAATATTAAAGCTTTTTTTAATATAATCCCTCCCGAAAATTTCCAAAGCGTTGGAGTGTTTTTTGTCCTGATCTTAATGGATATCGCTGTATCGGTAATTAATCCCAGTTAAACTTTTTGGTTACCAATTTTTTTTTTTATTTACATAATTCTTATTCTTAATAAATTAGAATTAAAAGTTGGTTATTAAATACTCGTATCTAAATGGACAAAAATACATTAATTTGTTTATCATTAGGTAAACATCAAAGGGGAAGAAAGAGCACAGAATTTTCCAAATTCAAAATCTGGTGTTTCTTCTTCTCTTGAAAAAAAATTCTAAAACATCGATGGCTATGGCTATGGCTATGGAGGGTGGGGTTTCCATTTTGCCATGGATTGTTGTTGTGAGCGTGTCGACGTTGTGGTTAGTGGTAAATGGTTCAAATTCAACTACGATATACGAAGAGCTTCGTGCACAAGGGTTACCCGTAGGGCTTCTTCCTAAAGGGATCACAAGGTATTCGATTAATGGTAGCAGTGGCGAATTCGAGGTGTGGATGGAACAACCTTGCAACGCCAAATTCGAAAACGAAGTTCACTATGATTCCAACATCAAGGGTACCCTAGGTTATGGTCGGATCGGGGAATTATCCGGTGTGACTGCTCAGGAGCTTTTTCTATGGTTCCCCGTTAAGGGTATACGCGTTGATCTCCCCAGCTCTGGTCTCATCCACTTCGATGTCGGCGTCGCTGATAAACAATTCTCTTTGTCCCTCTTTGAGGACCCTCCTGATTGCAACCCCCAGGTTTATCATCAATCATACAAATTTATGATTTTTTCTCTTCTGGGTATCTGAGATTTATGTTTTTTTAATTTTTATTTATTTGGGTATCTGAAATTAATTTTTTTTTTTTTTTTTTGGTATATGAAATTTATGAATTTTTGTTTTGTTTTGTTGGGGTATCTGAAATTTATGATGACTAATATGGTTTCCAATTTGTTCAGGATAATGCTGATGGTGGTGGTGATGTGCTGAGGGCAGTTTGGTAGAGAAAGATAAGAATGTTGCTGCATTTCAAATTATAGCTCAAGTGGCCTGTCTGTGCATGTGGTTGGTCTTGTTAAAATTGTGACAGTCTTTTTCTTTTCTGCTTGGATTGTATCAATCCCTTGTCTCAAGGGACAAAGGATGACAATTTTGGTTGTTAACGACATTGGCCTTGCTGCTGCTTTGCCTATGTACAAAATCTGTGACAGACTGGGATGTCGGGTCAAGTTGCTTTTGCTAAGAATTATCTGTATAATTCCAAAGTTTTATTATCTGTATTTTGGGCTTGTTTTTTTCTTTTCTTTTTCTCTCTTCCATACGAGTGTTTCAGCCATGTGTTGTGTTAGACTCAACTATTTTTAATAAAATACAACATAACATGTTGGTTGTTCTTGTATTATTACTTGTAATGATCCCGTATTCACACAATTTCACACAATTACATGTAAGTTAGTCATGCTTTGGTTGGGGACGTTTTCTCCAGCTGTTTCTGTTTTTGAACTCTGTTAAATCAATGGTTGTTCCTCAAGGTATTCCAATTCCATAATGTTTCGGTTTGGTTCTACATTCAAGATATTAGTGATTTAGTGAATAGTGAAAATTGAAGTTTCTTCCCTTTAGACTTTAGTTGGCAAATATCTAATTTTACGAATGATAAAGGTCAAAAGGTTTTTATTTTGAGAGTTTTACGCAATTTATAAAGAGTTGGCTTTTTCTACGTCAATGTAAATAACTTATCTATATTGAGCTTATAACGACAACGTTTTGGAGAAAAAATAAAGGTATTTTTGTAATTATAATTTATTTTAGGGTTATAATAGTTTTTTTCATTATAATTTTTAATTTAAAATGACGTTGTTTTTGTTTTGGGAGAGAATGTATATAACTTATCTCCATTCACTGTAGAAACATTAAAGCCATTTATAAATTAATTAGTGTCATATATTTTAAAATTGCTGAAAACTTATTGATACTGAAGTATTTTAAATAGTGTCATCTTTTTTATGTATATTTTAAAGGGAAAGATAATGTAACAACTAAGTTGTGTTATTATCAAGTTACTATTAATCAATTTCACCGCTAGATCAATTATGTTGATCCAATGATTATATTTATTTCCATCTTTGTATGGTCATGATTTTCCAAATTTATTATTTTCACCTTTGTATTGTTATGATTTTCCATATTTAATGCTTTCCCTTTAAATATGATTTTAATGTTGGTTTGAACATGTTAAATATGAGGATTTTCGCTTTTTTATATCTAAATATCTTTTAAATATAATTTAGTACATAAAAGATGAACTAATCTACTTACCTGTATGCCCCTGAGTTCTGAGTAGAATTATCAAAATGGGTCACCTGTGTCATTAGGCCCTAGCCCGTATGGATTAGGATTAAAAAGCCCACAAAGTTAAATAAATCTCAATAATAAAATCCCGACACAAGCCAAAAGTCCTAATGGGTTAGGATCAGCCCACGGGCAATCAAAAATTATAATTTCATAAAATTTTGTTATCATATTAAATATATTAAAAAATATTTTAACAAATAAATATTTAACACTTTCTTAACATATTTTATATAAATTAATTTTTGAGGTAGATTATACTTACAACCTTGTTTTTTACAACCTCTTACAACCATATCTTAACACCGTTGATTTCCGCAATCAACGGTTATAATTTTCGTAAATTAAACTCATTAATTAATTATTAATTCACAATAAATGATAATCGTTGATTGGCGAAAATCAACGGTGTTAAGATATAATTGTAAGAGGTTGTAAAAACAAAAGGTTGTAAGTATAACCTTCCTCTTAATTTTTAATAGTTTAATTTAAAAAAAATAATATTTGTGTATAAATATACAAGTGAAAATTTAGTTACTACTTTTACTAAATTTATTATTAAAGGATGTCATCAAATAAAGATTTTCTCATCAGTAAGAGTGTAAATGGGCCAGGCTGGCCTACAGGGGCCTACAGCCTAGCCTATGTTAGGCCTGGCCTAATTTGACCTATCTGAAAATTAGATTAGGCTTAGGCTTATAGATTAGCCTTTTTTTTAAAAAAAGCCCTAGGCCAACTAAGTAACCGCCTAGCCTTAAAGCCTATAGGCCAGCCTATTTAATCTTTAAAATAAAATAATATATTTATCAATTATCATAAATATTATTCATCTACCTAAGTCTACTAAGAAAAAAATCAATCTTTGGTGTCATGAACACTATTTAAAAATCTTTGTGTTCTTGTTAAAAATTTTGTTTGAGAATTTTTGTAATTTCGACCCTTGCTGAAAATATTGTTTAATGAATCAGATATCTTATTTCTTTATTTTAGTTTAATTTGTAACTTGGTCGGCCTAAAAGGCCTCATAGGCCATATTAGGCCTTTTTATTTTTTTAACAATAGGTCAGGCCTAGTAAATAAACTAAGCCTTTAATAGGCTAATAGGCCAGATAGGCTCATCATTTTTTTACGTAGGCTTAGGTCATGAAGGCCAAAGTCTAGCCTAGCCTAACCCATTTACACCGCAACTCATCAGGAGTCATAACAGAATACAACAACTCTAGTGGAAAAATAAAAGTAACGATGAAAACATTATCTTAATACCAGTATGCTCTTAGTATGCTATATATTTAAAAGTAAAAACATTGATTTTCTTCGACTACTAGCATTATAAAAAAAAATTAGTTATTATTATCCACAAAATTACTAAGGTGCATTGTATACAATATGTTTCAATACAAATTTAGATATATAACATTCTTAGATGTTAATAGAAAATTTTATTTTTATTGATGCGCTGATGAAATTATCTGTTGAAACATATCACTGCTGAAAATTTTATGTTTGTTGTAAAATTTATGGATGACCTTTCACATGGTTCATAACATGTTACTTTTTATTTTTCATGACATTTGATGTATTTTAAACTATCATACGAATGGTGTGTTTAATTGTAGAATACATCCAAGAGAGTTTGTTGCAAAATATTATGGATAACCTTTTACATGGTTCATAACATGTGACTTTTTGTTTTTTTATGATCTTTGATATATTCTACAATCATCACACTAATGATATGTTGAATTGTATCTATTCCCATAATTATGTTTAAAGTTTTATATAAGGATATATCTTAGATGAAAAAAGTGGTACTTGGTGAATTCATAATATAATAATATTTCTTTACCTTCAAAAGCTCATACTCGTTCTTATTTTATTCTTCCTATGATTTTCTTTCTACACTTCATTTTCCTTTCTTTCATATTTCACTTCCTCTTATATTCTTTATCAAATTCACAACAATTTTTACTTATATTATGTTTATAATTTATTTTTATATTTATAAATATTTAAATTTATATATTTTTTAGTTTTTTATATAATTAAAATTTTTATTAAGAAAAAAATTTGGTCTACGAGCCAACCCTAATTCAGCCTACTAAATTATAGAGCTTTAATCGTTAAGGTTAAAAAATACCCTAATGAGTTATGGTTAATATAGAACTTTGTGAGCTAATTCGTGGGCTTTAGCCCATTTTAACGCATATAATTTTAAGAGATTTCAACTGTACTCTGGATTATAAGCGAACACTTAAATAACATGAAAAATATATTAAATGACATGAAAAATATACCAGAAATTCTGAACAAAAGCTTGGTTAATTAAAAATTACTATACGCCAACAAGAGTTCTAAGTCCTGCACTTAAGCTACGGTGGCCATAAATTGTAACGTTACTAGCATAATTCAACTACGGTGAATAACTTTGCATCCAAGTTCTTTTTTTTGTCCTTGACTCATTTCTAATGCTAAATCTTTTTGGCTAAACTCAAGAAACACGGCTGTGTTTTTTAAAGTTTAATGTTTATGATATTATAGGAAATAAAATTATTTTTTAAAAATACATTAAAATGTGTGAGATTCATGTGAAGTCATATGAAGAGAAGAGAGAAAAAAAGAAAATACAAACCGCACACACTTTTACATGTGTATAGGAAATAAAATTATCAAAATTATCTCCTATAACATGATACACATTAATACCCACTCGAGAGATTAAACCCCGTTTCTAATTCTGCAAAAGGCAAGGCCATGCTATAAAAGATTTTCACGTTAAACAATACCACTTCAATTATGTGATTGCCACCGAGCTCCAGCAACCAAAATAAGCGATTCAGCAAACCAAATACATCAAGGATGTAATGACCATATTAAAAAAACACATCAAATGCCTCAGGAAATGATTGATATCTATTCTGACTGGTGAGAATGTTTTATGTAAATAAAACAGGGAGCCTAAATCTTTTAGTTTAGGATGCGCTAGTATGCCACCCAGATATATGTCCAAGACAGAATTGAAGTGTTCATGAAACTTCTTTATTGAGTAGTGACACTCTTGGCAAGATTACGAGGCTGGTCAACGTTAAATCCCCTCGATACTGTGAGATGATATGCTAGTAACTGCATCAGAAAGGAATTTGTTGAAATATATACCACGTACAAATTATCTTTTGTAGAATAAACAAGGAGAAGCTAGCCTTTTAAGATTTTAGCAGATAAAAAAGGAAATAGAACTGCAAAACTTGCATATCAGAAATCCAGACACTGAAATTTATATTGAAATGAGAAAATGGCTAAGAAGCTCAAGAAATAATAATGAATAGAAAATCAATACGCACATACAGAAAAATAATAAAAACTTCGACACTAATAAAGCAGTAAAAAAGCTGAAAAAGCATGCTAAATATACCTGTAATGGGACTACATTAATTACAGGTTGAAGACAATCCTCAACTTGCGGAACTTCAATTAGCCTACAAGATTCTCCAGGACATACAGAAGCGGCATCCCCTTTTGAACACATAACTATCAGGCGACCTTTACGTGCATGAAGTTGCTGAATAACAGACTGCTGTTTGCTGTCAAAGATAAAAGATGTCAATGTCAAACTACTAATTTCAGATCACAAAGCAACTCAACAGTCTACTCAACAAACCTGAAGCAAGCATCACGTGTAGCTATAACAACAATTGGAAGATTTTCATCCACTAAAGCCAAAGGCCCATGCTTCATTTCACCAGCAAGTATCCCTTCACTATGCATAAGTGCCACTTCCTTTACTTTCAAAGCTCCTTCCAGAGCAGTTGCATAGTTGTATCCTCTCCCAAAAACAAGAAGAGACTGCTCAGCAATCAATAGATTTGCTAGATCCTTCATCTCCTGATCAAGCTTCAGCACCTCTCTGACCTTGTCTACAATCCAACATGTTAATTAGATTACTTGTACAACTGCTCCTAAGTTGCTTTATGTGGCATTTGGTAGCGTTTTGAAGGATTCATCATCAAAAATAGTTTTTAGCTTGATTAAAGGTTGTATGGAATTCCTGGAGATTCTAATTTCTTTCTTTTTTGTTTTTTGGCAATAGAAAGTTTACGAGGGAAAGTTCTCCCATTCCAAGCAAGCTCAAGGCATGCCACAAGCCTCCGCAAGGCTTAAAGTGGTACACTAGTTCTTATCAAACCTTTCGGTTGACGCTGCTTGGTCCTACCAACTGAACCCACCCACATTAAAGAAAAATTATAATTAACAAATTTCCTTGAAACAACAGCTCAGTTACAACAACACCCATCGGTTTTCTAGAGTTCCACCTTTAAATACTCTGTTAACATGTATGTATGCGGTTATTATTTGCCAACTCCACTGACATCATTGTTTCAGCAATCATAGCTCCTGCTGCCGCCATAACTGATATCACTAGTTCTTGTAATGCTACTATTATGACCAATATCATCTCACCTTCATCATCATTAATTTTGTTATAATATTTTGTTTACAAGTTAACATTTCATACGCTGTCAGTGTAAATAAATGTTTGCACTCTCACAACTTTTGCACAATTGTTTCATTAAAATAATTTGTGAAACCTATACGGAATACACAATAAATAGGCTAGATGCGTTCAAGTTTTTAGTTTTATTTAAACCTAACCATGTAGCCATGACATTCATCGTAGCACGAGGATATAATTTTAAAACTTGAGAATCATAAGAATATTATGCTAATACTCTAATATGACATGCAGGATGCCAATAACCAGACACCACAAAATGTACTCAATTCCTGCAAGATGCTCAGCCAACAGAAACTTACTTGGCAGGTCGAATAGACCATCAATAATAGCTTCTCTTCTCGCTTGATTGGAAATTGTATCACCTCCTATTGCAAGAGCCAACATGGCCATAACTACTATTTGGCTCGTGTATGCCTATAATAGTTATAAATGGGAGTAAACCATTGGTTAAACCAATAAAAAACAACATAAAATGAAACGAAGGAAACTATATCCTTTAAGTGCAACATTTACCTTGGTACTTGCCACACCTATCTCAGCACCAGCATTTATATGAACACCACAATGTGTATTCCTTGCTATTGCACTACCAACAGTGTTTGTTATCCCAACACACAATGCACCGTTATCTAAAGCATATTGCAGTGCAAGTAAAGTGTCTGCAGTTTCACCAGATTGACTAACAAAAACGGCTGTATCTTCTCGGTATATTGGTCCCTGCCTATCCAATAAATCACTTGCAATTTCCATAGTAACAGGAACACCTATAATTTATTGTTATAGAATAAAACAATATAAGCACGCGTAAACTTTTAATCTGCAAAACTGACTAAAATATTAAAGTCATACAGCACTGACCAGAAAGTTCTTCCAAAATGGGTCTAGCTGCCAAAGCAGCATTGTAGCTTGTACCACAACCAATGAAAACTATCCTTCTACTTCGCCTAATGGTTTTGAGGTGATCCTTCAGTCCACCTAACATAACAGACTTGGATTTGCTAGATCCCCGACGTATCAGCCTCCCCCTCATTGTGGTTGTTAGAGACTCTGGTTGCTCATGAATTTCCTTCTGCATATAATGCTCATAATGTCCTTTATTTATTTGCTCAACTTCCATCTCAAGAACAGATAATGCACGTTGCACTGAAGCAGCTCTGGAAAAGGGAGTGCCACGTTCTCCCTTGTCATTCTCAAACTTTAAAATAGAAACCCCACCATCCTGAGACAACCATTTCTAAGTATGAAATGCTGTTTTGAAATTGACATGATTACAAACAACAAAGCAACTGGCACACAAATCCATTCAGCATATGCAACATACAGTAACAGTGAACGATACAAGTTACCATCTCACCATGCCAGAAAGGGGAATGCAAAGGATAGATGAAGTGAAGTAGTGAACCACTAAGAAATCATGAAAGCAATCTTTACAAAGAATACATTCTTACAGAAATATTTCCCAGAGTCAGAATACTATACATTTCAATGATAAGAAGTGTGCCAAGTAGAGTAAAAAGACATCATCTTGCAAGTACTTCATTGAAAAGAGAGGGTGCTGTATGTACCTTGAGATGAACTACTTCACCATCCTCAATAACTAGCACTTTCTTTGTATGCTCAACCACAGCATGGGGATCACTGGACAAAAACAATTCTTTGGGCTGGCCATCTTTTGATAAGAATTTGTTATCCTCAAATGCTGAACCATTGTCTTTATTTTCTCTCAATTCCTGAAATCAGAGCAGTAATTACTTTAATCATTATCAATCAGAAAATCTTCACCTTCACTGAATATCTATTAACCATGAAAAGTAAATTACACGAGAAAAAGTGGTATTATGAAACACAAAATAGAAATCTAAGCTAATTCATAGTAAAAGAAAGATGGCTCAAGTATCAAATTATAGGAAGATTTGATGTTTAATAAACCATCTTTCTCTATTTCCTATTCCTGGCTCCCACCTTTTTCATTCATAATCTATGCATCCCACTGCATTCGCAGCTGTTCTGTTCAAAATTCTTTTATTGGAATTCCATGACTTTCACATATGTTACATACAAACAAGCATTATAACTCAAGATTCTTGATAGTGTAACTCTATCAACGACTACCACTCTCCATTAGTGGAAAGTAGGATTTGGAAATTAGATAATCTGAAGTGAAATTAGATAACTACAAAGTGAATTCCAGTTGGTCCTATTTCCAGTTTCATTCAATTTTGAAATGGGGAAAACTTTCCTATTTCTATCCCTCTTCAGGATTCCAAGAAGTGAATCTTTCTTTGTACTGCAATGCCAGATAGAATTAATACAAATAATTTGTTGGAAGTTTAGGAACCACCTAAAATTCTCCAAATACGGGAAACAACCTCTTTGCAAGATCATGGGTTCGAATACGGGAAACAACCTCTTTGCAACTATGCAAAGGTAAGATTACGTACAAGGATTTCCCTCATCTTGCCCTTGCTAGTTGGGGTTTAATGGGGAGTTGTAGTTTTTTTTTTGTGCCACATGTTTCTCTGATTTGGAAACTAACAACTTTTATTTTCTTGCTGTCCTACTATTAGATAATTGAGGAGTAGACTCTTTGGCATATTTGGTGATGAATGGTTGATTTGTACAAAGAATTTAGCATACTTTGTCATGGGATTTTAGTGGTTTTGGATTGAGCAAAGAGGGCGAGGCTCTTTGGTAGTGAGCATTGTACAATTATCAATTGCGCTGCAATTGCACACAATCCTGCTATTGGCCGCAACACAACAAGATCCTGTTGCGGCTGCAATCGCGGCCTTTCACGGTGCAAGTGAAAGGACGTGATTTTTTCAAGTTTACCTGCATTTTAAATTTCCAGCAGCCATTTTTCATGGACTTTATGGTTTTTTAATCGGGTTGTATAATGAAACCCTCAACCCACTCTCTTGCGTCTATGTACCCATTCTGCTTTGTCAATTATTAACAGGTATCCTCACATAATAACAGCCTATTATCCTCACATACTGCTTTATTTAACAGTGTATATTAACAGATTATTACTCATTTCTGTTTACTTTGTCAGCCTATAATTATGAATCAACCTTTCTTTCTTGTTCATAATCATATTTTGTTGAAGAATTGATTTGATTTTTGCTACTGATATTTAGGTCCTAGGGATAAAAGGAATGTTAATTTGTTATGGACTGACAATATTTAGAATCCCAATTTGTTTTGGAATGATAGTGATAATATATTTAAGTATGAATGAATGTCTTATTTTTGAGCATTTATATGTGTGGTATATCAAGATTCCATTCCGCTATACCGCTACCAGCCATAGCGCTATAGCGTTTTCGGAGTCGGCCGCAATTCGCATTTGATAACTATGGTTGGAAAGGAAAGCCAGAATTGCGAACTCTTAAGGATAATTTTTTAATGTTGCCTCTTTTGGGAGAAAAAGTGGTCTTTTTAGACTTGTTATGGACAATCATTGCTTTGCCTCATTCAACCAAGCAGCATAAAGTGAGGCCTAAGCTCAATCTATACATTATTAAACAAAAGTCTGACGGCATATACTAGCTAGAGTCCAAACATTTTGGTGAACAGCATATATTGTGTCCAATTTTCATGAGTAAAGAGAGTAGATACAATAAATGCAACTATATTTCTTAAGAGATATTTAGGTGCTCTGACTAGAAGCATAATCAACGATGTCAAGAGAAAAAGTAACAGTCATTGCCCGCGAAAAGACCCTTGAAAATTAATTTTGAAATAGGTCACTTTTTTAAGAAAAATAATCACTAAATTGCATTCAACTTACTTTAACACCTAGGATCAGCGGACTACCGCGCTTGCAAGCAATCAATTCATTAGGATAATGAAGACTTTTGAAAATAAGGGCATAGGCTCCATCAAGATGCCTCATAACTTCCAGAACAACTTGACTGAAGGTAACATCCTGACCACCTGCAACATGATTGGAAAAGTACTTTAAGCATACATCACCCATAATGGCATTGAAACCTCTTAATTAGAAGCATAGTTATCAAATGCGGATTGCGGCATGTCGCGGCCAACCCCGAAAAATGCTATAGCGTTATAGCGGGTTACGGTTGCGTAAATAGCGGAATAGATATATGACGGAAATAATGACAAAAATAAACATTTTTTAAAGGAAGATACAGCAGAAGTGACAGAGACAGAAGCGGATAGACTAAAAAACCCTTAAATTTTATCTGTTACACATTTAAATTTAGGACAAAATTGACATTTTTCCTTATGACAGCAATATAGCCGCAAATGCGATCACAATGGCTGCTATTGCGTTTCGGTGTAGCGCGGCGCGGTTTCTTGCGGCGAGGCACCGCAACACCCATACGACGCGGCTCGCGGCGCTATTGCGGCGCAATTAACTACTATGATTAGAAGTGGAAAAAAGAAGCTCAGATATAAACCTCTGAAAAAAACTGTACTGAATGTAACTACAAATAAATGGAAAAACCAGCAGACTTAACGCAGATCAATTTAACCTCCAAAACAAGCAGGTTTATCATACTCGGAACCAATCTCCAGTATCATTTTTCAATCAAATTCATTAAAAAAATCAGTTTGGCAGCATTAAAATGGAAATTTTGTTAGTCTCTATCCCCATTACTTCCTCTTCACAATTTATACAGATTTTACAATTTACATCAACAAAATATCATGAACTCAATTGTGTGAAATAATTACGGAGGGGCCTTTTCTACCGGTAGCCAATAACGGTCACGAAACTTCCCAAACCTTAACCCTGTACTATTGAGAAATCCAGTGCTACACTGTTACGATCCTACTCCAAGGTATGAGACTTGGAGTCCCACATTGGTTATATGGGTTATTAATGTGGGGTTTATATGAACTTTGGGATCTCCTACCTCTTAAGCTAGCTTTTGGGATGAGGTTCTCCCAAAGTTCGTATCAATTGGTATCAGAGTCTTCCACTATATCTCCAAGGTGTGAAGCTAGAGCATTGGTAAGGAAACAACATATTTGCAAAAAAAAAATACAAGGGTAAGGCTGCTTAGAGAGATTTCCCTCCACGTGCCCTCGCAAGTCAGGGTTTCATGGGGTTTATTAACTCTATAAATTCCATATGATTCTCTGAATGGAAACAATGCAAATACTTCATCGATTCAGCAATAAAAACTACCTGCTTCCTCTGTGGTTTTGTCGTAAACAAACTTTGCAAGCTTGGGAATGACTTCTGTGTCGGTTTCAGATTCAAAGGTAAAGCCATGTCTGACCAGAGTTTCCTTCAAAACCTGAAGAATACATAACATAAAAAAACAAGGCAGAAACTAAAATTCAGCAACACGGTTGGCAAATGCCTCAAACGCACGCACAATATAACAATACCATAAACAATCAATAAAAAAAAAAAAAAAAATGGTAACAATTAGTGTTAACCTCATAATTAGTGATAACACCATTATGAACAACCAAGAACTCATTTCCAGGACCAGATGTCTGAGGATGACTATTCCTAGGTGCAGGCTCTCCATGAGTGGCCCAACGAGTGTGCGCTATTCCAGCATGAGTAGAAAACGATTCTTCCAAGTTCAATTCTACTTCATCTACTTCTGTTAATTTAAAAAATAAAATAAAATAATAATAATATTAAAATATGTAGAAATGACACATTGATGTAACTAGAATTACAATAAAGGTAAAGAGAGGAATTAAACAAACCTTGGTAAACGGATTTAACGAGAGACTCGATGTTTCCCTCTTGACGGAACACAATAGGAGGAGGATCGGAATTGGAGGAGCATTGAGATTGTGATGATGAAGAAGAAGAAGAATCGATGGCGATCCCAGCTGAATCGTAACCACGATATTCCAATCTTCTAAGGCCATTGAAGAGAACCTGCAAGATGTATCTCCTCTCTCTGTTCACATTGTAATTCAGATATGCAAATATTCCACACATTTTCTCTTTTCTCTCTTCTCTTTCTCCTCTTTTTCTTCTTCTAAGCTAAAATGAATCTTGACGACGAAGCAGACTCAGTAGTTTTCATTATAAATAAATTGAAATTGCGCCTTTTGACTTGTCGTGAGTCAATTGTGTCACGCGAAACGAACGAATCAGAAACTTCCATATCTGCTTCCTTCCTTCGGTTACGTTACCGGTGAAGGGGAAACTGATTCTTCCAATTCAATTTTCAAACATTCGGGGATAAATTTGTCATTTCACTCCGCATCAGTCCCCCTCACGTGGCGTTTCCTTATTGGATCGTTTCAGTCAAACTTCAAAACCCGCCATTCTCCAATTTACACCTTGGCCTCTTTTTTCTTTGATCTTTCTCTCCAATAAATATTCATATTCATATCCAACCATTTTAACTAAGAGTTTTATTAATATCATGTTAAAGGAGATTAGTTATCTCATGTTATAGAGATAAATTTGTGAGTTTCACCATTTGAAAAAAAAAAGATGGCACATCGAAGAGTGTGTAGGAGAGAAATTTATCACATCTAGCATAAGAATAGTTTTTTCCTTCAAGAAATTATTCTCATTCATGATTTTAATGTTCTCGTTCAGTAAAATATTTAATATGGTTCAGGTCTACTGAATTTTTGGTGCTCTCTCTCACATCATTATTTTTTTCTTTTCTTTTTTATCCTTGTTATTTTCTCTCTCTTTCAATTTTACCCTCTATTTACACTAAGGGACCACCTAAAAAATGATGGTACCGGTTCACAATAAATAATCTACTCATTCAGATCTACTTATAATTTTTAATGAGTAAAATCAATGTTTTATAATTAATATGATTGATTTTTCTATTCCACTATCAATTTAAATACTAATTAACTTCATAAATAATAATTAATACCATCGATATTAAATCTATTAAGTCAAAATGTCAAATACTATTAAAAATCAAAAATTAAATTATCACTATTAATAATAATTTAATATTGTTAAATTGGTGATAATTCTAAAATATTAAGTCAATTATCATTATTGATCCCGCGGGAATGGGGTGAAGGATTCCGTGCATTATATTAATAACATGTTAAGATTGCATTATTTAGGATACTTTTTTAAAAAATGCATTAAAATATTTTTTTAATTTTTTTTTAAAAATTGCATTAAAACTATAAGGTACAAGACTTAAAATCCCACATAAAAATATATAATATTTTAATATGAAGTTTATATAGATTTTGAACTTTTAGTACAGAGCTTTTTCAGGATTCATGTCAATTAATATCATAACTAATATATGACACCCCGTCTACCAAAAAAAATTATATGACACCCCAAAACCAATGTTGGTATCATTTTCCCAACAATTGTCAAAAGGCCCATTCTTAAGTTATGTTGTTGTCTGTCACACAACATGAATGACAATCATCATCTGCATTATAATTGATTCTTCCAGTTGCATTAACGTGGTTGGTAGACATAATTGGAGACAACTCTTTTTTTTATTGAGAATCCACATTAATCCAGTGGACCATGAGGGAGGGGCAATTAGCTCCTTTACATTAGATAACACTGATTCAATCCATATTTATCTCATGCAATTTTTTAAGGAAAAAAAAAAATATCAGCCAGCCAACTTTATAAACACCCCATGATCAAGTTGATAACACAAATAACTTTGAGCAACTCTTCCCTAGGTATAGCCGTATAGGGAATAATCAATTACGGTTTATAACAATCACATGATGACATTTTTTCATCTTTCATTCGGCAGCTTACAATTGCATTAAAATACTTACAAAGGTGTCAAGCATAATATTATAACATAGAAAGAGAGAACATTTATATTCTTTAGGTTGATCGAACAGTGTCTATGGCAATGACCAAATCATCAAATTTAGCTCCAGTAACCTCTTTTACAACGTTGCTATCCTTCAGAATTTTAAAAGTGGGAACCACTTTAATTCCAAGCTCTTTTGCCAAGGGCTGTAAACAACCATTAAACAAATACTATGTGAGTCAAAGAATGTAAAGGTTAGCCTTAGGCTTAACCTAAGATGTCTATAATTTAAATAAATGAATAAAAAGAGACTATCTACTATCTGGCACATCTCATCCACACCTTGTTATCTTGGTTGCAATCAAGCTTTAGAAAGACAACATCCAGATACTTCTCAGATAATTCTTGAAACTTTGGAGCCATAACTTTGCAAGGACCGCACCTGCAAAAATTCATAAATTCTTATGTAAGGTTATAAAAATATGCAGTTAGTATTTAGTAGCTGGGACAACAATGTCATAAAGGTTGGATTCTTAAAATAACCATTCCTGCAGAACCACACCAGAGAATTATCAAAATTAATCTCAGAATTGAAATTAACCTGTGGTACTAGCTCTGTTTTTGTTATCACCCAACCAATTTATTATTACTGAAGAAGCTTGTTTTGATTCCTTTTATAAACTGATGAGATGACCAGCTGAATACTATTTAAGTCACATGACATCTTGTAAAGAACCATTTCAACTCTAAAGCTTAAGCTTGTGGGTGAAATTACATTAATAGTTTTATACATTTCTAACACGCCCCCTCATACGAGAGCCCATTGGGTTTGAAGGGTGGATGATACATCAGGCTCAGTCTACCTGTGCTAAGAAATTCCATAATAGAAAGTGGGGGACGGTGAGGATCAAACCCGTGACACCAAGACTCTGATACCATGTCCATGTCAACCTAAAAGCTTAAGCTGGTGGGTGATATTACATTAATGATTTTATATATCTCTAACACATCTACATAAAACTTCATCAATAATCCACTTTTATACAAGGACGAAAATAGTAAAAAAAAAAGCCTACCCTTTTGCAAGCTAAACCAGGTAAATCAAGTTGTCAATAATTATATACAAGTTCCCTGATTTGGGTCCATTTGTTTCATATCCCAAATAATTATATTACTTCATCCCAGGAATACAACTTGTATTAGCCTTCGCTAAGCACATAATTGCAGAAAGGTATGACTCAACTGTACACCAAAGGCCAACTTTGAAGCTTTCAACCAATGTAAGAATGGAAAGTATGAATGCTAAATATTTCTTTTAATATTCGGCCTACATACAAATGTTCAGCACTCTCATCTCAATTACTAATGTCATGGCATTTTATTCCCATTTTGCCGTTAATTAAGTTCCTTGCATTATATAATTAACCAGGGAAGTGCCCCACCCCACCCCATCCCATTCCATTTGGCTACTCTTAAGGGATTTAGAGTAAAAAGTGTGTTGTAATGGTTGATTGAAAAATCAACTACAGAGATTATGATAAAATGCATGCACATATATAATAAACTATAAAGTTGTTTAAATCCACTCCTTGGCTCTCTCATCAACGATTATAACTCTTCACTTTTCCCTCTAAAGGAATCCCTGATAGAAGCCAAATCCTTTTTTCTCAACCTCCATCAAAAAATGAACTTTAGCAAGAGATTTATTTTGAACATTCCTCATTTAGGTACAGACAACACTATGAAACTGTTCAGTGATATATTGTGAGCGAATATAAGCCAGATTCATAATTGATTATCTACTGTGTTTGTCAAATTTCCTGCCTATACATAATTCTGAAAGCTGGAAAAGAAATGAAACCCCAAAAGACAGAGAGAAAGAAAGAAGAACGGCTATGAATTTCAGAAACCAACAACTAAGTCAAACAAAACCAATCCAAACTGACAAATGGTATAATCCATACATCATGTAAATTTTTGTGTGTAATATCAGTTTGTGTTACCAATTCCAAAATATACAAATCAACTAGCACTAAGAGAAACTAAGGCTATGCTTGTTTAAGTAAACAGAAAATGGTAAAGCACAAAAATTATTGCATTCCACATTAGACCTCATATATTTGTTTGTATTTTGTACCAACCAATTGTACATTAATTTTCATTCCTCAGCATAAAACTAGCAAAACACTTAGGCCCGTTTGCTAGGTGGTATTCTTTAGAATTCCCGAAAAACTGATTTTTTTTAAATTTCAAATTTTTAGATATTATCATAAACTCCTAAAAATTATATTTTTGAAAATCGAGATTTTCAAATAAAATTTTTTTTAACGCCCCCTAAGGAATCTGAAAGCTAAGAGATAAAATATAGGTAGCTGTAATAAACAAGTAAAGTATAATTATTTTTCCTAAATTCAAATCCATCATATAATAAATTATAAGAAAAAAAAAGGGTATGATTATAAATATAAATATATATATACCATTGGGTGTACATGTCAAGGACTACTGTCTTATCTCCGGCGGCCTTAACAATGGGCCAGAATGTATCCTTGTTTACCTCAGTGACCTGCCCCACTGTGACTGTGGGCCCCGCAGTTTCTAAGCTGGATCTTACAGTAACACTTGCACTCTTCCTCACACTCGTAGTATTTGTACTGAAGCTGAGACTTACACTACTAGCAATGTTGTTTATGTTGTTGCCATTCTTGGAACTGGAAATAGAAGAAGAACCAAGTGATGATAACCTTCCAGAAGAAGCACCATCCAACGTGATCGTTGAAGGAGAGCCAACCCATTTACACTTAGGTGAGACACACAGATTCACAGCCATTGTTGTTGCTAATTGCCAAGGAATTTTCGAATCTCCAACACAAAGGAGAAGACAACTTGGGAAAACACTGAGATATGGTCGTGGTGGAGATGAACTTATGGAAGTGTAGAGTGAAAAGACACGATTGCCCTTGTAATTTGTGTCTCCTGTTATTGCTATCCGAAAATGAGAGTGGTCTTTGGTAAATTGACTGAAGCAAACATGTTGAAGAGAATGAAAGTGATGTGTAGCCAGTTTTAGAATGTTTTATTACCAAAATGTCCTTTTTTGGAAAAACAAAAATATCTCTTGTTTGTTTCAGTATTATCAGATCGGCCGCATCGGAAATAAAATAATCGATTCGAGTAAGTATTGAACGGATCACATTCAAAAGATCTCCTGATAAATGCTCAAAAGATCCCTCTGAAAAATCTCTCTTGTTCTGTTCGTGGAACATTCCAATAATACGATTTTATACGCATATGAATTTGTATTTGTATGCTTTTTTTCGTTTGATTATAATTATATTTTTTTATACACTCACATCTTGATTCTTTTACTTTACACAAATATAAAGTGATACATTTAGTGTTAAAAAAAAGACAATATTACAAAAATTATTTATTACCAGCATAGTTAATTTTTAGATTGATTCTTTACTTAATTGTCAGTTTAATTAACAAGTGACTTTTTTTCCAGCTTTTTCATCAAAAGTTTAATTAGTCTTGTTCGAGCATTCGTAGACTCATGTAGAGGGCAATTCTCCTAATATCATTTTCTTCGTTTTCAAGATTCGAATTCTATATTTTTAATTAGGAAAAAATATTTGTCATTTTAAATAACAGAAAGTTATATCATTTTAAGAGAGATACAGATACAGAAAATTTGAATTTTAAATTAAAAAAATCACTCATTTTCTCTCTCTCTCGTGATTTCTGTTTTTCTGTGTCTATCTCTCGTAAAATGACATAACTTATGTTATTTTAAATGACAAACCTCAAACCCTTTTAATTAACATAAATAAACTCTTTCTTACTTGAACAAATAGCTATTGGTATCAAGTTTCGAACTATAAAAAATATCAATGCAGGTGAAATAAGTAAAATCAAGGTTTTAAGGCAGTGATGGTAATTACCAAGATGCAGATGAGCGAGGGGGATTCAGTTTCACAAGAAAATGACGAGAGATTAAGGATTAGGTTTTGGATTTTTTTTTTTTTTTTGTGAATTCCCCTTTTCTTGCTATTTTGATGGACCAAGTTACTACCTTAGGGGTTAGGGGCAACTCTTGTCCCAGATTTTTGGGAATGTTACTTTTTGGATGCATATAAATTAACAAAGGAAAATTATTTTTTCCAAATAGAAAATAACTATCTTACGTCACAAAGGCATAAAATAATGTGACTATAATTTTTTTTATTTATTTTTCTTTAACTTGTGAGCTCCATATTTTTTGTTAATATAGGAAAAAAAAAATTTCTCTCATGTCAGATGAAAGAAATATTACCCATTAACAAATTTGGGATTTCGATTCCTTCCAAATTTAGCCTTTTGTTTACTTTTCTTTTTTTGTAACGGTCAACCATTTTCCATTCAATGCAATCCTCGGAGAATCAATCACATTAGTTACATGAGAAATTCGATCAACTCGAAATTATTTACCACCAGTGGCCTTCTCTATGGATGTTGATGAACTGCCACCACAATCCTAGGTGTTGCAACCGTGTATTCCTAAGTGATGATAATAGCCCAAGTTGCTATGAATGGAATATAGACCCTTACTTGTTGTGGATCATGAGTTAGGTATGTTTCGGTGGTGTATGTCGATATACGTGTGTTCAAAGATGCTTTGATATAGATCAAAGCTTTGGGAGAATCACCGAAAGCCCTATCACATGTATGGTTGTGTGAGGGGATGTGTGTTAGGCAATCGTGGTTCTAAAATACAACATAGTAATCACTCATAAAAAAGCTAAGTATCAAGTGCCTCCTCTCTTGTGTAGGAGATGTTTATATATGAGGGGAAATATTCCCCAACGATGATGAGTGTGAGAAAAGATAAGTCAAAACCATTAATCATTGTCTCCCCTATCATAGTGAGGCGTTAGCTCACCTTGTGGGTGTACAATGGTGAGCTATGCAGGGAGAGATGAGTTTCCTAATTCATTTATAATTGGCTCATTGCACCTGGCTCAACCATTGATTCAAAAAGCTTAGTGTCAACTGGAGTTGTGGCCTAAGCTTATAGTCAACTAGAGTTGTGGCCTAATAAGTATGGCCTAATTGTTGAAAGAAGCAGTGATTTGGAATATAACAAATTACGATCAAATCCAATTTTCAGTAAAGTAGCAGATATGATTATGATTTGTTTAGTAAGAAAATAAAAACAAAACATTTGACATTATTTGAGATATAAGATTTGGGATGTGTTTTGAATGATTTAATTGTAATTATTTATTTAGAAAACAAATATAGCAATAGGAATCCATAATGAGATTGTCATCATCTTTCTCTTCATCGGTTCATCATATATAGATACCTCATCATATAATGGATACTTATTGTTTTTCTCTTCTTTGGATTCGTAATAGACAGGGACCTTATGATCTTTTGTCAAGTCTCTGAAGTCAAATACCCTTTCGACTCGACTGTGTGTAACCAGTCGATAAACTCATATGGATGAGTGGTGCCCTCGAATTCCGGGATCTCGATCTTCACCTAATATTAGCAACAAAAAAAAGAATTTATCGCCAGGTTGTCTTCGTCCTTATTGCTCTTGGTTCCATAATGAGTTTTCACTCATTTTCTCTACATGAGATGATCTTTCAGATTCCCTTCCTTCATCTAACTCGTCCAACTGTGTTAGGGCAAGCAGTTATTCGAGCTCCTGAATTCGTCTATCTTGTTCTGTCATTGTAGCGGCCATTGCAGCTACAATTATGGCGTCTCGCACTAAGATGCGTGGTTGTTCACCATCGCCGTTAAGGGTGTTACCATGTCCTTTACAGCCGCCGTCACCTCGACCCCGTCGTCCATGACCTCGACCACCATTGTTTTTGTTCAGCCATTTATGTGACAACCAAATCTTTGATACCAAATAATGTCAAGAGTAACCAATTGACTAAACAGAAAGAAGAACGAACACAAGAAGTGCGAGAAAGTACTATTTCTCTTTTCTTAATTTTATTTAACCAAAAACAACCAAGTAATAATAGGGTTCTCTAAGCCTTAAATAGGCAAACAAAATAAAATGAAAATAAAATCAAAAGGAATCATGCGCAATCAAAGGAGATAACTCACAATCAACGTGCACTCAAACATAATCTAAGAAATAACAAAAAAGGTAAATAACTAACAATTATTGAAAAGTCATAATTATGGAAAGACCCAAAATTGTTGATGCTCGCGAGAGTCTTGCTCATAAGCCCATTTAGAGTTGGCTATACAAATTTGAGCTCAATCCAAGTCAATCAGCTCGGGTGCATCATTCCCTGTGGTGAGGACCATGTGCTCACTTGTGGGATGCTAGAATATAATTGGGTCTCCATTAAGCTTATGAATGACCGTCCGAGCACGTTGGGCCTGTGTTGGCCGGCTATAACAACACTCATATTCAACTCTCTTTATCACCATAAGATTCAAGTCAATTTTAAGGCAAACCCTAGCAATTCTCCCTCTTTTGACCTTTAGTATATTCGTATAAATTTTAATAAACCTTCTCATTAGAGAAAAAATTACCTGAAAGAAACATGTATCAAAATATGTCAGAATTGAGATTAGGAAACCTAATAATCCATACCAAAATCTTTTCAATGGCTACAATTGAGGTTACAGAATCTAATAATTAGAAACAAACTAGTAAATCATAAGGTTATACAAGCATCATGTAACACGAAGAAAATCGATTTGCCTACAGACACAAAAATCGAATTAGGGTGAGATTGTGAGAGAGACATTCTATTTATACAAGCATCGTCCAACTGTGTTATTGGCACAAAAATTGTTTGAAATCGTTTTGTATAGTGAAGGAATTTCGTTCATGAATATATTGTTACGAAACATAAGTTCCATACTATGGAGGTTTCAACTTTCTTTAAATCAATATTATTTTATTAATGTAAAATAAATTTTGGTTTGGGGGTTTTTGTTCCCCTGTTGTTTTTTCAATGTTGTTTTAATACAAAAATTACACTTTTTTGTGCCAAGAAAAATCACAACACTTAGATTGAAAAATTATTTTTTAAACTTCCAAAAGCTCTCAAAATTGCTAAAAAAATCTGATGTTTTTGAGATGGATTAGATTAGAATCTTGTTGGGTTGTTGTTTCTAGGTTGTTTTGTAATAAAAATCACTAAAAAATCTACTGTTTTGGAGCTTTGACAAAGTTCCAATGGCAAAACTCGGTTTCAAGCGGGTCGACTCGTTAAAGGAAGAAAAAAATAGTGCAATAGAGAAATCTAAGTATATCCTAAGGATTAAGGTGAGATTGTGAGAAAGACATTCTATTTATACTTTTCGTTAAAAAGTCTCACGAAATTCACGTCAATAAAAATTCGACTAAAATAATCAATTTTTTAAAACCACAAGATTAATTTTCCTTTGTTTAAAATCCTGATTAAATACCATCGGATTTGGACTGACTCTAAAATAATCATTTAAAATCTTAATTAAATATCACGTGACTTTTTTTCAATTATTTAAAATCCTAATTGAATAGGAATATATTTTTTTTGTTAAAAAATAATTCATTAAAATCTCAATTCAATACACCCTTTTAATTTCTTAATTTTGTCAAACATGCTTTACTTAATTTTATTTTATTTTTTGTTTTTCTGTACTTAATGTTTTTTTACCTGCAACGATTAAACCGAGACGAAATCACATAGAATACAAAGATAAAAAAGATATAGTATTCAACTGTACATTGATATTTTGTATTTTTAATTTAATTAATTTATAATATTAAAGGGAGAAAAGAACTGAGGAAGGAAGTTTGTAAGGGACTAAAAACACGGTTTTGTTCTATACAAAAAAAAAAAAAAAAAAACACGGCTTTGAACTTAACAACTCTTTAAAGGACGGCTTTTTTGTACTAAAAAAGAAAATAAGGACGGCTTTGACCTTGATATTTCTTATATAGGATCCAATTTGAAGTTGAGTCACTAAGAGCCAATAAGATTAGGTGGGTTAATAAAATTTCTAACTTGTCATTAGAGGATGGCGCTATTCCAAATTAACTCTCTTCATTTAATTATCTAATTCTAAAAAATTATCTTTATCATATAATCGAAATACTTTAATTTTTTATATTATACATTGATTCATCGATTACTCAACTGATTTAATTTTAAATTTTAAATATTATTTGAAATACTTTTATTAGTTATATACAATTTACAAAAAGTGAGCTGGAACATCAATTTTGATGATAAAAAAAAAAGAATTGTTTTTATTATGTTACATAACCTAAAATCATCTTCTTACACACACAAATTTTATATGGGACCCACTTTAAATTCTTTTTCTCTTTTTCCTATTCTCTCTCCTCTCTCCTCCTTTTGTGAGAGTAGGAAATTTGCTTTTAGGTTATCTTACATAACAAAAGCAATTCCCTAAAAAAAAATTAGATCAAACACAAGAATTATCTGCTAAAGATTATTTCAGCTTAATCACAAATTTTAAATATGCATTTGCGTAAAATTTTGATAAGGACAACTTTAGCACCTTTAAATCAAGGGTTTGTTTTTTCTGCTGCCGCCGAACAAAGCAAATGGGATCCACTGGTTAAAAAACAAATTATTTAAAGCAAATGGTATCCACGGGTTAAAAGACAAATTATTTTATCATGATCCAATGTCATATTCTTGTGTCATTACATGCCACAATTTTTTTTTCCAGTAACACAAGAAGTATTAAACCCTTTAAACAATCATAATCAATTAGTACCAGGGGATATATCCACTTATCACCAAATTTTAACCATTTATTTTTGTCAATTTGACGGTTATAATTTATTGGACGATACTTATTAATTAATTATTAATTTTTAATAAATTATAATCGTCATATTGATAGAAATTAACAATTAAAATTTGATAGTAAATTTAATTGGTGATAAATATATCTTGTCCCTTATTATTATTATTTTTGCCCCTTATTATTATTATTTATATATATACAAATAATAATAATAATAAGGGGCATGATATTTTTATCACCAATTAAATTTACCACCAAATAATAATAATATTTAATTATTAAGATACGCATCTTTAAATCAATCCTAGTCAATTAATCATTAAGATACGCATGTGAACAAAACGAGTTAAAATGTCATATGAATATTTTCCTTTTGTTTCCAAAAAGGGGTTGCATAGTTGGCTAGATAGAGTTAATGGCATGTGTTTGTCTGGCCCTTTTGGAAGGGGTGGAATAAGAAAAGAAAAGAAAAGAAAAGAAAGTTCATAGGCAAATTGGATACCGCGATATCCATTGCATAAAACAAGGAAAAGAAAAGCAAAAACCTCATATATTTGAAAACAAAAAAGAAAACAAACTCAACGAAGCAAAGGAAAGGACCAAAACAACAACGTTGTTTATTGTTCTGTAATTTTTATCTTATAAAAAAACATTGTATACGAGACGTGTCGTTAGCCGTTGAAATCGCGTTGTCTCTCTCTCTCCTTTAACTTTCTCTCTCATACGTCCCGTGTTTAACAAAGTTGCCTCTCGTTATTTTGTGTTTGTTTTGTTTGTTTTCCCCTTCTCGTTTCTCCGACCCTCATTTCTTCTATTTGGGTCGGCAATGGAATAGAAAACATTAAGAGAAACTTGTTCGATCTATTTGTTTCTCTTCTTTTTCTTTTTTTCCTTTTTTTTTGTGTTGCTTTCTCTCGAAGCTACTACTACCCTTTTGAAATGGATCTCAGAGGATTGCTTTTGGTCCTTGTTGCGGGGTTGTTTTGTTGCGTTGCCAATGCCAATTTGGTTTTCCCTGTTGAACGAAAATTCAAAGGTCCTCATTCGAGTTTAGGTGCTATCAAAGCTCATGATGCTCGTCGCCGAGGTAGATTTCTTTCTGCAATCGATGTTCCTCTTGGTGGCAATGGCCTTCCTTCTTCAACTGGGTTTGTTTTTCCCCTTTCTTTCTTCTGTTTTCTCAAATGCAATTCTTATTATTATGTGTTATGTATCATGGCATGTGTTTGATTATTTATTTTTGGGGTACGTTATATTTGAAGCTAATCTGGTAATTTTCATTTGGATGCTGAATGTTGTTTGTTTGGTTGGTTAATTTAGGCTGTATTTTACCAAACTTGGGCTTGGCTCTCCCCCAAAGGAATACTATGTGCAAGTTGATACAGGAAGTGACATTCTATGGGTGAATTGTCTTGGCTGCACATCATGTCCGAAGAAAAGTGGTCTTGGTGTACGTATCTAGATTTTACTGCATTTAACTTTCATGCCTTTTGGTTGAAATATAGGTATATTGAGTTTTGCTATATATAGTACCCTGTTTGTACCCTCACCCTTCTTAGGATATAGGTACCCTTTATGAATATTTATTATTGTTGTTGATTCTCACAGTAAATGTTTGACGTCCATAAATTATAACCAGCAACCAACAAATACGTGATTATTCAAGGTACTGGTACCAAAAAAAAAAAAAAAAAAAAGAGTATTGGAGTAGTCCCTAGGTATATTACATTTAAGGTATACTTTGACATACTAAAAGTATATTGCTTGACCACTTATCAATGTTGTTTTTGCTATTTTATTATTGTGTTACAGATGGACCTGACCCTCTATGATCCAAACGACTCCAAAACTTCAAATGTGGTTTCTTGTGAAGATGATTTTTGCACTTCCACATATGATGGTCCTGTTTCTGGTTGCAAACAAGACATGTCCTGCCCATATGGCATAACTTATGGAGATGGAAGTACAACGTCTGGTTCCTTTGTGAAGGATTATCTTACATTTAACCAAGTTAATGGTAATCTCCGTACAGTACCAAAAAATAGCAGCGTGATTTTTGGGTGAGTATAATTTCTAATACTTCACATTACACACACACACACACACTTGAGTAGGGGAAGTAGATAGATGATTTGATGAATGAATGAACCTTTGACATCATCATCACACCCCAACCTTAAAGACTGGGGCCAGTGACAATTGAGCTACAAGCTCGATGGCACATTATAGTCAAATGTTGCAGGTCTCAATTGGATCTTCTGTCAATGTTGCTGAATTTGATAAGAAGTTCTCATTTTTGCTTCTCATGAGAAAATTCTTCTTAATTTAAACTGTATTTTCATCCGCATTTGAGCTAACTGTTTTATTTTATGTGGACACTTCCCGTTATAATCATTTTTCTGTTTCTACTAGATTTTTGTTGGGGTATAAGGCCACTCGTTACCCTTCTCTGGACCATTGGCAGCATGTGCTTTATAGCACTAACCTGCCCATTTTATTTTTTCTGTTCTTATTCTTCGTAGCCTTAGTTTTTATGTTTATTGCTTTATTATAACTTTCAAATTGGGAGGTTCAATGTTTATATGTTTATGCATACAACTATTTTGCTTCTTAGGTTGGTAAAGAAACAAAGAAAAGGTTCAACATTATATATATATATATATATATATATATATATTTTTATGTTTTCTTGACTACTCTCTTGCTGTTAGGTGTGGTAATAAACAATCTGGGACTTTGAGTTCATCTTCTGATGAAGCCCTTGATGGAATAATGGGTTTTGGACAAGCAAATTCTTCCGTGCTTTCGCAGCTTGCTGCATCTGGAAAGGTGAAAAAAATATTTTCACACTGCCTTGACAGTGTTAATGGAGGAGGAATATTTTCGGTAGGGGAAGTGGTGGATCCAAAATTTAATACAACTTCATTGGTACCAAGAATGTATGTGCAGAATCTTAGCTTTTTGTTCCCATGCCATGTTATTTGTTATAAGTGTATTTGATTTGTTTCATTGTTGGATAATAGTAATTTGATGGAACAGGATGGTATCTATTTGATGATAACGAGAACCAAATATGCTAGGTTTTCATTTATGTTATTTTCTTGAAGACTGGTATTGACTTAGGAATTCTTTATTTTCATATAAAATTTAGCAAAGACCTTAGGTTTATAATCTAAAATTTATCAGAAAATGAAAAGATCCTCATTTCATGTTCACAAGATTTTAGTTGGCTGGACAGGATTGTTCTGCAATTGAGATGGAGAGCAGTACCTGGTATAAGTTGAAGGCAGGGAGCTTGCTTGAGAACTGAATCTGCATGCTTTTTCTTTTCCATTTGGAAAAATTATAAGCTCAAGTATTTAATGAAATGATTTTATCTTCTTACTAGTTAAATGATTCAGAAAATGGAGTAATCAAGCCTAAATACTGTAAATGTTAGATATTTGAGTGGAATAAAACATTCACACCAATCATCTGCAATGGATTTTCATTTGTATATTGTCATCTAATATATTGCTGCATATCAATGTCACTATTGTAGCTGTGTCAAGCAATCAACCTTTTCAGGGTTCTTCTTTGTCTTTTCAAACCCCATTAAGATCTTGTTGGAGTTATTTAAAAGTTAAAATTGTAAAAAGATTTTTTTGTGGCTACTATAAATGGAATTTGTATATATGAAATTTCAGCTCTCTCTGTCTCTAGTATTTACTATTTATATGTATGATAAGTCCTTTTGTTTTCTTGGTCCACTTGAAGGGCCAATGAGTCCCATAGGCAACTGAATAAGGGTGTCCTTTTGCATCTTTTATTCTTTCTGCAATCTCTGATATAATCTATAAAAAATTTCAATGCAAGCTCTCTGGCACAGTCTCTTGCAAATGTTCTTTCAAATTCTTATAATGTGATTTATATCCAGTTTAGGTTTTGGGATTGGAATTATGTCATAACTGTAGTCTATTGACTGTTTTAGGGCACACTATAATGTGGTTTTGAAGGACATTGAGATTGATGGGGACTTTCTACAGCTTCCCTCAGATATATTTGATTCTGGAAATGGGAGGGGAACAATAATAGATAGTGGTACAACCTTGGCTTATATTCCAGCTACAGTTTATGATCAACTAGTGCCTAAGGTAAGTCTAATTTAAGGGTTAAGTGAGTCAATTTTTCCCACTTGAATACTCATGATTATTCTTTCTAATAGGTTTTGTCTCGCCAGTCTGGAATGAAATTATATCTTGTTGAGGAACAATTTACTTGTTTTCGTTATACCGAAAAGTACGATTCTTATCTTCTTGACTTTATTTTACTTCATATATAGAGGGAATTTTGCATTTCTCTTTTCTTTTGAAATAAGTATCATTTGCCAATATTAAGGTGTGATGTTCTTTTTGTTTGATTTGTCATTGTTGTGTAATTGACTAAGTACACCATATATTTGTCAGGTTGTCATTTAAACATATCTTCAAAAATATCGAGCTATCACTGTTTTGATAGTACTTGTGATCCGATATTCTGGAATCTGCAAGGGGGTAAAAGATTGTAACAAAACAAAAGCAGATGTGACAGTAGTAACTAGGATTTACAAAATATAATAGAGGTTGTGTTTTTGTATTATTTTTTGAACCTGAGCAGGGACGGAGCTATGACCTAAATCAATTTGTTGACTTTAAAATTGCTGATTAGGTTCTTAATGAAGTGAATTAATCTGGTATTATATGGATTTTATTAATAGACAAGGATGCATTGCATGCATGTATTAAAAATAATATTCTGAGATTGCCTTTCTCAGTCCTTTTTATTTTCTGTTTGGGTTTTTGTAGTACTTTGCTCTTTTGTTTAGGATGATTATCAACAAATAATCTCATATATGATTCTTTAACTAGACTAGAAGTTTATCAAAATTTTCCTGTCACATATACAGAGGATTTTATACTAGAACAGAATTAATTCTTCGAGATAGTCTTCTTATGAAATACAGAAATAATAACGGGCATGAATTGTTCTAATGATTCTCTGGTATATAAAATATATTCTTTTGGTGAATTAAGTTTCATCAGTTCAAGAAGAAGGCAATGAGTTCACTTTTATTGTCTGGCATATGCAGCTCTTAACTTTTTAACCATTGTAATTTTGCAGTCTTGATGATGGATTTCCTGTTGTCACGTTTCACTTTGAGGGGCTTTCTCTGGTAGTTTATCCTCACGACTACCTGTTCCTGCTTAAAGTGAGTGGGAACTTGATTATTCATTTTATATGTACCCAGTTTCTGATTTGAGAAGTTTTCTGGCTGCTAGATACTCAAACAGTCAAACGACAAATATGTTTATTTTTCATATGAAAACTATACTCTTAAGTTTAACCTGTTACCTGAATTGTTTTCTCCCTCTCGGAAATTTACCAGTGTGTTTTATACATTGGCTTATCATACATGCTTATTAAATGGCGTAGAGTCTAATTATTTATCTTCCGTTCACTGTTGACTACAATGAGGATTTAAGTTGCAATCTGGAGAGTTTTACGATGCGTTTTGTTTTCGAATATATATGCAACTTTTTATTTTGAAAACCTGGATTTGATAAATTTGTTTTAGGTGTTCAATAATGCTATATTATTTTGTCTTCATTTTCCCCAGGAGGATATGTATTGTATTGGCTGGCAGAAAAGTGCAGACCAAACTAAAAGTGGAAAGGACCTGATTCTTCTTGGAGGTGAGGTTTTAGAATTAAAGTACATTCATAATTTAATATATTGACTTCTTGGTATAACTTTGTAGAAGGCATGATTTGTTCATTTAGTCCCCTTTAACTGTTTCTGATATATGTAGGCTATTTATGTTAAATTAAGAACTTTCATAAACTGTAAGCTCTTGAGTCTGATTCTGATATATGTTTTAGAAATTTTTTGCTGAATGAAGAACTTCCATATACTTATGTTTGTACCTTTTACTTTTACTGCACCTGTGTGGTAAAATATGCTGATTAATATATGCCTGACCTAACCGATGCTAGTTTTGATCATTTTGGAATGAGTGCTACTTATGTTGGTTGACTAAATAATTTACTAACTTTGAATTATTTCCAATTGCAGATTTGGTGCTGTCGAACAAATTAGTCGTATATGATCTTGAAAATATGCTCATTGGATGGACAAATTACAATTGTGAGTACCCTACTTGTTTATATGCTGAATGTTCAATCCAAGTTTGTCCAAATCATATCACCTGGGATTGTTTCTTTTATTGCTCTTTAATGAGAATCATATTTCATCCCAGCTTTTGAATATTCCATCCCTCTATGCTTCATTTTCATGTCTCTTTTAAATGTTTTTGAGATTTATGAATTAGAAAAAGAAAAGGTTCATAAATTTAAGAGAGCTTGGCCTAAACAGGCTTCATTTGTTGTAGCTACCTTTATTTATGACTCTTCTATGGCTTTTAGGGTTAAATTTCTTGACATTGATGTGTACTAGAATGATGTTCTTAGCATTGTCTTGTTGATTCTTTAGGCTCTTCCAGCATTAAAGTGAAGGATGACACAACTGGATCTGTATATACAGTGGCTGCACACAACCTTTCTTCAGCTTCCACCGTGTTAATTGGAAGAATATTGACGTTCTTTTTGTTGCTTATTGGCATGCTAAACATTTAATTTTGACTAGTTTATATATATGTATATGAGAAATGGCATTTATTTCATTTTGTTGTAATTTAATTCCTTGAATGGTATGCTTAATGCGTATGATTCAGCCATTTTTCGTATAGATGGAAATAGAATTGAGAAAGGGGAGAATTTTTAAGATCTTTTCTATCGCTTCTTCTTTCTTTCATTTTTTCATTTTTTTAATGACGAATGTATATGACTACTTTTCTAATCGATTCAATGTCATGATGAATATTGCTATCCATACAAAATTTGTTAAAAATATATATTTTCCTGTAAAAAAGGCATATCCATTAAGTATGCTAGTATAAAAGAGTCACTGAGATCACATCCTGAATTCAAAACTATGCTTAAATAGTTATTTTGCAAATACGCCAGACAAGTTTCAGTAGCATCTATCAATGAGGATTGTCATATCAATAACCATTGGTTCAAGTGGCAATGAGTTTGTTCACATTAAGTATAAACAGGTGGATATATCTAAAATAAATAAATAAGATTTGTCATTAAAATTTTCAAATTTCTTTAATAATATGTTCAAAAGTCGATTCAAAGTCAATTGTGATGAACAGAAACTCAATCAAACCAAGCAGCTACATTTCCCTGCCTATGGAATTATAGTTGAAGCTTATCTTTGTTGAACAAAAGATCAAACACATCCTAAATAATTGTGTTTGTTTTATATCATTATAATCAAATGGTCCTTTGTGTCTGTTGTATCAAAAAAACCAGCACTATGGCCTGCCAAAAATGTTAAGGGAAACGTCTGAATTTACATTCACGCAATGAGAACATATCTGCTTGTAACTTTGACAAAAAACAACTATTGAGTATAAGCTGATTATCACACTTTATAATGACAAATATTCGTGAATGAAGAGATGTAAGTTCAGATCGTGACAAGACAGGAAAGGCACAGGCTTTACAAAGTAATCCTCAGAAATTGTACCACAAAATAAAGAACTGCTAGGAGTAGTGCAATCTGATATGCATCTCGTTGAAAGCTGTCGTCCATCTGGAAGAACTGAATAAAAGCACAAACCAACAATCAACTCGTGAAAGAAAATGGCCTATGTTCTAATAAGACAGTGAAGTGTAATTTTCATGAGAATGGCAATCTTTCTTGCAAGGCATTTTACCATCATGTTCTGGTGACAAAGGAAGCAATGAAATAAACTGCAAGACTTGAACACCTTGCTTGCTTGATTCATTAAATAAATTAATAAAGCAAAATGCATCCAATATGAAAAAGGATAGGATACTAAAGCCAGGCATTTAGGATTCTTCTTAAAAAGAAGAACTCACCTTTGTTGGATCACCAGAAGGGTCTGGATAAATCTCCAAGTTCTCTTTTTTGGTTGGAAATTTACTACTCAAATTCTTAGCACTATCAGCCAAGTCTTTTACAGATTCAGTAGTAGCAAACAGAACACGCGATGTCCAGAAAAATGCCTGAGCACTAGCAGATGAAGCTGATATGTCCCATAATTCTTCATGCAGAATGACTTGACCACTAATTTGGTTAAGAGTAAATTTGGAAGTAATTTGAAGTATGAGATCTCCTCCTACCCCTGCAATAAAAGATTTAGGCTTCCCTCTAATCGTCCACTCGATACTTAAAACACTGGTTGACAGCATGACCATTTCCTGCACAGTCTGTCACCAAACATATCTTAAAATAATCCTACCTTCCATTTTTATCTGTATGCTTTAGAAAATATTGTTTTGTTTTACCTAATCAGAAAAACATAAAAAAAATTCAACCTTATTCTTTAAAATTAAATAGAATGATAATAGTCAATCAATTTTTGTTGAAAACTATTGAATAACTTAAAGGGAAGACTAGAAAAGGAAGGGGTGGAATAATTGAGAAAGAAATGAGTTTTAAAATTGAAGACACAAATTGAATAACACACTAGTAAATGGGGAAGGATCAAATTACATGGAACAGGTCTTACACTCATTACTAGCTATTGATTCCACTTGCATCTAGTGACTCTAATTTATTAGTCACGTAAACCGTTAGATGCAAGTGAGATCAACAGCTAATAATTTGTATAAGACTTGTTAGACTTACACCAGGATAAGATGATCCTTTCCTAGTAAATATATAGCTTATGTATTTCTAAACCACCAAATTAAAAAGCAAAAACCTGTGTACTTTGAGTTTTAACACTTGTTACCTACTCAAGCGTTGATCAAACAATAGATGCCATAAGATGAGAAGGAATTACAAAATCCCTGTTTAATGGATTAATTGCTGCTTTAAGAGCAGGACTTCAGAAATTAAACTCACCACAGATGGATTGTCTAGTGCACTAGTTGCCCATAGTGGTCTTTTGTACTTGTTACGACCAGTAAAACTCCTAACAGGATCCTGTACACAGAAACAGTATCACAAACATAACATAAAAGTCCAACGAGTAAAACAAACTGCTTTGCTTTTATCTATAAACTGATAGAAAAAGATTGTATAGGACAAACGCAATTACCTTGTATTTGACAGAAACGGCAAAGGTTCCAAGTGCTCGATTTCCCTCCCGTAGCTCGAGTATGTCACGCACAAGTTGTCTAGCTGTGGATTCTACCAATGGACTACTCATGCACTCAAAGTCATTGCAAAGCTCACCAAAGTCCATACCATCAATCAGCTTATCAGCATCTGAATATGATGTTTTGGTTGTGGTATCAGAAGACACTTCAGTCCTATCACCATCATTGGCAACTGCAAAACACATTTATCAACTTCATAACTTACTAAAAGGAATATATATAAACAACAACTATTGGTTCAAGTGTCAAGGAGCGTTCAAATGGCAAGGAGTTTGTTTTCCTTAACAGTCCTCAATATGCGTATGCTCGAATTGGATTAATCCGACTTGGATACCAAAAAAAATAAAGAATATATATATATGAGATAGGATCCTTTGATACTGGTGTCAAACTTTAAAATTTGACATCAAATCTTAATCATTGATTTATGTCAATAACGATTATCATTTATTGAAAATTAACTTTTATATATATATATATATATATATATATATATATATATATAGGGGTTATCAAACCCACTGAAATTTGAAATACGTGACTCACACTAAATATAAACAAGTGAGTGTAGTTATCAATTAAAAGCAGTTAAGTAACTTAAGTGATTACTTTGTTTCTAATTTTAACAAGTGTAGCACTGAGTAATCTGTAGAGAAGAAGTGGAAATTTATACGTTATCAAGTGAGAGCATAAGAGATGAAAAAAAAAAAATCTTAACACAACTAAACTACGAACTATACATGTGCAGTCAAAATTAGTTTTACTTAGAACTTATCTTAACCATTCAAGTGAAATTAAATGATCAATGTTCTCATGTTCTTACACTCTCTAATGTTCTCTGTCTTTATGTATGTATGAAAGAACTAATATATTCAATTATACATAAACAGTAAAAATTGAAATTATGTAAAAGTAAAACCAATATCTATCACCCTATATAAATATTCTTGTAACCTCATAACATAACTTAATATACAACTAATTCCAAAAGAAAATCATAATAAGTAAACTAGAAAGAAAGGAAAACATGACATGACATGTCACTAACTAGCTAGAATTGTTCATGTTGAATTGCTATGAGTAGGAGAGAGAAGAAAAACAGTGAAACCTCGCAATAAAAAAGAGTGGTGTTGGTGATCATGGAAGGAAAAGGGCATGCATAAGTTGGAGGAATGCATCTTGGAGGAGATGCATTTATTCCGGCGGAGCCCGGAGGCGGAAAGAGAAGCAACGGCGAGAGAACAAGAAAGAGCGGCAGTTAAAGTCATGTCTCCCCATTCCGTGAGGGAAGGTGTGTTGTTTGAGATTACAAATGAGACATGCAGAGAATAAGAGCCTCTTCTTTTTTTATTTTTCTTAATTTTCTTCCATCTAAAAGCTTAACTTATAGATAAGGTGGGGCCTCTCACTTATCAATATATTATATATATATATATATATATAGGGATAGGATCTGTCAAAGTTGTTGATCTTTTTTGATCTATGGCTCTTAAATGAGGTGTCAAACTTTAAATTTGATACTGGTGTCAAAGGATTCTGCCTCATATATATATATATATATATAGGGACAGGATATTCTTACACCGGTGTAAGAGTTAGAAGTTTTACACTCAATCTTGATTATTGATACACTTGTATCAAATGACTCACATTACTAAAAAATTTGAGCCCTTAGATATAAATGGAATTAACAGAGAAGATTAAAAGTGTAACTTACACTGGTGTAAAATGATCCTGGCCCATATATATATTTGCGTTAAAATGTTAACTTTTCTGTCATAATAACTTTTCTGTCTCGCCTGGGCCCGCTGCATATTTTCTTTAATCCTCTCTACCTGCTCAGATGTTTCCTGGATCATATCGGGCCCCAAAATACTATGCTCGCCAACTTCAACCTAACACAGCGGGGATCTACATTTCCTCCCGTACAATGCTTCATACGGTGCCATCCGGATACTGGAATGATAACTGTTGTTATATGCGAACTCCACCAACGGAAGATATTTGTCCCAGCTGCCTCCTTGATCTAAGATACATGCCCGCAACATAACCTCTAAAACCTGTATAGTGCGTTCTGTCTGGCCATCTGTTTGCGGATGATACGCAGTACTCAACCTCAATTGGGTCCCGAGAGCTCGCTGGAATGACTCCCAGAACTTAGAGGTGAACTTGGGATCACGATCACTAACGATACTGGTAGGAACTCCATGCAGCTTCACGATCTCCCGAAGATAAATCCTGGCAAGCTTCTCTGTATTATACGTCGTCCGAACACACAAGAAATGAGCTGATTTCGTCAACCGATATATATATATATATATATATATATATATATATATATATTTGCGTTAAAATGTTAACTTTTGTATACTAATTATATTTTCTTAATACAAAGAGGAATGCTAGTGCTATTTACGAAAGGAGACATCATTCCTACAAAAAAAAAGAAAAGAAAGAAACATACAATTGAGAGGAGAACATGAAAAAGAAAAAAAAATAAACAAAAAATAATAATGATTGGAATTTAATGAAATTTATTTTAGATACCAAAACTATTACATAAAAATATAATAATTATTATAATGTAACCAAAACTATATAGGGTCAATGTTATTTTATATCCATATAAGTTATACTCTTAATTTTGGTTATTAATATTATTTATATCAAATTGCTCTAATTTATTAGATATGTTACGCAAATGCCCCTTGCCTTTGCTTTCCTTCACGAACATCTGGTCCCAGTCTCTGGCAAAACAACAAACACCTTCTCGTCAACAACATATTCACCCACCATTACATTTTCACATTGTAAATAGATAAAAATTCCAGTAGCACTATTTCATCATGCCTATGATAGACAAAAAAAACACCTCAACTAACATAAGAGCTTCGAACACAACTTGGTCCAAAGAAGCGACTCTACAACCCAAAACAAATACACAAGCTTTTAGCAAAGATTGCAACTTTTCAAAGTGGGCAATCAAAAAAATGAAATGGGTCTATTAAGAAATAGAAATTCTGATACAAGACCTAAGGATGAGTTTGATTTGGGGAACACTGAAGGAAGCCAAATCCATTCCCCAATGCACACGACGCCTTACTTCCCACTTCATAGGTTGATATTGTGTTTGTGGGTTCTAGCGGAGAAGGCAGAAGATGCTGGTAGTAAAGTGAAATGCTAGCACAAGTACGGTGGTGAAACTATGGCCATAGTCTTAGAGGCCGTAATAATTGTTGGGTCATGTGTGATTCTGCAAATATGATATGAAAATAGAAATGATGATGCTATTTGACTATTCCTCTTCATGGCACAGGTGTCCAACGATACTTTCACGGGTCTAAGGGGTATTTTCGATTTTTTGATATTTTTCTCCATCAATATTTTACTTTCAACCAAATATAGTCTAGGTAAATTTCTGTTAATTTTTCTAGTAATATTTCGGTCTACTAAACAACTTTTTTTTAATTTTCTCATTAATTTAATTTTTCAATCATTTCTTCACTAATTATATTTATCTGATCAAAAAATTTATCGCATATACCAAACGCCCATTATAGCTTATTCTCTTATGGCGTGTTTGGTTGGGGGAAAATGTTGAGATAGATGAGTAATTGAGAAGTGGGAATATCCCTACATCATGTTTGGTTGAGCCAACTTCCATATTTACCTACCTAAATCACTATCCTACCTATCCAAGATGCATATCTATTTCATGGAGATACCCGGCATACTGTTTCCCTTTGATCATGTGGTATTCACCTTATATCCTCGTCAGTAGACACACAGAACAAAATGATTTGGTTAATCATTGCTCTCATAGTAAAAATTATGCTGCTTAAGTGTCATATTTACATATATCTATTTGCCGTAAATATGTTACTTTGTTCCATTTTAAAATTAGGGTTATTTTCGTAATACCAACTTGCTTTTTTCATCTATATTTTACCTTCAACCAAACATATATTTCATGAAAGTTACCTAATTTTTCCAGTAAAGTTTTTCTCACCAAACAACTCTTTTTTACATTTCCTACCTATCTCACTTTATCTCATTTTCTAACCATTTCTCTATCAATTATATTTCCCTATCAATTATATTTCCCTAATATTCAAAAAATTTCTCCTCAACCAAACAATCTGAAAACCTTTCTCGCCTATATTTACGGAGCACGTTTTACACAACATTTGCAGAGTTTTTTACACTGCAGAAATACCATCTTCAGCCTCCGCCAGAGACTAACTATCCTTTGAATACATCTTTCGTATAGATCACTGTTACATTAACATATTATGCCATTTGAGAAAAACACATACATTTATTTTGAAGTTTAATATTTTTGTTTTTGTTGCAAAAAAAAAAATTCTATCGTACTCAAACAGAAGTGAGTAAATCTCACAAATTTTTTTCTCTTCTCTTCATAATAAAAACTACTTATTTTTATGTGAGCATAATATATAAAATATTTCTGCAGTACCAATATTTTTTACCTTATTTTATCTATTTTTAGTATGTTCACATATGACAAAGTATTTTTACTAGGTTTAAACTCTGCCATGTAATTATTAATGTTTTTAAATCAATTTTATCTATTTTCTTAATCAATTTTTTTTACCAACATAATTACTAAAGCCACGAAGATGATAAACCATAGCACAATCCCCAAAAACCTTTTTTATGGAAAGGAAAACAACATATTATAAATAAAGTCAAACCAAATAATAATAAAAAGTAGAATTTAGGACTGAGCTTCACACGTGACCATAGTAAAGATTTACTTGAATTAACTTAAATTCAGGGCGCGTAATCCAAAAAAAAATAAATAAAAAAACTTAAATTCAGGGCGCAGCTGGATTATATAGCTAGAGTGGGGTTCACAAACCACCAAATTCCAAAACAAGAGTGTTACTGGAAAAATAAAAATCCAAAGCAGCCAGAAACGGATCTATTGTCCACTTTTTTGTATAGATTCAGGGATTGGAATTTGACTTTTCTTCTTGTTTTTTGGGTCTACATCTTCAAATGAGATTAGTAGGTATGAATTGGACACAGATAAAGAGACAAAAGAAATATTGAATAAATTAGTGTATCAAAACAGTATAGCAGAGATTATATTATATATAAAATTAATGCGTATGTATAACTTGAAATATATGATGTGAGATAGGGGTGTTTATCAGCCGATTCAAACTGACTCAAACCGCGGTGACCGAACTGAAAAATCGATAACCGAAAAATCGAAAACCGAAAAAACTATAATAATGTTTTACTAATGTTTTTGTATTTAAAATAATAATAATTTACAAAGCCAATATCTACAAAAGATGTTATTTGCATAATAATCATAGAATAAATTTTAGAATTTTCAAAAAATCAAAAATCGATCCAATCCAAACCGAAAAAAATTGAATTGGATCGGATCGAATTTGAAAAAAAATACAAACCGAATGAATGATTATATGATCAAATCGAAAGGATTGGATGAGATCGGATGATTTTTTACTTCTAAAACCGATCCAATCCAGACCGCGAACATCCCTAACGCGAGACTAAGTCCCTCATACTATTTCTACTGTATACAACAGAGCATAGACGACTGGATTTGGCTATATATCAAAACTCTCGGGTCCATTCCATAAAGCGTGACTGAATATAAACTTTCAAGCTTTGGTTTGTTGCTCGCAATTGGTTTTAAAGGAAGCTGCTTTGGTTTCTTCCTCACCTCAAGATGTTTCTTTTTAGGATTTTATAAGAGTTATGTTGTAGGAAAAGTGATTGTGTTATGTTATAGAGATTCGTTTTGCGTGCCAGAGTTTTTTTTTTTTTTTTTGCTGCAGGCCCCACAAAATATTGTGTGTGTAGAAAAATTTTTGTGGTCATGTTAAATGATAGATGATAAACCCTTCTTTTTATCTTTCGAAGGATGAGTATTTTTGTGCTGAATACCATTTTTTGTCTGATGCTCCTATATTTTTGCAACTACAAGTCTACAACCAATGCTTGTCAGTGGCAAAAATAAATTAAATGCGTGTTAAGAAAATAAATAAATGAATGAGGAAAATCAATAGTGGTTAGAATTCAGTACATCTTAATCACGTGTCTCTTTAACTAATCTTCAAGCTTGAATTAAATTTGTTCTGGGGAAGCATCCCATGATGAGCCATAGAGCTTTATCTTAAGGGATCTCCTCTCTCCTGCACTGCTGCTATCATACACTGACGATGAGTGCAAAAAGCCTTGCAGCAAAGGCAATGCAAGGCTAGCTGTGGTATAACTCTGTCCCCTCTTTCTCGCATGCTTAGGGAGTATCCACTCC